TGTTCTTGCATATGAGGAGCTGAAATAATGCATGCAAGGTTCAAGTGTTAATGAAGTGAGCAGCTACATCAGTTGATGTGACTTGAATGATTGAGATTGAGAGATCTTGAGCCTCTGCAAGATTTTGAAGAGTTGTAGATAAAATCATAATTAGATAAGTTTTATTAGTATCATCTTCATCATCTAGATTAATTAGCAAAGAATTCAGAGATTCATTATTAAGAATCTCAGTATAATGATAGAGAATAGTGTTATAAAGAAGGCATTGATCAGAGTCTAGAGTCTTGAGTAAGTCATATTTATAAAGAGTAGTGTCTGCAGAGAAGTCAGTCTTCATATTATTTTAAAATTCTGTGTCAAGATTAATATAAGTGTCAACATGAGAGCTTCAATCATAGTTGAAATCTAAGAACTGATGATTAAGCTGTTCACAGTTTCAGATGTCAATGAGATCATTATTATTATACTGTGAGTTTTGATAGATAAGCAATGCTTAAGAGAGATCAAGCTCTTCTTCATTATTCTGATTATCTTCAAACTCAGGTTCTGATTTCAGTATATCTTCATCATAGACATTAACTGAGTAATTATAAGAAAGACAGTAATAATTAAAGATCTCTGTAAAAGAGAGTTAAGAAGTGAGAAGATCAACAATCTTGAGATCTTTAATTTAATGAAAAGAATGATGAAGAAGAAGTTTGATATGAGTATAGTTCTCTGAATCAGTTTTAAACTGATAAATAGAAAAGTAGATCAATACTCAGAATTTTATATGAGAACATCTCTTAATTTAATAACTGTGAGAAAAGATTTGAAGAAATTCAAGAAATAAAAGATCTTTAAATTCAGTTGATCACTGTTTATATTTTTTTAAAAAGAATAAATTATATTGTAATTCATCAGATTCAAGAATATAGCTATGATAATGTTGAGATTCAGACTGACAATCAACTGCAATTGACTCATGAGAACTTATTTATAAAGAAAGATTTAAAAGAAGATGATAAATCTTCTGAGCAGATTAATCACACTCATTAATGAGCTGATTTATAAGTTTAATAACTGTAGAGAGTAGTGAGTGACTTGAACTGACTCTTGAAATCACTTATTGAACAATCTGATAATAGAATTCTGTGTCTGTTTCAGCCTTGACAATGTACTTAGACAGATAATCAAGAATAACACAGCTGTCAGTGCAGAGAACAATATCAGTATTTACTAGTCAGCTAACTGTAATCAATCTGTTATAGTTATTAAGAATTGAGTTATTACAATAAAGATGCAGCTGGTAATATCTACTATTCAAAGATTTGAGAATAGCACAGTCAGTCTGATATTCATGCAGGAAGTGAAATCAGTAATGTAGATTATCAGTGATCTGATGTTTATAAATACAGTACTTTTCACTACAGTGATAATATTGAACATGATTGAGAACTGCAGATAAATGTTCAATGACATTCATCTGATTAGAATAGCTGAGAAAAAGAGATGACTATGCATCTTCAGACTGAGTATAATTAGACTCAGAATTCTCAGCTGTAATAATAAGACTCTCAGTAGTCAGCAAAGGCTTGATAAGAGTCTTCATTCATATCAAGTTCAGAATTCAGTGCATTCTTACATCAAAATACACTATATAAGTACACTGATTCACAGTCTTGTTACTTATAATAAGTTCAGTGATCTAGAATTTTGAATTTCAGATCTAAGATCTTTTTCTTAAAGATTGTAAGTTATAGATGAAAGTAATGTGTAACTATAGCAGAATAGTTATGAATACTATCTCTTATAAACTTCAATCTCTTAAGGTCAGTGCTGTGCTTTCAAATAATATAGTCAGAGAAGTGATACATCAGATTATTTCAGTGATAATCTGTGACTGAGAGAGTAAGAAATAGATGTGAAGATTTAATATTTTAAACATAGACTTATAGCTGATGATGTTTTATATCTTAAAAAGAACAGATTTCATGAAGACTCTCTACAAATTATATAAGTGAATTCAAAATTGTAGTAGATTGTAAAGTATCAGTAGTAAAAGCAGTCTGCAGCTTCTCTAAAGTGAGATTCTTAATAAGAGAGTCAGTTTAATTGTAGAAAAAGCAGTTCTGATTATTAATCTATCTGCAGAATAGAGAATTGAAAAGAATATATTGAAAACAGTTATAATAGATAAAGCAGTTATCATGATATTTAAGAAGAAACTGTGTGTAATCTGTAAGACTAATTATTCTTTATCTAGAGAGAATGAATTCAGCTTTATCTTGTGAGAAAAGTGTTGAAAAGACTTAAGAAAAGAGTGAGTGAGTGTTGTTAAACTCACTAAGTAATGTATTACAGACTGAAGACAGAGTGAGATAATCAATCTGTTCTCACTGTGACATTTCAAGTTTATAGTAGAGTTACTTAACTTTGAACTGTGAGATTAAAAGATCTGAAACATTAGAGTATTCAGATGAGATATTCAAGTTATTAAGATTTAAATAATTCTCATTCTTAATAACTGTCAATTCTTACTTATCAAGCTCATGAAAAGAAATCTGATCAGAGACATCTTCATTTTCAGATAACTGATTTTAAGTCTCTTTATCAATCACAATATTCTGATAATCAGAATGATTTTTACAGAGATAGATTAGTCATTGAGTAACAGCTTCTTTATAAACTATGAAATCTTGACAAAATTAATATTATAAGTGAGAATCTGCATTTGAATTTAAAGACTTTAATATAATAATATCAAGATTCTTAGAAAGAAGTGAGAGAGTGTTATAAATATAATCAGTGTCTCTAAAAAAGTTAACAATATAATCTTTATACTTATACTGATGTTCTCTGACTTGACAGATCTTAATGAAGACATGTACATGTGAAATTAATATCTCTTTAACCTGACTGAGAATAGAGAGATCTGAATCAAGATCATCAGAATCAAGATTATTCTCTTAAAAGAATAAAAACAGCTTATCAGACAGCTGTCTTGAATCAACAGTATAATAATAAGTATAAATATCATCTTAAAGATTCATTCTGAATCAGTGAATTTAATAACAGCTACAGATCTTCATCTGTAAATCTTCAAGTATGTGATGAAATTTCTGCATACACTGTTAATTATCAGAATTAACAGCTGAATCTGTAAGATAAGTAGAACTCTGAGAGTTTATTGAAGAATCTGAGACAATTACAGTGTATAACTGATTATATTTCTGAAGAATTATAAGAGCTTCTATATTTAATATATTAATTGAGCTTTCAGATTATATAGAGTGCTGAAATATCAAGAGACTGCTAACTCTTCTATTAAGTCAATTAATGAATAAATCTGTAGAGCTCTGAGAAACAGAGTTTTGAGAAGTTGAGAGTAAGAAAAATAATGTAAAAGATATCTACAGTAGAAGTATATCTGTAAAAGTGAAATAAGATTAACTTAGAGATGAGTTGAATAATAATATAGATAATTAATGAAAGACTGAAGAGAGATCTGCAGAATTAGAAGATGAATTAATTATCAAAGATAACAGCTGCAGCTGTTTTCTTAATTAAGTTAAGAATAAAGTTAATAAGAGATGTTCTCTATAATATCTGATAACACAGTGAGCTCTTTGAATGATAGTTTTCTTTTTATAGACTACTGTTAATGAAAATGTATCAGAACTATGAATCTCACAATGATAAAACTTAATCTTAGATAACAGATCTATTTCAATAAACTGTTCACAGACTTGAGAGACTGCTGTTAATTGTATGAAGTGTTGATATGATAGAGAAAGTTCAGACTTATTTATCACAGAATCTGTGACTATAGAAGAATCTAATTTCACTGTATATATTCATTTACAGTTCTATACAGTGTAAAGAGGTAATCAGTGATAGAAAAGATATAATAAAAGAAGATTACAATACCTAAGTTCTCTGAGTACAGCATTGAAGACAGATAGCTGTAGAAGTAGTAAAACACTGTAAAGAAATGAATTAATCAAGAGACTGGTTTCATAAGTAGTAAATGCAGGCTTTTAACATGTTATTCATTCTTGAGAATCTATAAGAGATGATTGATCAGATGCATTATCTATTCAAGAATCTGTACAGAGTAGATAGTTGATGAGATGTATAATCTATAATTCAAGAATCTGTACAGAGTAGACTGACCGTGTGACCGTGTCTGAGACCAGAATCAGATTTTTTGATAGTCTTATTATCAATTTGACTGATTTCATTACACAGTTTTAACATTAGATAGTAGTCTCATACTGTCTCAGTGAGACTTACTGTCTACTCTTGTCACATTTTTCAAATGAGATCATGATTTCTACTTCTCAATTTAAATTATTTTTATTGCTTTAAATGACTTTAAATCTCATTTAAGTGTTATCAAAAAGTGTTACTTTTTAAAAAATTAAAAATAGTCTAAAAAAAACCTTAAAATGTCTAAAAATAGTAACTTTATGCCAAGAATGGGACTAAATGGGACCAAATGGGACCACTTTCTCATTTTTTTCAAGTCATGGTCCCATTTTAAAATCTGATATATAGTCACTTTGCATGTTTTTTTGATAGCCAGTCCCAGCGGGATTCACGCCAAGAAATGTATGGGACCAGATCAAATGAGACCAAACGTGAAATTCATGATCCCGGCGGCCAGTCTAGTACAGAGTAGGTAGTTGATGAGATGCATAATCTATAATTCAAGAATCTGTACAGAGTAGATGATATAATTGATGAGATGAAAGATGAACGCATTGTGGGCGCGTAGAAGTCATAGTGCAATGTCACAGAATTGTGCTTCACTTAATTCTACATCAATCAGTGGGCTGTATTCACGCCAAGAACCCCAAAAAGGAAATTCTCCACTTTTAATGACCAGGGTTTTCATCATATATTTGCTTCGCTTCGCTCCGCAAATAATGGGAGGCCATAATACATCTAAGGGGTTGATTTATAATAATAATAACAAACGCGTAGCACCACAGCGAGGCAATCGGGACGGATCGGACAACAAAAAAAAAAAAAAAAAAAAGTTATCAAGCCCAATAATGAGGACGGTTGTTATTACAGCTCATCGCGCCCTTTCTTCTTCTCCTCCTTCTCCTTTACTTTCTCCCTCTGTGTCTCCTCCTTCTCTTTCCCATTCTTCTGCTTCGATTTCCCGTTACCGCCAGACTGCTCGCTACCCCCAGGACGAGTCATCTTCTCCATAACTTTATTCAACTCCCGCTCCAATTCTCGAAGTTTTGCATCTATGTCTGTTGCAGTTAAAACAGGGTCTTCGGACTGGCTTAATTTTTCTTGAAGTGCGAGCTGTTTCTCGAGCCAGGAGGTTATGCTATAGTAGGCGCTCGAGAGGGAGGAGACATCGATACCTGTGAAGGAGGGTGACTGGGTGGCTTTAGGGGACGGGGTGGAGGTTGTTGTTGTTGCTGTTGTGGAGGAGGAGATGGAGTCGTCTTCAAGAGAGGCGAAATCATCCGATGAGGAAGGGGAAGACGGTTCATTGGATGGCGTGGACGTCGTTGACGATGATTCTGTAGCGGAGCGAATGCTCTCCTGGGCATCTACCTGCTTTTGCAAAATTTCGACGAGCATCTTCGCGTTTTCTAGGCTCTTTTGTAGAACTTCTATTTTAGTGGGGAGGAGGGAATATTCTTTCATCCGTTTGAGGGCTGGGTTGACATATTCCTTCAAACCATCCAGTTTTGTCTTGATGTCATCGATTACTGCGTCAGCACCATCTCCGTAGAGCCACTCGCTTGCTTCTGAGAGCGATTCTCGCAGCTTGGCGAGGTCAACTGCGGGTATCATTTTTAGGAATGTCTCATCATCGACGAGGTCTTGGGTGCGGTAAATAAATGCTTCAAGGTTATTGAACATTTCTTCACGCTTAAAGCGGGCAAGGTCTGAGGCGTCAAACGCGGCGAGACGACCCTTGATGCGTGCCAGATCGTCTTTTGAAGGTTGCTGGATGCCAAGCACAGAGGTGTCGAATGCGATCGGTATGGTTTCGGTCTTAACTTTAATGTTTTTGGATGGTTTGGTTGCTGATTCCGTGGTTGAACTTGCAGACGCAGACTCGCTGGCAGAAGAAGAAGTTGTAGTAGTAGACGCAGAGGTAGTTGCTGAGGATTCGGAATCCAGCGTAATAGACTCGTTTGCTAGATCATCCTGAAGTGGCTGTTGATCACCCTTCTTGGAACCCAAGCCAAAGAATTCTTTCACATCTTCAACCACACCCTTCTTCTCGTCACTCACGTACTCGCAGCTCACGAACCCAGAGACAAGTTCAGGAATACCGTCAAGGGGGCTTAGCTGGATGGAGAGCTTGGCGGTAATATTTGCAGCAACACAGCCGAATTTACTTTTGAGAGTGGCCACGGATTGAGTCAAGTTCGTGGTTTCGATGCCGACAAGAGGTGCTTCGACCAATTTGCCATTGCGGGTAAACTGCTGATACAAGATGAAGTTAAAGTCGTCCAGGATTTTCATTGTCACCTGTTTTTCAGCCCCAATTGTGGAGAATGGTGTGAAAAGCATCTGATGCCTGTCCTTGTCTCCTGACTTCCATCTCATTCCCACAGCGAACCCAGGACTATCTCCTGCTCTGATATCCTTGACTCGGAAGGATCGACTAAGGGCTGCGCCTTTGAAGGTTGCGCCAAACACGGCAGCTTCATCGGCGTTTACGTTGCTTCTTACCTTGACGGATTCTTTGGAGGCCGCTTCAAGCTCCTTCTGTACAAATGGCGTCCTAATTGTTCCCCCATGAAGAATAATAGAATCCACATCCCCCAGGGAGAGTTTCGCAGACGCCAAAGCCTCAGTCAATGGTGCTGAGACACGGGCAGCGTGAGCCTTTGCGAGTTTCTCGAATTGAGCCCGCGTGATTTCATATTTGAAATTAACGTCGTCATGGTATAGACCCTCAAAAGAGGCCGCAGTGTCTGAATTGGCGCTCAAAATGTGTCTAACTCTTTCCGCCTCTTTCCAGAGCTTTGCCATTGTCCGCCCATGGATCCTGAGTTTCTCCGGTGGGGTGTCGTCCTTCAGCTTTCCAGTAGCAACGAATTTCTCGATCATGTCGTCAACAATCAGTTGATTCAGGGCATCACCGCCCAACGTCTTATCCCAACCAATACCTACAACTTGTACTTCTTGAACAGTCTTGTTGAACCGGCCAACATCTTTGACAGACCGGCTTTGGAACCGAAGAACAGTCGCAGATGTACAACCAGCGCCCATATCATACACGACATGGTACTCTGGTTTCTTTCCATCTGATACGCTGGGGAAAGTCCGACTGGTGGCATAGTTGACACCAACAGCCAACCCGTCGCTGATCATAGCGATCACATTCAACCCAGCCAGTTCTGCCGATAACTCCACGCTCCGCTTCTCCTCCGCAGTGTAATACGGCGGGAAAGTGATGACGGCATCCTGGATTTCGGACCTCTGGCCACCCATCGCTTCCGCGTTGGCTTTAACCTGCTTCAACTGCATAGCCAATAACTCCTCCACCATAAAACGATCCCGACCTTGCTCTTCTGCCAGGCTTTTGCTTTTAATCCCAATAGTAGCCCGTCCCGGGATTTCCCCAATATCAAGAGCGGGATACCGGCTCTTGTACATCTCAACGACATTTTCCTCGTTGTCACTGGAGCCCTGGACTCCACCCTCCAGCGGAATACCCAAGAGAACTTTCAGATTCGGAAACACATCGTCGGGGAACCGAGGGGCAAGCGAGAGCGCATCGCCACCATAAAATCGCTCGGGAAAAACAGCATTTTGTTCACGCGCCGGCTTGAATGCCACAGCGGCAGCTTCCTTTCTCTTAGAATCCTTGGTCAAGACAATTTCGAGAGGTACCCCCGGCTTCACCAGAGCGGCTTTTATGTATTCTGTTCCAAGATCTATTCCTATGATTGCGGAACCAGCCGCGGAAACCTGAGCGGGAAGAGCTGTGAGAATGAGGAATGCGAGGACGGAGGAGAGAAAGTATAGTGAGACTATTCGCGCTGAAGCAGGTCGTCGTCGGCCCGGGGGAGCCATTATGAGATTAGCTGTGTTGTATATTTATATCTGTTAGCCAGTTGACACTTTTTTTCAAAACCGGTAGCAACATTTTAAGAGTTAGAGAAATAAGTACCTGTATTGATACCAATTGGACCAATTCCACCTCTTCGAGAAAAGTAGAAGGTAAAAGAGAAGACCACAAGGAGGAATTCTAAAAACTGGCAAAGGCCCCTCCCTCCTATACGGTTGTGAAATACATCAGGCAGAGTATGCGGTGGTTTAGAATCGGTAAATTGTTGTATATGAGACAGAAGCTTGGAAAGTTGACAGCTCGGAACCGTGGAAATGTTGAATATAAAGAACGGAAGGAAAATTAAGGGACAGGAGAAGAGGACACGTTAAAATAACAGAAGGCTACGCCACGGGAATGTTTGCTCTTCGAAATATTATCCCGGCGTTAAAAGTCGGCAGAATGTTGAAGGCTTCCCTTTCGTTGTTCGCGCTATCATAAGGACACTTTGGCCGTTGGGAGAGTGCAAACATGCCACATCTAGTATGTTTGTTTTGAGATGGAATCTAGTTTGCCTCGTTTGCATTGTTGACAAGAGTCAGCTCACGTGATTCAGCACCTTCCCCTTTTTCAGGGCATTTTTTAGAACAGATACATACTACTATTACTGCACTCTGGTTTCTCTATTTTGGATTACGATAATAATTTTTTAAAAATATATGCTAGCTTATGGTTTCTTTATGAACAATCTGGAACACTGACAACATAGAATATGACCTGCTCCAAATATTCTCCTGAAGCAATGCCCTCTGAAATTGAGCTTTTTGGTGATATATATATCAGGTAGGTAACGGAAGATAAATATGGTGCAGTAGTCAGAAAATAATAGTAAAAAATAACAATAACAACAATGATAATAGAAAGCTATATAAATTCCACCTACGTTTTCTGTAGTTGATATGTAAGCAGGGGATCTCTTCCATGATCGGGTTAGCATTCACGTCTCAGCAACATCCGCCCGTTCTAATCCACCCCCAATCAAAAAGAAGAAAAAAAAAAAAAAAAAGGGGGGGAGGGGGGGGGGAGGAAAGAGTTCGGGTCGAACATATCGCATCTCGTCTAGCAACCCAGGTAGACAGCTGTGAGAGTTGTCAGTAAGTTTGATTCAGAATCTGGAGATATTGGCCCAAGAGCGTACCGTTTGCAAATAGGGAGAAGCTGTCAGCGTTATTCAATGCTTCCCAGGTGGAAAGAGATGTGGCTGCCTGGTGACCGTAAGCAAGATCATCGGTTCCAGGACTGAAGACGCCTGGAGTATGAGTGAATTCGTGGATGCTTGTGGTAACTCGATCCTGGCCGTGGCAGCGCCAGGTCAGATGGCTGAGAGAGTAGTAGGCGGGGCAGTTTGAGATAATGTTTCGGGAAGGGAGAGCATAGGCCAAGACGTTGGGTGAACAGATGCCATATGGGTCATCACAGTAATAGGTTGTTCGTCCACTAGTCGTGCTAGATGCCTCCCGGGCCACGGCATCGAAACGTGCCGCTACCAGATTGCGCACTTGCTGATCATTAGTTTTGAAGTACTGCGTGAATGCTCGGCCACCATTCCGTGCAGCGCCTGCTGCCATGGCCGCCAGAGGTGCAGAATCCCGAATCGCTCGAGTGGCGGCACTTCCCCTAGACCCAGTGCAGCCGGTAAGCCGGGTACGCTTGGAGAACTGGTTCAAGGAAGCGAAGTTCTTCGCGGCGGCTTTGCCATCGACATCAATCTCGAGCTCATTTGATTTGTAGTGAACCACTCCGGAAAGAGTATCACCATCCGTATCGGTGGTAGAGGCAAATCCCTCCGCTTTTACAACGATGCGACCACCTTGGGAAAGATCGGCTGTAAATGCCACATCAAATTCGTCCTCGAATGATTCTCCTGGGCCAAGATATGTGAAGACCTCAGGCGAAAGGCCACTTGTTTTGTGACGAAGCCGGACACCTGCGAACGGGACCTCGGCGCCTGCAAAAATGCATGTTAATCGTTTTACTCTAGGACAACGGGTTTAAACCCGAATGAGGTTTCTTGGAGGGGTTTGTAGTACCTTGGCTATACACGGATACTTTTTTGACTGGAGCGGTGTCCTTGAAAAAGTTCAAGTTCAGGATGTTAAGGTCCTCGTCTCCATTGTTCGTGACAACAGCCTTGACCAAGGTACCCTCGACCTGTGTCAATTTCACGTCTAACTCAGGAATATCATCAGCGCGTTTTTCGGTGGACGGAACGACACCGGCAATGGCAGTAGTAGCGAAGGCAACAATGGCTAAAATGCTCTGTGGTGACCGCATAATGTAGGCACAGGTGGACACAGGGCTGGCTAAGTGCGGACGAGACAGTTGACAAAGGAGCTCTGTAAAATATAAGTGAAGCCAAATGAAAAGGCGGAAAGGTGATGGTGGGCGAGGAAAGAAAAAACTCGACTGACAATGGAAAGGGAAAGAGCTGAAGATATAGAAAACCAGTGAGTGTACTTACTGTTCAAGGCTATTTTCGGTTTCAGGCAAGCAGCACCCTCACTTCTTTCCTCCCTTTTGTGGTCAAGCCCGCCTTTACCCAGGATGTGATATATCGCTCTGAGGAGAAGGTGACATCGTGAAGCCCCGGACAAATCCTTAGGGCAGATCTCTTGACCGGCCAACTGCTAAAAGCAGAAGTAACCGATGCAGTGGGCTCAACATCCTAGATGACGAGAAGAGCATGGTGGTGTTGTATGGCCCTGGCCTCCACCCAATATATCAGTAGTGATATGGAATGATGCCTGCATATGATATAGCTTTCGTTTGCTGGCTGAGGTAAATGTGCAGCTATAGATAGCGGTAGCAGCAACCAGATGGGGCCTGCATCAGTAGGAGACACACCTGCACCGTCTGAGGCAAAACTATCTATCAGCAGATCTTACACGCACCAAATAAAAAAGTGCGCCTCTCTCTAATCGCAATGCAGATGTCAAAATGACTCTGGCTCATGACACGCGTGGAAGCCTGAAAACAATGTAGGGCATGTTTGTTTGCGCGGTCCAGATACTGGGAGCGAGGCAAATAATTCCCCTATCAAGTTTCCCACACAAGAGTCCGAAATTGGAGAAGTCACTTAGGCTTTGATACAATTATCCACTTGCTCAGGGGGTCAGCATAAAACAATGAAATAAGCATTTGCCTCATGAAACAACGGTATGCCGGATGGCATATCGAGAGGGTTAACAATTCTTGGGCCGCCGTTTTCCGTGCCAATGTTCGGCCATATGAAACGCCATGAAGCAGCCAGCGGTGGTAAACTGCTGCATAAATGCAGAACCTATACCCCAGGAAATAGTGGAGATGTCCTAGGAAACAAGGTAATACTATGTTGGGACCTTGGGGTACGGAGGGAGTAGGGAATGTCCTGAGGGTCAGACAAGGCCAAAAGCTATAGGGGTATATTGTGGGGAAGTAAGTGATGGGGATCGGAATTGGCGGGTAAGTTTACTACCACTACTATCGACCGAATTCCCCAAGAATTTCTGAAAGATCCGCATGAACTGACAATGCGGGCTCCTATCATTTGGCTCATATCTGCGCAGTGCTCCTTGACCATGCTTCAAGGCTCAAGAAAGATTGCCCACAATTGGGCCATCTTCAAGTTCACGTGATTTCGAACCTGCTGCCGATTGTTAGCGCTCGTTCATCCGAAGCAACTCGGCGTCTCTCAAAGTCAATTCCACCCTGAGATCTATCCTTTGATTGATCCTCTGCTTGCCGATGGCAGACCTGCTGCACGAAGTATTGCATGATGCTCTAGCCGACTGTAGGATCGTCATCCAGGCTGATAGTCCGCCATCATCCCGCCATGCACGGAGGTTCAAAGAGTGACAGAGCAAGTTTGCCGGAGTCTATTTTATGCAACCTGATGCAAGTGCAACCCCAAGTTGCGCACGGCCGGCTGGGTTTTGCCGTTGGTCTGATTCGCCTTTCGAAGGCGATTCCAACTATACCTTAACGTTTCAGCGGTGAATAAAATAATTTATGAGCCTGATGTGACCCCAGATCAACCGAGGCTGCGTGATAGCAATACAGATCCAGAACGGGTTCCACGCTAGGGAGAGAAATGGTTTTCCTACCACCCCCTTTTATTAGTCTCTCATATTGAAACCAGGTAGATCACACTCTGCATACCGAAGAAGAAGAAAAACCGGAATCCCTTCCCAAAACACTTGGGTCATCTGCATTCACCGGCAGGCGTTGACCGTTAACCAAGCTAGTCACTTCGTCATGTCGAGCAATTCCTCCGGGGAAGGGTACTGCAGAATCGCACATGGTGTCACCGAAAGCATGGCAAATGACGAGGCTTCTTGGGAGTTCTCAGCTTTGGGAAATATTCCTGGCCAATAGCATGAATTTTATGCTAAATATGACTACCTAGGGGTGGTGGGTGCTTTGGGGGAGTTGAACCTTCTTTTTTCTTTTCATATTTGTCATTACTTCCTCAAACGCAACTAACCTAGATTAGAAATGTCTCTATAGTTATCAAAGGTTTCGAGGAAAAAGCCATGAGATACCTTGTTTAAAGTTTTATGTGTTTTCCTCCCCGAACCACTTCGGATCGCCCTCCATCTTCGGTATGGATTGCAATTCTACTCCCACTTCCTCCTGGGATATTCATCCGCATATTATCGGTGTCGAGCCGGCGAGCATGTCAGTTTGGATGATCACGAAGATAATTCCATATCATACGGCATGGCACAAAGCCCTTCTTCAGCCGTTCTGCCGCTCAGAACCCCGTAGTTCAGGCTCTACGCACGATAACCGAGCCCATCTAGTCTGCATGGGATAAACAACATAAAACATCCTATTCTTTTCCTTCAAACAGAAAGTGGGGAACCTCGCCTTCTTAAGTTGGTCAAACGTAATTTCCTCCCAGGGGCGTCTGGGTCTGTTTTTCGCATTTCGTTGTCTTTCTCTGTTCAGCATACTTTTGTGTATGTTACACCTAGGCACAGCGGATAGGCCAAAAATATAGTACACTGCTTAGATTCTTTTTTTTTTTTTTTTTTCCCTCTCTCGCCCCAGCTGCGAGATCTCGGTTCCTCTGGACCTTGTATCAGTTGCTCAAATCACTGATTTCCTCCCAAATCGAAGTTTTGTGCCCGTTCCCGTTCGCACTTCTCAAGTTATAAATGTATGTTGAGCATTTTCCATGCCTGCTGCTTCCTGTCATTTACGTGATATAATCAATCGCCATCCATTTTATTTTTCTCCTTGATTTGATTGAGTCGTCAGCCTAGCCAGTTCAAAGTTCATCCAAATCATATTCCCTTGGTGTCACCCAGATCTTATGATCCATCTCATGTAGTATTGTTGTCTTGTTTTGATCTACCGAGACATCTGGACTAGATCATGATGATGCAGAGACCATGGGTTAATTTAACCTCATAGTTCTGCTGCATCTTTGTCTTCTCCTTCTATTTGAGTTGGTTGAGTTTTTCATATTCCCCGAATGCCCTAACGTTCTTCCTCCTCTCCTATCTTCTTTCTACTTAAGTGTATTCTTTGATACTCGCACCTGCCTAGGGCCCATACATGGGCAACGAACAAGCGTGCCCTTTCCCTCAGCCCATCTATAGAAGATCAGAATCTGTAACTAAGCAAATATCACCCTGCCATCTCTTTGTGTTTTGAACGATGCGTTTCAAACGTCTAATAGTTCAATATTCCCTTGCATGTCCTCCAGGGAAATTTTTGCTCTCTGAACATTCACATAACTCTTGATTTCCCTCCCAGACTCAGACCCTGACCATGATTCCAGCGCTGGCATTTATCCTTGCCGTAATCTCATCGGCAATAGGTACGTCGCCTCGAATCCCCATCGACAACACGGCTGCCCCCTTCTCCAAGCGAGCCATGGACGAGCTTTCCACAAGTCTCTCCGTCACCATCGGGTTGCCCTGCACGAACTCAGTCTTAAACCCAGCGGACCCTCTCGAGCTTACAGTTTCAGTCCACAATAACAATCCAAATCAAGCCGTTACTCTCTTAAAGTGGAACACCCCACTTGACCCGCAAGCCAACGTGCTTGGAGTCTTCGAAGTCCGTGAAGCCGAGTGCGGTACACCTGTGGACTCCTTAGTCGCCAAGATATCTCGAAAACTGCCCCCAACCCCAGAGGATCTAGTTGAAATACCGGCCAATGGCGTGAAAGAAGTTCAAGTTACGTTACGCCCGATGGGTTTCAGTGCTGGTCACCAGTATAAGATCTCCGCGAAGGGAAGATGGCAGGCATTGTGGGCGGCTGGCCTCGATGATGTGATAGCGACGGATTCGGTGAATATGGCCTGTGCTACATCCGGCAATTTCGAGTCGAACGTGGTTATGGTGTCGTTTAAGTGAGGAGGAAACTGTTCATTGTTTTGAAGTTATATTAGTTTATAGTGCTTGAAGGCCGGCGAAATTCTCATTGTTGCGCGGGTACCAGGGGGTTCCCTATTTAATTACCCGATTTTCAGCGTTATTTCTCTCTAAACAATGGTGGTGCAGATGTATGGATTCACAGACATGCGTAAAAGATCTTCTTATCCCTATGGAAATGAGACGGACAGTAGTCTGTATAGCTGAGGTTGAAATTAATTGTAATGATATTCACATGAAATACCAGGAAATTAGAAAAAGGGATGTCCTTTGCTCCATCTTCTCCGACGCTCTTCCCCTGTCCACTGTAGAAGTAGGACCCTTAGAGGGGGAACAATTGCTGGGTTGAAGATCTCACCTGTTACAACCTACAGCACGAAGTAAAGGCTTCTGATATACGACCGAATATAATAAAGTATGAAGAAGTTCAACGCAATGGTTCTTTTCCATAAGGTACGTCATAGTTAACAGCCATGAAACAACTGGAAAGAAAGTAGAAAACGAGAAGACGGAGGGGAAAATATTTGATTAAGAAAAGCAAAAACGAAGAAAGAAAGGAAAAACGAAAGTAGGGGACAACGATTAAGTAACGTCCCTTTCTCTTGACAGCACAGGGCTTTCCCCCAGATATCATAAAAATGTCCATGAAAATCCGGGTATCTTTCCCTCATAAGTGCCAGTCAATGTTTTGTTCCGCCACGTTTTTCCGTTCGTTTCTTTTCTTTTTTTTGTTCTATTCAGTTTTTGAAAAACACCCCCCCCCCCCCCCCCCCAATAATTCTCCGATATGATAGATTGTGCAACAGGTCGCAAAATCAGAACGGAAACCATGCATAGGCGGGGTGGAAAACGATTTCATAAGCTTTAAATCCAGTTTCCTCTTTCCTCTAATTGTGCTGTGTGAAGGATAGGAAATAAGAGCAAGACAAAAGAGGTGTCAAGGGATGTAGAGACGTTTTCTTCATTTTTTTGACGTGCAGGGCTGAGAGCGAACAATGGAATGGAATCTCATAAATCTTTTTTCTTTTTCTCGGTTCGCCCATTTAAAAAAAAATAATTGAGAAAAAATCAAGGCGACCTTCCGTCGTTAGCTCCAGGAGACTTGCGCGAATCAAACAACATGGCCGCATCTACCATTTGACGCCCGCATCTGGCGCAGCAGTATCGGTAGCCCAGGTTTCAGCAGCACCAGCAGCAGCGCCGGAGCTGGCGGCCCACTCACCAGCAGCCTCAGCTTCCCAGCCCGGGGCAGCGCCAGCAGGCACGGCGGCACCAGTGGCAGCAAAAGCAGGAGCGACTTGAGCTTCCCAGCTGTCACCAACCAGTCCACTCTCGATAGCAGCGGCACCGACCTCCTCGGCACCGGGAACCTTAGCCTCCTCGATTTCCTTGTTCTCCTCGGCCTCAGGGTCGCGGTAGAAGTACAGGTCGACAACGACGTCCCACTCAGTCTCGCGGCTGGCGATGGTGCCGCGCAGACGCAGGACCTCACGGGCAAGCATCCACCAGATCAGACCGATGGCATGGCGACCCTTGTTGTTGGTGGGGATGGCGACGTCGACGAACTCGGTAGGGGAGTCGGTGTCGCAGAGGGCGATCACAGGGATGTTGACGTAGCTGGCCTCCTTGATGGCCTGGTGATCGGTGCGAGGATCGGTAACGATGATGAGGCGGGGTTCCTTGAAGGAGCGCGTGATGTAGTTGGTGAAGTTACCGGGGGTGAAACGACCGGCAATGGCAGCAGCACCGGTGTGAGCGGCGAACTTGAGGACGGCGCGCTGGCCGTAGGGACGAGCGGAAATCACACAAACGTCGGCTGGGTTGTCAATGGCTGCGATGATGCGGGCAGCAAGGACGATTTTCTCCCTGTTTAGCACAACGGAAGGCATGAGCAAAACTGTAGGTTCTTTTTTTTATCTCCGTTTTTTTTTTTCTTCTCTCTCTCTTTTCTTTTTTCCTTTCAATTTCCTTTCCTCGAATAGAACTTTTGCCTTACCAGGTCTTTCCAATGTTGATAACATTGATTCCATCAGGGCGAGTCTTCCACAGGTAGGGATCCATGTGGACTTGCAAGTTCTTGGAGCCGAGATGACATTGGGCGGCCAGCAACATCTCAATATCTTGAGATGTCGCATTGAAGATGGGAGGGAGGTTGGAAGGAGCCATGTTGGGCGACTGATATTTTCGAAAGGAGGAGAGGATAAATATCAATCGGTGGCAGTTTGTCGTTTGTCTCGTTGGAGTGGAGAAAGTAAATGTTCGCTGGGAGATTTTGGGAGGTCGATTGTGTGCTATTTCCCGATACGGCGACTAGGGCAAAAAAAAATGTTCCGAAGGCTTTTTCCGGCCGCAGATCACGGGATGGCTTCTTGATGACTAAGTTAAACTTGGCGAGATTTCTTATGAGGAAAAAAAAGAGGCATAAGGACGTCAGGTTAATGAGAAGGTTAGATGTCTTTCCTCCTGACGCATTGAGAGCTCTAACGACAACATGCCTCCACGGCTCTTCAGTCAGCCCTACCCTCGGGCCTTAAATGGTATGTCAGTAGGCTAGTTGTTTACCGGTGTGTGCGGCTATCTATTGGCGTTGCTCTAACATTTCTATATCCAGTGTCCATATTGCAAAACCCATTCGCAGCCCTATCTCTAGGGCCGTCGCCGGCCTCGTCGAGAATAGCACAATTCAGTAACAAAAGTCGCACCAAGAAGAGAAAAAGCCAGAATCCATACGCAATTGCACAGGCCCGGCAACGGAAAGCGGCGAATTTGTCCCGACAAGCCGTGTTGAAAAAAGAGCGTATTTCTTCTACCTATGGCGACCCCGTCACCGGCAATCCTACCCCCTTCATCGAATCGCTGATGCCAGAGCAACCTGAACGCACTGCTGCCTCCATTCCCACATCTACATCTCAACAAGGGAGCAAGAAGGCTGAAAATACCCAACCCGCTCCCTCTCCTGCAGTCCCCGACCTGAATCACTATTTGACATCTGCCGAATTCCAAGCGGCTCTTGAGCGGTCGAAACGCCTTACAGAGCCCGTGGCGAAGAGCCAAAGCCATTCAGTCGATCCGCAAGCCGAGGAGGAAGCGCGGCTCGCACATGAAGAAGCGCACCGCAACGCGCAACAAGCCATCAGCCGCATTATCCAGCTTGAGAATGGCAGCAACAAGGATCGGACCCGGGTGAATATCCAGCGCTGCATACATACTTTTGGCAGACACGTTACAGAATCGCTCCTTGCGCCCAAACCTCCTGCTGCCATCAACCCTTCAGCGCCCCAGCACCCAGCAAGACCGGCACGAGCGGGACCAGACACAGGGTCTTCGGAGGTGCAGATTGCTATTCTAACAACCAAGATTCAAGTGCTTGCTCAGCAGATGTCCAAGTATGGACACAAGGACAAACACAACAAGCGGAATCTCCGGGTGCTTGTTCACAGGAGACAGCGGTTGCTAAACTATTTGAGAAGAAAGGAGCGCGGGGGACCTCGGTGGCAGAACCTGATGAGCACCCTTGGGCTGACCGATTCATCATGGAAAGGGGAAATTAATTTGTAGGGTTGTAAATATAGGAGGCGCGCTTTTGTTATTTTGTAGGTTACTTTTTCCTATTAGACCGCAATTTGTGTTTGCTTTTCTTTCCTTTTTTTTATTTTTTTGTTCCTCATTTCACCCTACCAAACGATTTCTCGCTTTGAGAAATCTCAAATCATCCGCACGTACTTTACAATGAGTTACCGGACCGGCATTTGCTTTTAGTTCAATTAAATGTATTTATATGGCTGCTGTGTTGTTCTTGGCTACAAGGGTATATTCTCTTACAGACAACACTGTCTTCCCTTCCCATTCTTGATCAAATTCTAGTGAAGCGTTTTGAGGAACACAACACAAATACATCAACAACCAAAAGCTCCGAAGCTCTTAACCTATTTATGGTATTCACCAGGAAACCCCTCTTACCCCGCTCGTAGTGACTGTGCCTGGGTGATAGTAACTATACAGCTAGGGGTATGTGTTGTAGATTCCGCTTCACCGCCTTCCTATTCCTGTATTCTGCCGTCCGACTGCCCCGTCGCCAACGAAATTATTTCTATCACAGACCGTCGCAACAACAACACACACGGCCCTCGGCACCATAACAATAACAAATACCCCCCCTCGTCTTCTTCTTCTTCTTCTTCTTCTTCTTCTCTTCCCATCTTCTTCTTCCATTCCTCACCCTCTTCATACCACGCCATCTTCGAGCATCGTATGCTACATCAACCTCTCTATCAAATCCTTACGTTCACGGTCTTACTTTGACATCTCTCATACCCAGCTCATTTTTCCTTCTCGCCGCTTCTTTTACTGGCTCTCACCACATAACCTTCGCATTAGGCGCGTTATCAATCCCCTTCAACGATCTGCATCGTTCTAAAAGCGCCCTCACCAATACCGTGCTGCCTTCTATCTGTCGCATAATTCCAGTTGGCAGTTCTACAACAGTACTAGGCGGGGCTTCTGACCCTTGTTTAGCGAGCTCTATCCTGGTTTGTTTTCTATTATACCCTGTGGTGCCTCTCTTTGCGAGTACACTGGATATTTACTAACAGGGCCTAGATTGGAGCTTCAACGCCATTCCTAGCGTTGTAGCCCATCGCCTCAGAAACAGCCGCTTGACGCTTTATATCTAAGTCGGGCACTCTGCCCTCTGTTGCGCCATGCGTACTCGATCGCAGCCAATTTCCCCAAGCGGGTTTCAGTCGCTGGAAACCGTTCCTCGCAGGAGGAAGACGACGGCTTCCAAGACCACCAAAACCACCAAAACCACGAAGCCCACAAAGGAGGCAAGTGCCAAAGTCGAGAAAAAGAAACCCGGAAAGCGCGGTCCCAAGAAAACATTGAAGAAAACGGCGGCTAAATCCGAGGAAACCACGACCACAGCTGAAAACAGTAACGACGCCCCCGCGCCTGCGCCTACCGACAACACTTCCGTGAACGAGTCCCCACAGGATGTTAATGACGTTGCGACAAGTCCAGAACCGGTTGAACAACCTACAACAGATAAATGTGAGCAGCCAACTTTTTCTTCAACTTCTCCCTCAACAGAGCCCACACCCGTGGACGCTCGCCCCATTTCTGTAGATACAGCAGCCCCTTCTTCAATCTCTACCCTGCAGGTTGGATCCCAGGATGAGCATTGGCAACCCCCCTCTGCAAATTCTTTACCTAGAATCAGTGCATCTACTCCACCTGTAAGGTTTGCCCCGCGACAACGTGGAAGCTCGATTCTCGAGGCAAATTCCACATTTTCTTCTTCTGTGAGCTATCCATCTACACCAACGGAAAATCATCGGGAGTCAAGCTCAAGCGCTGCGGGTGAGATCCCCGCCACCAACTCTTCAAGCACTCCCAGATTATTTGAACGTCCTACGCGCCGTTCGTACCCCCCAATTTCACTTTCAGGCCCTGGACCTTCTAGACCCACTTGTCGTTCTTTTACTTCTTCTCTGGATCGTTCGGACCCTCAGAGGGCCTGGCGATCAGGAAATGACCGTTTCTCACCTTCTTCTCAACTCCGTGTCTCTCAAGGCCAGCAAGCTGGACTTGGATTAAATCTTTCTCAAAATTCTCGCTCGTCTAGGTTGGACGTCTCTCGCATAGGCTTGGAAAATTACTCCACTTCACAATCTCTGTCACAATCCACGGCGCGAAGATCTCAGAGTCCATTAGAACGAGCAGCCTCCGCTTTAAATCCTGATGGTGCCCTCATCTTTGATCTGAATACGCCTCAACCAGCTGACAGAGCCCCTCATTCAATTCCTCAGTTTTCCTATCCTCTCCACTCTTCCCTTTTTGCACCCCCAGTTGACCCCTGTCAGAGTCCACTGGCGTCTACTCAAGCCAATGCTAGACCTTCCACCCCCCAAAGTTCTTTCTATGATTCCCCTGATTCTAGCCCCTTTGAATCAATTGTTCGAGACCGCCTTTACCGTACCTGGGAATCTCGGATAGCTCCAAGAGCTTCCCGCACTGCATCTCGCATTTCCGATAACATCCTACCAATTGCTACACCGCCTAGGATGACAACCTCGATAGGGACGCAGACATCACCTACCCTAGCTTCGGAGATAGTCCCTAAATGCGCATGTTGTTCTGCGATACTGATCTGCCCCAATAATAAACATCATGTTAACGCTGCTTTTGGAGTCGACCAACCCAAGAATCAGAAAACGCTAACAGAAAATACAGCTTCACCCCGTAAGAAGCGAGCACGACGACGAGATTATTCAAGCGATGACGATGGCGATTTGCGATCCTCGAAGAAACGCCGCGATGCCGTAACTTCGTCTATTGCGCACCACAGGCAGCGAAGAGTGACACCATATGCCGAACGATCCCGTCGCAGAGCAGTCGAAAGCCAAGGCCGGATTGATAAAACACTTTTCCGCATTCCTCAACTAATCGCTCAAAACAATGCAGATCGAGATACGACTGGCAATGATAAGGTAGACGATGCTGATGTCGAAGAACCAGCATGGGATGTGCTCAACCAGATGCGAGCAGATGCAGCAGAATTATCAGATCAAGAGCAAGCACAGACTCTCGAGGCCCCTCAGACCCCAACCCGGAACTGGGACATTCGAGGGCTGTTTAATTCAGTCCCTAGGTCGATTTCAAAGTTCATTCCAACGTTCAGTCTTTCTCCGGTGCGAACAGGGTCGTCTATTGAAGTATCTTCGACACCACCGGAGGCTGGAGGGAGACCTGCCCTATCCATGCCAGTGGTGAGTACTCCGGATCAGAGTGAGCCATCTGAACAACCTGAGCAAACTCCGGAGTTAGAGCATTTGACATATTCCCTTTTCCCGCAACCACTAAACCGGCGCCAGCTGTTGGGAACCCCCCCCGATGTTCGATCCCCACAGAAGGGAGCCCAGAAAGGTATCGTGACCGAAACGACCGTTTCTAAGGAAACTACAAATAGCAACACGCAACACGCGCCCGAAGATGAAAACAATAACAATAACAACGGTAGCAGTAAGAACCCAAGAAAACGCAGGCGCTCAAGTCCAGAGTCGATTCCAAATCCCCCAGGCACGAGCTATGGAATGGATTTGAGATATTTTGGGGACAGTTCACTAAGCGAAGCAGATGATGACTCGATACCCGAAGATATGACTACGTTTGGCACTGAGCAAGATCCACGCCCCATTCCACCCACAGAACAACCTGCTATTCGAGGTATCTTACGTGGTACAAAGCGCGTTCGTTTTGATGCTAGCCCAGAAAACACTCCATCTAAGCTTCGACTCCGCCATCCCCAACCTCAAACCGTCGATGATAACCAAAGAATGATCGAGGAACAAGGTTCATCTCTTTCTTCCACAGACGATGCCATGGATATCTCCAGCGACCATTCTACAGGCGAACCGTCAGCGTCTACACCGCCTGTCAACCCTCAAGCCCCTCCATCTGAATCCTCAGGAGATCCTCAGCCATCCCCCCCCTCTTCACCAATCATTCGCCCTAACCCTTTTGGAACCTACTGCCTAGACTACGATATGTTTTCAGACGATGATGATTTATATGAGGAGGAAATTGCCGCTGAACAGGCAGCTGCAACTGAAGCCGCAGCAGCTTCAAGCTCCAGCACTGACATCACCGAGAGTCAAGCACCCACGACATCTACTCAGGCTCGTGACATTATCCCCTCCTCCTCTCAGCAAACACCAGTTGCGGAACACCAACCTTCTGAATCAAGAGGTGCCTCTCAGTCATCGTCCACGACTCCTGAGACTGCGCCTGCTGATTCTCAAACATCCCAACAGCCTTCTATGTTCGCTATTAATTGGACGCAACCTCCACCGCCTCGCCCGACGCCGGCTCATGCGTCGCTGCCAACGCAGCCAATCACACCCGTTGGCGCGGACGCTGTTGCCAAGCTCCGTTCACAGGCCGAAAAGTACAAGCCGAAGCTCCCTAGTGGGCTTCGTGCTTCTCGCCGGTACTCTTCCAGTCCGCTGTCAGCTCCAGACAGCGGCGACAACATGACCTCGCGTCCTGAACGTTTTGAGCCGTTGGTGGATTCCCCTCCGCCACATCTCAACACCCGTGAGCAATGCCAAGCCACGGAAGCCAAGGGGGAGGCTTCCGCGGGCGACAAGGAAAACTCCAGCGGGGGGTCGCTGGAGCAAAGCTCATACGTACCAAACCCTCGGATGAGGCAATTGGTACGTGAGATGTGGTTGGAGGAGGATGATGAGGCGGCTGATGAGGTGTTCAGTCGCGAGTTCCGGCGATTCCGCCGGGAGAGATCCCGGTTGGAGGAGTCGGAGCTGCAAGAGGAGGAGGGGGGGGAGGAGGTTGGGGAGGAAGAGGAGGGGGCAGCTCACATCGAGCCCTTTAACCTGGGTTCGTATGATGAGTTTTGCCGGAGTTTTGAGGAGTATAGGCGGCGGCGGGCCGCCTAGGGGGTTGAGGGAAGGGGCGTTGCTTTTTGTTTTTGTTTTTGATTTTGATTTTGACTTATTGAATTTCTTGATTTATTTTGTTTCCTCTATTGAGTTCTTTCGCATTGTTCCCTCATTATCTGCTTCGGCGGAGAGATGACTGGGTACTTTCGAAAGGCTCATATTTTCTTTTGTATTGTGTTTTGATTTTTTACTTTTTTGATTTCTTTTTCGTCTTCTATTGCTCGTTTATTCCCTCTCTTCCTCTTCTGGGGGAAAAGAAGTAGACTGGGTTTAACGGGCCGCATGTATGTAGGCACGCACGTATGTATGCACGTATGCATGTTTGCTCCTGGCTTTTATATTTTTATAGATCATGTATGATTAGCTTTTGTTTGGAGTCCGGGGGGCTGGGGGGAAAGGCGCAATTGATTTTTTGCCAAGATATTCATTCTCTTTTACTGTAGGGAATCATAAAGTAATTGTAACCGATGAATTGCTACGTAGTGTGTATTATAAAAGCCCCTGAGTAGCAGCTAATCGAACCCTTCAAACTCCTCTTCAGCCTCGGTTTGAGCTTGTTCCTTCGCAGATTTTCGAACGGCACTCACCATCCGCTCGGTCTCTCTTACTTTCTCCCTCTCTTCCTCCGTCATCTTTTCCCACCGCTCATGCTCTCTCTTAGCTTTCTTCCTCTCCCGTCGCCGCTCCTTCTCACTCTTTCTCTCCAGATTCTGACTCCATGGAATCGATTCGCTAACCACAGGCCTCTTCAGAGGCCCCTTCTCACCATTAACACTCGCAGCATTATCATGATCAATGTCGCCACCACTCCTCCGCTCGCCCATCTCTTCCTGCCGATGTCTCTCTCTCTGCTTATCCTTGTACGCATAGTTATTCCAATCCACCCCACTAACGCCTAGACTCTTATCACCTGTAAACGCCTTTAGCTCGGGCATCTTGGGCAGTCGCAGAAGCCCCCATGCTCGCCCCAGCTCCTCCCAGTCCAAGTCTGTGACGCGGAATATGCTGCTGGCCTGGTGCTTGCTGTAGCTGCGTAGCCAGCTGACGAAGGCGCGCTGGGCTTTATCGTGTACGGCGCGGTCTTGAAGGACGAGGGTGCGGATTTGTTCGGTGGTGGTTATGGCGTCTGTGGGTGTGATGTGGATTGGGTGGGAGAATGAGGATGTGGATGTGGTGGAGGTGGAGGTGGAGGTGGATTGGAATTCCGTCACGGGCGTTTTGCGCACATTGAGGAATGGGATGTAATCCTCTTCCCGACCTGGGTGGAGGAAGATGATGCTGAGACCGCGACGGCCAGCGCGGCCTGCTCGTCCGCAGCGGTGGAGGAAGACTTTTGGATCCGTCGGGGGATCTATTTGGATTACTAGATCTACGGCTGGGATGTCGAGGCCGCGGGCGGCCACGTCCGTGGTTAGGAGGATGCAGGAGGTGACGGAGTGGGCGAAGCGGGTGAAATTTTTCTGACGGACTTGTGGGGGGTGTTTGCCGTGCAGAGGGATTGTGGTAAATTGGTCTGGTAGGAGGGAAGGGAGGATGTGCTGGTAATAGTCTACTGCGGCGCAGGTGGAGAAGTAAAGGATGGATCTTTGCGGGGTGGGTGAGAGGGTTGAGAGGATCTTTTTCACGGCAGGCAGTTTGTGGGTTGGTGGGGTAAGGAGGTAGGTCATTTGAAGGCTGGAAAATAGTGGAATTAGAATATGAAACATACGCCGAAATTATTAGCTGTGTCGCTGGGATAATACATACCTCGCTGGAGTTCGCTTTTCCTCCAAACCTGCCCCTTTCACCTTGACTGCAATTTTAACCGGGTTCCGTAAGCCGACGCGAATAATCTGGTCGACTGCCTCGCTGACACTGGCACTGAAAAGACCCGTTCGCCGTTGCTTGGGTAATCGTTGAAGGATTTTCTGTAGATCTTCTTTGAAACCCAAATCTAAAAGTCTGTCCGCCTCATCGAGGACAAGAACCTCAAACGACGACTGTGGACAATGGGCATGAGGCGACGATAAAAGCTCAAGAAGGCGACCCGGTGTTGATACGAGAACATTAGGCGACTGCTTTAGAAATGTACTTAGATCTTGCGCGGGGGTTGTAGCGCCTCCTAGTAGGAGTTGAGGTACTATTTTCAACGTGGATGATGGGTACGATGGGGCAGGGTTAGCCTCGTCGCCTTCGTTGTTGTTACCTGCCCGCTGAAGGCGCGCCGCGGATGGACCGTGGAAGGCTAGCAAAGACAGCAAGACATTGTATATTTGAGTGGCCAATTCTCTATTCCGTATATTAGCCTAATTGAACTTCCCCTTTGATGAAACTGCGGCGATATAAAATACCTGGTGGGGGAGATGATAATGGCTCCAATGTGATGCTTTTTTATAGGTGATTCCAGCCGTAAAAGCCTTTCTACTACGGGAATCAAAAAGGATAATGTCTTCCCGCTGCCCGTCACAGCCTCAACAACGACATCCTTATGCGCCATGAACAGAGGAATTGTCGAGGCCTGTACTGGGGTCATACGGGAGAAGCCCATAGTGGAAATAGCGTCAAGGATCCATTCCGACAATGGAGGGGTGAGAGCATCCCAAGCTCTAGACTTAGAGCTCTGCGGAATCGCTGGAGCCATTCTGCACGCGGGTATCACAATTCCGTCCGGTCTCAAGCTTAACGTGGAGGCTTGAGATGAGGTTGGGGAAGTCTGCGATAGTTTCCCAATGGAGTAAAAAAGTGGAAGTCTTGGCGCGCGGAATAATTTCTGCCGTTTTACGCCGCTATAAATTGCTCCGCCCCACGTGACCTGCGGAGCGTGGCGGAAAAGCTGATTATCACGTGCTAAAAGCCCTTATTTGGAAATATTGAAGCTGACAAGTTATTCATCTGCATCATCTCAGAGACACGGACTCTATCTTTTTATTTCCTCTGCAGCTCCTCACTCTACTGTCGCTTTGCTTTCCACTACTTTGTGCGTCTCAGGGTGAAGAAACCACACCGCTTGTGTGTTTGCTGGCCCAGAATGCGCCTGCATTTTCCGCAGCGAGCGCTCCCTTGACAAACACAGAGCTCTATTTTTGTGGCGTTATAGCCCCTCCTTACAGTATCTTTCGCGGGATATTCTACCCTCTGGCTGCCGTTTTTCGTTCTTTTCTGCCACTCGCAAGGGATCTAGTGTCGGGGCTCTAACTGCCCTCATCGCGTCGATCGTGTTTCCTAGTGCGCCCCTCCAGGATTTCCGCTGTCATGTCAGTTATGTATGCTGTTCCCACTACTCCCCGCGTAACTTCGCCGTCTCCCGCTCCTTCAGATAATTTGACCGCCGGAAACGTTGAGTCTGGCCGTGTCACGCGATCCGCTTCTGCGAGACAACGCCTCTCGTCGCCTCCCGCCATATCAGAGGAGAACGAAACCCACAATGAGAGTGAGGAGGAATCAAGCTCGGACTCTATTACAGACCGCCGCGCACGTACGCGCTCTCGGAGCCCGACTGGGCTACCTCCGAATCAAGCACGTCGACGAATGACGGGACTAACGCCTGTGAACGGCGCCTCGATAACAGGCTTATCAAAATCCGAACCCCTGTCGAATGGATATGTCCCTGCGAATGGCCATCTCTCCCCATATTCCAACATTCAAAACCGTTTGCGGGCTTTCTCCCGTTCTCCTTCACCACTAGGCCTCATACCGCTTCATAGACACTACAGGACTTTTATTCATCGGCATGAAATCCCGCGCAAACTTCTCCATGTTTCAATCGGATTTGTCACGCTCCATCTCTACTACCGTGGGGTCCAGACCTTGAACGTAGCTCCCTGGCTCCTAACAGCATTGATCCCAATAGCTATTACCGATTTCCTACGACACCGCTACCAGTCTGTAAACAAACTGTACATCCGGTGCTTGGGGGCGCTTATGCGAGAGACCGAGGTAGCCGGGTACAATGGTGTGATCTGGTACCTGTTGGGAGCATATATCTCTCTCCGTTTCTTCCCAAAGGATGTTGGCGTGGTGGGCGTTTTGCTCCTGAGCTGGTGCGACACCGCTGCATCCACCTTCGGGCGCTTGTATGGCCGGTACACGCTTCGTCTCCGCAGTGGAAAGAGCTTGGCTGGGACTCTAGCCGCTTGGGCCACAGGGGCTGCTACTGCAGCTGTCTTCTGGGGTTATCTTGTCCCTTGGTTCGGTACCTTCCCTGACGATCCTGAGGGGTCATTCATGTTCAATGGCACCCTCAATCTGATTCCAAGCTTCATTCGAGGCTACCTCGGGTGGGCTGGGATTTCCGCAACTAGCGCAGCTAAAGCAGTGGTTACTGGGCCTTTGGCTTTGGGTATTATGAGTATGTGGACGGGAATTGTGGCTGCTGGCAGTGAACTTATAGACATCTTCGGATGGGATGATAACCTTACCATTCCCGTCCTTAGTAGTGTTGGGATTTGGGGCTTTTTGAAAACTTTCGGATGATATGGTTTATTTTCACATCACTCTTCTCGAACTCTATCTTAATACTTTCCCCCTTCCCTTTCGGCTCCTTGTTTTCTTTTCCCTGATGGTGCTCCATGATGTCATTTTCACGAACCCTACATTTCCACCTCTGAAGTTTACGTACGGTCCTCTATCTTATCCCTTTTTTTACCGGCCCATCTCCCCGTATGTTTTCGCGAATCGCCATTTCAGCTGGTGCTCGTTTTCTAGACAGTTATGTTACCCTCACCACCCCGCTTTTTTATATCACGGATACTTGCCAGTTCCCTTTTTCCATTAGCCCCTCAATCATTGAATCCCTATTTTCAACCCGACATTTTGCGTTCGTGACACTGGCATTACTTCTGGATTTATCGTACAACCCCTTTCTGTCTTCGGCGTTTAGGTTTAGGTCTAAGGAAAGACAGCATAAAGACAATAGCTCGATATTGGATAGCTTAGTATTCATTAACTTAAGAAATATAAATCATTTATTCTCTGGCGTTTATTGTACCGTGATATAGGTTTCCCGTGGTTGACAAGGTCATAGAGGGGTTAGCTGTTGGTGAAAGAAAATTTGGTGAATGGGCATCGTTAGTTTAGAGGAAGTTTATTGGGGGTCTATGGACCACAATGTATGTATTAATTCTAGCGGGATATTGGTAGGATTTTGCATTTCAATATGGGGTATGCTCAGCAAACAGGAATGAGGAATGGCCAAAAAAGAATCCAGAGTATGTTTAGCCTAATTCCTGATTTCCAAAAAAAAGTGTACCGCGGTGGCGATTCAGGTAACACGTGTACCGGCTACTCTTCACTCAAATCTAGAATACTTACTCGTCCAATTAATTTCTTCTTGCCTAGTTTCTTATCAAGGATAGTTTCCCTTCGACTATTTCTTGCGGCCCCCGTATAATAATTGCTCTGCTCTTCAGGGGAAATGTTTTCGTCCTCGTTCGTGCTCTGCCTGTATGTCCAGTATCCTTTGTAAGTTTCGATGACTGACAGCTCGGTTCGCTGAAATGGAGAATTTGTTGCCCGGACCCCATTTTCCGTTTTAGAAAGTAATTTTCTGCGGTCGTCGTTCGAGGGAAGGTCTGCAACTGCACTCGCTAAAGGATTATCCTGGGAAGACCCACCCTTTTCAATGGTGGTATGTGAGTGTTCAGAGAATCCATCCACTTTATGCTCTTGAATCTTCAGTGCCGACATTTGAGATAATATGTCATCTGCAGTGGAAAGGTTGAATTCTGAGATTGACGATCGCAAGGATGACGTAAAAGTGTTCAACTTCGTGGCATGATTTTCCTCCTCGATATCTAAACTTTGAATGGGCGGGTAAATGTTTGATATTCCTTTAGACTTGTTTCGAATTTGTGTTTGGGGCTTGACGGATGTGATTGTTCGTGAACCTACGGCCTCGTGGCTAACTCCAAGACTTAGATCACGATTTTTAGGCGACGATAGCTGAGCATCTGATGAAATTTGCATGTCAAACATGGCTTTGCCTAACATTTCTATGGAAGTGTTGTACAAATCCGCTAGTTATTAGCATGGGAAGATTGAAAACATCGTATAGAAAGGGTGAGAGGAACTTACATTCATTACCATGTTCGAAGTTCAATGCCGCCTTAGTATTAGTTGAAGTCGCCACGCTCGATGATTTTAGGGAAGCTAAAGGATCTCCGTTACTCGAGCTATATGCTTGACTGGATGACAATTCTGAAAGCTGCGAGAATAATCCGAACGCGTCTTCATTTGTGATGGTAGAACCGTTTCGGCACGCGGCTTTTTGAGAAGAGAACGGACGAGAATTGGTCACTACAGTACCTAGGCTTTTAACAATAGTTCCATACTTCATAATCTCGCCAAATTTCATTTTCGGATCGACGACTTTAGGTTTCGTCACCTTCGGGGCTCTCTTGCGGGAAGCTCGTTTCTCCGCAGCTGCTAACTTCTCCTGTTTTCGCGTATTCCACATGTTGACTGCCTCTGGCATTCCAATCTCCGCGACAGCTTCAAACACCCATACCCTATCTTTTTGCGTAGGGTCGTACGAAGTTTGCCGTCGTGTTTCCCGATTGGGGTTGGCTACATCGTCTTCAATCTCTAGATTGTCGATATCCTCGGTCTCACTCTCTTGTTGTGCCCCGGTGGCGGTGGGTTCACTGTTTAAGTCTAACCCAACAATATCGCTCGGTATAAACTCAAGCCTCAGCTCTGATAATCCATCGGTGCTGTAGTGAAATCTTTGCCCGCAAAATTGCGCGCCTGTTGTTGGTTCATAAAGGGCTAACGAGTCAAGGTTGGCGAGGAGTGGGAGGCATAATCTCAATCTATTGCACACCAAGGGCCCCGCAAGGATCTTAGTCAATCTTCTTGCAGAGCCATGCTGCCAGCCGAAATCCTTCCAAACGAAGTTTCTAAGACCCTCGATATCAATGGCTTGGTCCCACTTAAATGACTGCCGTACCTCATTTAGCTTCTCTGCCGAAGAAACAACTGGATGTGTGTAGTCGCGCAGCACTTTCAGGTCCGGAAAGTTATCTGGAATTTGGACAACTTTGTGTTTGGACCTAAAATATCCCTCACCATTTTCATGGAGCTCGGTTTGCAGCCGTTCTCTCCATTTCCCTAACTTCATAGCTACTTCCGATGGGCTACCTTCGATGGCTTGTAATAATTCGTTACCAAAGCCTGCCTGTACGATTTCCCCTGCCAGCTTCGGGCCGCATTTTGGTACTCCCGCAGGTAGATAGTCGCCTCCACTTAACAACGCAAAGAGAATCATGCCACCCCTATCAAGCGGAACATTCGGTTTCTCTTCATCCCCAGTCCCCTCGGTTCGATAAAGAGTAACATGGGTGGCCGCATTTGTTCCGCTAGAGTTTTCTTTGGAAAAGTTCATGATCGTGACCTTTGATCCAAACATAATAGCGTCGACATCATTGCTCATAACTGCATCCACCACACCGGAGGTCTGCAGCCTCGCGCATTCAGCCTCAGCTTCTCCCGGTGCTGTGTGATGCGGAAAGCGGAATAAGTCTATCAAATATTTGGAACGCCGTATTACCCTTCCCAGATCACCAACTCCGGTGTTTCTGCCAATTAACTTCCCACGCTTGTACGTGGGCCTTTGCGGGCCATCGTAAACGAACAGTGGATGCACAGGTAATCCCGTCAACCGTACCAGACGATAGAAGAGGGTTCGAAGCTCCGGATTGGTGCCTCCTTTCCCTGCTTGGATTTGGAAAAGCCATATCGAAATATCTATAGCAACGCGAATGGGTCGGGATGTCCGCTGCAAATGATCGACAGCCAACTTGGCTAAGGAGATTCGTTCTCCAGGGCCGAGTGACTGGATAAGACTGCAAGTATCCGTCAGTACGCACGATTCTTCCAACAGTTAACCCTGGGAATATGACTTACCCCGGAATTCCCATTCAAAAATCCCGGACAGAGGTACTTTCGTACCTCCTATGATTGAGCGGAGTGGATTCAGGCCTTTCCGCATGTCGTTCAGCTGTTCGTGTTTTGGCGATGGTTCGGTGTCAAGCCTCATCGCGTTATTGTGGCGGACATATTACTTGCGAAAACAGAATTTTCCCAGCCCCCTCTGAAAATTAGTAGCAAAACACCACCAAAAAATCAAAATATCTGCATTTCTCTAGAATCATTCAATATCATTCAATACACGTCTTTTTCAATCAAATATCATCCAAATACGCGTCTTTCTTATCTTTATCATCAAATTCACATATATCAATCAACTCTTTTTTCAATATGCCTCACAACACCTGCTGTCCTGCTGCTTCGCAAGCCTGTACAAAGACTCCTACCCTGCACCTCAGTCTCCTCAAACTACCTGTTCCAGAAGTTCTGGATAATGAAGAGGATCCAGTCAATGATGAGATGGAGGAGCAGATGAATGAGAAGGATATAGAGACTCAGTCTGAGGATTCTTGATATCCACAAATCTCTACACCTGAGTCTGATATCTCATACAGATTGTATGAACGGGTGATTATCAATGAGATAAAGAACAAGAGAGATGACAAAATGATTAATAAGTAGAAAGAAGAAGAAGAATTAGAAGAATGAATCTATAATTTCTACAATCAATTCTTCTATACAGATCTCTCAAATGTCAGTGATTATATTCCCTTCTTCAGCTCTGACAGCTTCAACTTCATTCAATATGACATTCTCAAGTGAGATAATCAATGTGATGATGATGAAATATATGATGAAAGGAATAGAAGAACTGAATTCACAATCTCATTATCATCCACATCCAGATCTGCTGTTGAATCTTCCATCAAATCCACCGTTGAAATCTTCCATCGAATACACTGTTGAAATCTTCCATCGAATCCACCGTTGAAATCTTCCATCGAATCCATCGTTGAATCTTCCATCGAATACACTGTTGAAATCTTCCATCAAATCCGCCGTTGAAATCTTCCATCGAATCCGCCGTTGAATCTTCCATCGAATACACTGTTGAAATCTTCCATCGAATCCACCGTTGAATCTTCCATCGAATCCACCGTTGAATCTTCCATCGAATACACTGTTGAATCTTCCATCGAATCCGCCGTTGAAATCTTCCATCGAATACACTGTTGAAATCTTCCATCGAATCCACCGTTGAAATCTTCCATCGAATCCATCATTGAATCTTCCATCGAATACACTGTTGAAATCTTCCATCAAATCCGCCGTTGAAATCTTCCATCGAATACACTGTTGAAATCTTCCATCAAATCCACCGTTGAAATCTTCCATCGAATCCATCGTTGAATCTTCCATCGAATCCATCGTTGAATCTTCCATCGAATACACTGTTGAAATCTTCCATCGAATCCACCGTTGAAATCTTCCATCGAATCCATCATTGAATCTTCCATCGAATACACTGTTGAAATCTTCCATCAAATCCGCCGTTGAAATCTTCCATCGAATACACTGTTGAAATCTTCCATCAAATCCACCGTTGAAATCTTCCATCGAATCCATCGTTGAATCTTCCATCGAATCCATCGTTGAATCTTCCATCGAATACACTGTTGAAATCTTCCATCAAATCCGCCGTTGAAATCTTCCATCGAATCCGCCGTTGAATCTTCCATCGAATACACTGTTGAAATCTTCCATCGAATCCACCGTTGAATCTTCCATCGAATACACTGTTGAATCTTCCATCGAATCCGCCGTTGAAATCTTCCATCGAATACACTGTTGAAATCTTCCATCGAATCCACCGTTGAAATCTTCCATCGAATCCATCATTGAATCTTCCATCGAATACACTGTTGAAATCTTCCATCGAATACACTGTTGAAATCTTCCATCAAATCCGCCGTTGAAATCTTCCATCGAATACACTGTTGAAATCTTCCATCAAATCCACCGTTGAAATCTTCCATCGAATCCATCGTTGAATCTTCCATCGAATCCATCATTGAATCTTCCATCAAATCCACCGTTGAATCTTCCATCGAATACACTGTTGAAATCTTCCATCGAATCCGCCGTTGAATCTTCCATTGAATCCACTGTTCCATCTCCAATTCAAAGCAGTTCAATACCTCAATTTGATGAATACTTCAATTGATTGACAAGGGAACAGTTGCTTCATATGAATATTGACAAGAGTATATTTCAAATTATAAGAGATGGATTAAAAAGTCCATTATAACAGACAAAATTGCAGAAATTCAAATCATCTTTATTCACTATTTATAGTGATGAGAACAGATCTCATACTACTTTCACTTCTAAATTTATATTATAATGAATTGTAATCTGAATCTTTCTAATTATTATAATACTATTCTATATAAGTAGATCTGAAATATTCTTTTATATCTTTTTCTCTTATGAAGTTCTCAACTGCATGATATAAAAAAGCTTCAAAATCTTCATCAAATCTCTTCAGAATTGAAGAGATATCTGATATAATCTTTGACTTTATATCACATGTTGAACAGAGTTCTCTAGCAGTTTCAAAACAGTGAAGATTTCATTGAATTCAATATACACAGGTGATAATCAATGCTTCGCGCGATCTCAGCAGACATATAATCATTCTTAAGGTGTACAATCTTGTTGATAATGAAATCACAGAGTTGAGGTGGCATATTGATGATAAAGGTAAGAAAGACGCGTATTTGGATGATATTTGATTGAAAAAGATGTGTATTGGATGATATTGAATGATTCTAGAGAAACGCGGATATTTTGATTTTTTGGTGGTGTTTTGCTACTAATTTTCAGGGGGGGCTGGGAAAATTCTGTTTTCGCAAGTAATATGTCCGCCACAATATCACGTGATATGCAACCCACCAAGATCTTAGAGACATCAATCAATACAACCTCTGAAGAGAGCCCGTGTCTACCGCGTAACAATTTTAGCTAGCTTACGGACTGCGTTTACACATTGTTTCAGGACCCAGTACGATTGGGGTGCGGTGATGATGACGATGAACCCAACCCGGAAAGGAACGATGCTCAAACCCTGTCTTTGCTCCCCCAAGAAAGCATAAACATCTAGATAAACAAACTATATTTGTTTCCGCAACATTGGTTAAAGAGCAATTAATAATGGCTACTGCTTCCTCTTCATCAGGCTTCGACCGGCGACAGTCGCTTACCTCTACAGCCACAGTTCGATCAAGCCTCCGTCAAGGGCGACACCATGGGTCTCCGCATACACCGCAGCAGCGACAGATACTATCGTCATACACGGGCTCTACCTCTCCTGGGTCGTCGTTTCGGCACGAAGAAGATGCGGTGATATTTGAGTTGGGATCTCGGTATCTCCGTGCCGGGTTCGAAGGCGACAACTCCCCAATATGTGTCGTTAGCTTTGGTCCGGAGGGAGGACGAAGAGTCGGGGATTATAGGGGATGGATAAGAACCGGTGGGCATGAGGGAACGAATTCAAGTAAAGTCCACAAAAATGTGGATGAATGGTCGAAAAGCTACGAGCTTTGGAGCATGGATATCCGAGATTTTGACATTGGGCTATTTGAGGATAAAGTGGAGCGAACGGTCCGTGAAGTTTACAACAAGTATCTTCTCACAGACGCGGGCTCTTCGCGGCTGGTTATTGTGCTGCCGCCAATTGTCCCTCATCCGCTTCTCTCATGTCTCCTATCAACCATATTCAATCGTTGGAGATATCCTAGCATAACTTTACTGCCGTCTGCAGCCATGGCGGCTATTTCGGCAGGGTTAAGAGCTGCACTTGTTGTTGATATTGGATGGGAGGAGACCACAGTTACTGGACTTTATGAATATCGAGAAATTCAGTCGAAACGAAGCACTCGTGCTATGAAATTTCTAATGCGCAAAATGGGTTCCTTCCTTACAAGTCTAGCAGAAAACTCGCGAAAGAAACACGAATCCGATAATAACAATGGGGATGATGATGTAATCGCGGTGAGCTTTGAATGGTGTGAGGAAATAGTGACGCGGTTAGCCTGGTGCAAAAATAAGGGAAATACTGAGCCCACTGAAAGGATCTCTGAGGAGTCTTTCCCAAGCCCAGAAGATTCACAGCTATACGATTACAATGTCACTTTGCCGTCGCAACTAGGCGATGCTACCACTGACATGAATGTCCCGTTCGCCAAATTTTCTGAACCGGTTGAGGAAGCTTTGTTTGCTGGAGGCGTTGATGCAAGAAACCTCGATGATGATGAAATGCCTCTTGATCATTTAGTCTATTATGCCCTCCTTGCTCTTCCGCCGGATATCCGCGGCGCATGCATGTCGCGCATCATTTTTGTTGGCGGGGGTTCGAATATTCCAGGTATTCGTCGAAGAATAATGGACGAGGTGGAGTTCCTTATAGGGAGCCATGGTTGGGACCCCGTTAGAGGGAAGAATGTTAACAAACGCCGGGGGCAGCTTCAGGAAATTTCTATGAACCAACAACGGCCGGTTAGCTCTGCTTCGAATAGAAGCACCCAAGGAGATACTCAGTCAGAGTCGGCTACGAATTTCGTTGACGAAAAGCTGGAACGTGCCAACAGGGATGCCAAACCATATATGCATGGGGTTCTTCGCCAGGTTGAGTCTCTCGGGTCCTGGGCAGGAGCTAGTCTTGTAGCCAGCCTCAAGGTCAAAGGAATCGTGGAAATTGAAAGAGACAAGTTCCTACAGCACGGTCTTGCGGGAGCAAGTCGCGACTCTGACCTAACCCACATTGCAGAGCGACGATCCGGATATGGGCCAGGTATAGGCAGATCAGGTGTCGAAAGGTCAAGCTGGACACTCGGTGAATGGGGTTAATACGTGGAGGATGTTAAGCACTTCATACCTTTTCGTTCTGAAGATATTGAAAGGTAGGATCTGGCTTTGGGTACGATCTTTGGGCTTATTACTTTGTTTTTCCTAATTTTTCTACCGGCTTCGATCCTGGCTTGGGACGATACCACGGCGTTGTTCATTTAATATTCACTACTCGTTACCATGCCACTCTATCTTGGAGTATATGAATACCCTGCTAGTGAATGTAACTTGGGTTAGGTGCAATTCTTTGTTTCCAGTTTCAGAAATTGGACATTTCTTTAAAGCAGTATCATCCCTCTGAGGCCTTGGTACTCTTGTCCTTTCAACAACAGGCCAGCGTGTTGTGGCAACAAGGCAATTGTGATTTCCTTTCAAGTTTGATATACCTTCAGTCAGCCTATTATAAGCATGCACCTGCCTTGTTGATACTAAAAGCAGTCTCAAAGTATCTCAAGGCTGTTCTCGTTCTTCGGTGCCTCAGTCTCCCTTCTTCCTTCCTGCAGCGAATTTATTTGGCATATCTTCATCTAACATGAAATGTGTTGCAAACCCTATTCTTATCGACCTGTCCCGTTTTTATTGGACTAAACATTCATGATGACTTCTTCGATACGGACATTCCGCTCCGTATCATCACCTTCCTCTCGCCAACTTCACGAGCCACGAAATTCAAATCGGGCATCCAAACGGTTCTCTCTTGGTATTTTCTCAAATTCAGACCTCAGCCGTAGTAGCACTGCAACTACAGCCTCGGGCAAAGAAACACGCCAATGCGCTCCCACCTCCAACGAGGTTGACCTCCTTCCCAATGATCAGATCAAGCTCGAGGAAATCGCGAACTATCATCTAGGTCAGATAGGGCGATTAGCGATTGAAATAGCACATTGCAATGAACAGGTCGAGCTATTACCACGCACCAAACTTCCGGAAGGCATGGAGTGTATTGCTAGGAAACATTATGAGCGAATGCAAGCGGCTGAGGACTGGCTGAAACTGCTTGAAAATTTCCAGGATTTCCACCGGCAGGAAGTTGAAAGAATTAAGGAATTGAAAAAGAAATTAATGATGAGCAACGCTTTGGATAGTGATCCTCTTATGTATGTTTTCTGCCACTCTTTCCCTTTTGCTTTGCGCTTCTGGGTGTTGTCTGCCTCAGAATTTTGGTTGTCGGGTTTTGGATGGCTTTGATTTTTTAACACCCTTCAATCTACCGACCGGTGCTGACACAAGGGCCCTTCCATGACATGGTTAGAACTCTTTCTCGAGACGATGAGTTTCCCAATACGTTTTGTGACTATGACTCCTACACGTAGAGGGAAAAACAAGTATTTGGTTTTTGGAGACCACATTTCAATATGGTTAACCAAAACCTAACTCAACCTATTTCAGCATAGTCGAGTATTCAGCCCGAAATTAAAGCTTAGATACAATGCTCCTTTACAAATTTGGTGTTGAATGGAGATGATCGGGATCCCATTCGAAATTACACCTTTGTATGCTCTTCTTCCTTTGTAGGGCAGAAGGACGGAACGGAACGAAGAGGTAAAGGAGGGAGGGGAGCGATGACAAAGGGTATGGGGTGGAGACAACCTGAAACTTTTCTCCTTTTCCTTAATGTCTTGAGCACAAAAGCTGCCACTATTCTGGAACATCCACGGCTTTGTTCAGAAGGTTATGTGCGGGCGTTGTGATTGCGGAATGGTCTTTTCAGGGATAGGAATATAATGAAAATATCATTGTGTATTAAAACGCTACATTTGCTTTTGCTCCCTATATACAAATTAAATACTGATTGTTTTTTTTTTTTTTTTTTCTCCCTTGTTTTCGAAACAGCGCCATCGATCATGAGTACCTCCGGGTGAAGGGAACAAAGGAAATTATCGATACAGAAGTAGGTATCTATCTATATGATAGATAAGGTTGATTAAGAATTAAAGTGCACAACGGCGCCAATTAAAGGAACAGGTAAAATAAAACCAGCGGAAAATTAAAAGGGATAAGGACCAGAAATAACAGGAGAAAACACGTGGGAAACGGACCAAGGAAATATTGTGAAAGGATAACCTTTACCCCCTTTTCGGCCTAAAATCTGGTTGGCCCGTTTAAAACCCCGAGTCCTAGATTTCACAAAATCCATTTCAAACATTTCCAAAAGCGAAAGTAACCCAGTTCACGGCTGGTCCGGTGTCGAGAGAGTAGATCTGGAAGTTGTCTTGGCCCCATTTAGGGTTGCTGATGCCGTCAATCCAGCTCTCGGTCTCGATAACAATACAGCCGTATTGGTTAATAACGTCTACACTCTCTTTGTTGCCTTCCATTTTATTCCGGTGAACCTGAGATTTCTTGACGGGAATTGTCCCATCCTGATTATTGCAACTGTATATTTGGATGGCCTTTTGGTTCGTGGTAACTTGCATGCTGATGCCGGAGGTACTGGAAGCCATGTTCAGAGCGACAGCCATAGTTTCAGGGGACGAGGTCCAGTCTGATTCATTAACTGGGCGATCGATGATGAATGCGTTGTCATACCCTGTGCAGTTGGCACCGCAATTCTTGGCCGAGGCGATGTCTCTGCCGATGAGCTTCGGCTGAGTGAAGTCAAGGGCACCGTCGAATGTCGTTGCGGTGTCTGCGAGCCTGCCTGTTGGGATCGCCGCGGAATCGATGTAGATAAATTGTTTTGACAACGGCAGGTGCAAGGTAGTATCGTTCAACACGTTGGGCCTTTTGAACGCATTTAGATTCCAGTAAATGTGGTGTGCCAACATGATAGGTGTCTTCTTCGTCAAGGCAAGAGAAACGGTTTTTGCAGTTAATTTGGTTCCGCATTTCGTCTTTTCTTTAGAGCACGATGAACCGACGCTGTAGGTGGCATATGTGATAACGTCACCAGGGAAACCTTCAAAGCCAGTGTCGAGGAGACTGAAGGTAATGGAGGTCTCAGTGTGATTTACCACGGTCCAAGGACGCTGATCATACCCAACAACACCTCCATGGAGAGTCTGGGTGTCGTTGTTTTCGTTTTTGGTAATGGGATACTTAACACCGTCTAGTTCAAAGGAGCCGTTTTTGATTCTATTGGCGTATCTTCCTACGATGCAGCCAAAGTAGGTATGGTTGGTCTTGGTATCGGTTAGATATTGTTTAGGATCATCGTAACCGACGGCAACATCCTGCTGCTTGCCATCCCGATCGTTGACTAAAAGTGAAGTCAGGGTGGCGCCATATGGAATTAATGTCGCCTGAATGTTCTGCGCGGAAATGACATAAGTTTTAAACGGATCTGGAGAAGTAATAGGATAGGACGCTGCCAGGGAGGAACCCCATAGCAGCGCCGACGCAAGTAAAGCGGCTGGATTGAAATACATTGGTGCGGCTATAAGACAAGTGATAATGATGGCTAAGATTCTGTAGGTGGTGAAAATGTGTTGTGAAGAGGTTGTAACAGGTAAGAAGCAGAGCAGGAGGACCGGATTATTTTATAGATTCCCGCGTGCCATCACCCACTCCCACGCGGGGAACATGAATCTCAGTTAACTTAGTGACATTACCGCGCAGCAGGGATACCACGGAAAGGAAATGCTTAGCGACGAGGTCGAGTGGTGATTGGGTGTTTCCCGGAAACAGGGGGGGGAGCTTGAACTCAGATTGGAGAAAGCTTCGAGATGGGAATCCAAAAATCTGCGTGAAAACGATGTTACTAACATGCAGGTGCCCTCCTGGGAGTCACTGGTCGAATTTTGCCTTGTACCTTGGACAGAGCAGTGTGCAATCTGAGTTTTCGTTGAAGGTACTGGACCTACAACTTCGATCTAGTTTTCTTTTCCTGGATATTGATTCCTGTAACCGAGCTACGTCCCCGTTTTTGTTCGGCTCTCTCCAATGAAGTGAGATGCGATGAAATGTATACTTTCTGACTGTCAAGCAAGCAGCTAGTCCAGGATGATTTGAGATATGTTGCCCGTCGTCCTGGAAAACTTGGGGACGTTGAGTAAACTCCACCTGCAGCCGAAGCGCAGCTGCGGACCCATGCGCCAAACGATAACATTCGTCACTCTGCAATTGAGATCGTCATCATGTCTAAGAAAAATCGTTGGCTGGGCAGGACGATCTACAGCTTTCCAGAAAGGCAGTCGCTGGATTCCTTGTTGCGGAGAAAAACTAGGTTGCATGTCCAGGGTTGCCGGGCCAGACGCGCTGGAATACTGCTGTCGCTCCGATATAGGGCATAAAAGAAATATGAAAGAAATATATAGTTCAAAATTGAAGATGATGTTTGAATAACCTTGAAAGTTCCAAGGTTCCGGTTTGGATTTATGGTTTGGAAAAACAAGCATAAAATAGCGGCCCACTAATTTCCTTCTTTGGCGCTGGAGCTCTCCCGCGTGCAGCAACTTATTAGTTATTGTCTTGGTTCGGAACATAGTATTTCCGTTATTCGAAGTGTCGTAAACACAGCGCACGGACCATGTTCCCAAAGAGGCAAAGTCCCCTCGTTTCCCGGCGCAAGAGGATCAAAACATTGGAGGGACAGCGGCATGATAACGGTATCGACCAACCAACTCGATGCCAATGGCATATCTTCCCTTACGACTTAAAGTGACCTATACCTGCACCTGTGATTTACAATATCTTGCCCTGATGGAGTAGCTGGTCCTCGATATCCTGGGCACCCTACCCTACCCAACACCGTACCCGATACACCCCAATCGCCTGAGCAACACCCAATTTCCGGCCTCCACATCTCCCTAATGAACCCGTCAAGTTCGCCAGTCATAAGTCGCGATGGATTACAGGAGTGATACATCCTCCCCAGATCCGCTGGGCTATCCCGGCGACCCAGAATATATCCTATCCTCGGCAACAAAGCCCTTTCTGCGACGCCAAAGCACCTTTTCACCCCGCAAGTCCCTGTCACCTACCAGACGCCTATCACCCAGCAAAGCAGACGGGAGGAGCGCGCAGTCCATTAGGTTCCAAGATATCATCCTTCCGTCCACTCCGTCTGGACGTTTTAGTGGCAAACATCGGCTGTCCCCAACGAAAACGACGACCCTAAATTCGGAGAATAATACCAGCCCCTGGAGGATCCGAGTTACGGTCGAGGCAGAGCAGGATGAGGCGGATGAAAATTTTCCAGGTAGTGTGCGATCGGGTATGAAATCGCGAAGAGGAAGGACAACCAAAGTGCCCTTGAAGGATGAAAATGACTCACTGGAGCCAAGCCCTAAAAAGCGGCGAACAGGGAAATCGGACTTGTCGCAACGTGTTCCAACACCCCGAAAAATAAGGAGCAGGATTGAAACACCGACGGGAAATACGGGAACTGCTGAAAAGAGAAAACGAGGAAGGCCCAGGAAAAGTCAGCCTTCTGTAGAAGGAAGCAATGTGGTGAACAAAGCCACTTTTGCCGAGTCAGTGCGAAAGAAGATGCGAGAAGAGGATCCTTTTCTCGACATTGCTACGGAAGATTCAGGAACCAATAATACTGCTGTAGATAACATACTCGCCGATACTGCTGACCCGAACCCTTTGCCCGACTTTATCCTTTCAACCAGTGATCATAGATCGTCTCCAACGCCCACGGAGAGAACTATGTCACAACAACCTGATTCTCGATCCAGAGTGGAGGGCTCAGCTCCTGATAATCCTGCGAGCTTTATGTCCTCCCCATACTCCCCCGGAAAACCTACCGGCCTCACACCTGAAAACACAATCGATGCTGGGCATACTCCTGGTCCCCAGGTGAGAGGATATCCTACACCTACTTCATCTTCTCTATTAGAAGAAGGGATTGCCGAAATCCAAACGGGTGACTCTTCAGGTGCAAAAAACCAACAAAGCGGATCAGTTCTAGACCCAACAACCCAGCATCGAGAATTCGACTCGATTCTAGAAAGCGAAGGATTTAGCATGGTGTCACTTGGCACCTTGCCATCAGCGAGGCAGCAGTTAAATCATTCATTTCAAGACGCTGTGAATCAGGGCATGATTAACAGCATGAAGAAGTCGCCGAAGAAGGAAGTGCTAGGCAAGTCGAAATCTGAATCTCGACATGGCGGGTTATCTGTTTCTAGCATTCCCAAGAAGGATGATGCGTATATGCCCTCTTCAGAGCCTCAACAAACATCACAGTTATCACAACAGGTGAGAAGAAGTCCGCGACGAAACAATAAAACTCCAGGAACTATATTTCCATCCTCACAGCAGCCGCGTGCACCCGCGATTCAGCCCTCGCGGCCTCCGAAAAAGACACGACTCGTCAAGTTAGTCCGAGTAATAAGAGCAGGTATTGCACTTCAGGGTGTACTTAATCGACGTAGGAGGAATTCGAGGCTCCAAAGTCCCTTCTCAAGCCCGGGTCAGACTCGCGGAGATGATCGCGAGGCTGTAAGGCAACGTCTCGATGCACTCTTTAGAGGTTTTGGAAGCGAGACAGAACGAGAACTACGTGCAGGACTTCGCTTTGGGGAACAGCTTGCGAACCGCCTTCAGGAGTCTGAGAGTAGAAAAAAGCGGGAAGAACCAGGACCAGCAGTTGACTCACCAATGACACCAGATGGCTTCGCAGCTAATGAGCGCAACGACGCGGGGTACGCGGGTATTGGCAATGCGGAGAGTAGAAGTGCATCTTCACATTCAGTGAAAAAACACTCAAATAGGGAACTGGACGGGAAGTCACAACTTATGAGTAGTCTCGGTAACAAAAATCAGTCACCCCAGCTACGGCTTGGCTCGGAAATGGCACGACGTGAAGCACAGTGGCAGCGTGAAAGAGAGATCATTAGCCGCCAAATACAGCAGGCAAATTCGAGCCAGGTTATTGTTATTGATAGCGACGAAGGTAGTCCGGAAAGACGTCCTCTAGGAAATGAAGAGCCTGAGGAACACCATGAAGACAACCCTATGGAAGAGGAAGATTACGAGGACATATGGCAGCAAGAAGCCCGCGATGTTGAAAGCCAGTCGGAGTCAGCGTCATTCGTCGAACTTAGTCGAGAGGAAATTATTAAACCGCCACGGAGGGTTCTTCCAAGTCCGTGGAAACGCAACGTGGACGTTGCTGACCACAGCCAAGACGAAGAAGCGACTCCCGGTCCGGGCCCGTATTGGGCAAACCGCACCAATTTATATCCTCTTTTACCCAGAGGGAAAACCGAAACTGCAAAATTCAGAGAACAGAACGTTGAGAGTTCGTCACTACTGGGTTCTCCGGAAAGCGCCACGAGGAGATTTTATCAGCAAAATAATGTTTCTCCTGAAAACGCGAGCAGCCAGCCTGAATATCCTGAGGATCAACGGCCAATGAGAAGTACCACCATTCCTACCTTCGCGGCTTCCTATGGCAGAAACGAATCACCATACTCTGATGACCAGGTGTCTGATGCTGATGCTATCCATCCCCAATGGGCTCCGTCCCCTGAAAGCGGTAAAAATGAAACGAGACAGACGAGTCCGGATAACGGCGACGTTTATTCTCAGCCATCAGTGGAGGATGACCATCTATATCCAGAATTGCCGTCCAACTCTGTTCATTCTTCGAGAAACCGCCCAGGTGCTGAGGAGGAAATTTACTCTGAAACAGAATCGCCAAACTTAACTCCTCTGGCGCTCCAATATTATCAACATGATAAGGAACCTTCTACCATTCAGTCGCAATCTCCTACTGAACCTCAGCAGGAGCCTCGTCCGTCATCTTGGTTCCACAAGTTGACTGACCTTGCTCCGTCGTGGCTCACTACTGCAGCTTCTCGGAAAGTTGAAAGAAAGCAACCAGAATCAATCAGCAACCCTGCATCTCCATCATCTCCAAACCGTGAGCCGTCAGTTGAGAGCTCTTCAATTCAAATGTCTCCTCCTACTCAAAGATATTCGGTTTCGGGATCACCAGCGCAGCCGCTTCCAATTGAGAGCTCTCCTATTCAGCAATCGCCAGTAGGTGAACCACTTGCTCAAGATTCTCCTTTGCAAGAACCACCAGCACGTGAATCTCTAGCTGAGGAGCCTCTAGTCCATCAGCGCCCTCATCAACCCATCAAGAGGACGATGGTCGACACCGGAACCCAGTTCTCCTCGCCACCAATAACGAAGCCTAAACGGCAAATTAGAAGGCAACCCCCTTCGCAACGCAAAGCATTAGCAATCTCGGGTTATTTTACGGATGACCATTATGCCGCATTGCGCCACTTATACCACAAGGCAAAGCGCTCTCCAGGTTCCTTCCGCTATATCGAAACTCCAGATCGAAATGGAATGCTAGGTCAACGCATATATTCTGCTGATGGCGTATACAGCCGTCGCATTACCGAGATGCAGATTGCCATTGTGGATAAATTTCGACGGGCCTTGTCTGTGGACAGTAGGAGGCGTGGTGGGACGGGAAAAGTGGAATGGAGTGAAACAGAGCTTTTGAGGAGACTGTTCAGCATAATCGTAGGTGAGCAGGTGAGGCGGGAGCGGAAAATGGATCTTGACCATCAACTTGAGCTAGCAGGCCGACATGGATAAATTAGTAAATAGTGAAGTCCGCGCGAAGGAGTTGTCTGTCATAGCTGATGCTTTTTGGGATATTCCGTTGTCTCTTGTGTTGGACTACATTTCCACCACCCGCTTCCTCCGCCGTTGGTTTATGCCAATCGCGCAGCATTATTTCATGCCTGATCAGCGACCTATTTTTGGCTTTATCTTTCGATTATCGGATTTTAAGCTTTTGGTGTTACCGGCGTTTCCATGTTTTTTGACAACCCTATGAGCATTTTTTTGGTTGATGGGTTTACTACTTGGATTTATTTTTTATTTTTTTTGATGGAGAATTAGCGGTGCAACTATTTTATTTTCCATCCAACCTTTTCAGTATCTTCATTTCTTCTTGCTCTCCATGGAGCTCATAAGCACTTGGATGTGTGTGTACTTGTTGGAGTATCTGAGACCCGATGGGTCACTATCGAAGATATCTATCTGATCATGATCATATCTTTGCTTGTCTGCTAGATGTGTAAGCAAAATTTATATTGTACAGTACTTGTGTACAATACATCTATACTTTCTTTGTCCTAATTGTTGTTTTCCTATACTCATCAACCACACTGTCTGTTCTCTTGATGTAACAGTATTAAAATTTCATTAAGATCAGAGTGAATACATGAGTCAGAGGATGACCTAAGAAGAAGCTGTGTTAATTGCAATGAACATGATTGCTTCTAAGTGAGAATCTCAGAGTGGCCACATCTTATAACTTCCATGCAGAGAAAGATATCTTCTCTTCCTTTTCTACTTGTTCTCTTCTTCACAACAGCTTGGTATTTTATTTTCTTTTGCTCATTCAGATTGGAAAGTGAACATATTTCAGTTACTCATTCTTCCAGCTTCATTTCTTCATTCATTCTTTTAAGGGGCAAGTAAACAAGTCATGTCCTGGGCAGAGCAAACAAAAGGTGAGTCAACACAGCTAGCAGATCACTTTTCCGAGCAAAAAATTCTGACAAAAGATCATTTCTTTGAAGATATGCCTGATGAGAAAAACCCCAATCGCTGTGAAGCCATGAGTCAAGTCAACTACAAAGCGACTGCAGAGAAGTGGGTGACTGACATGTTGCATCGCATAGAAGGACGTCATCCAGATAGCAATAGCAAACAGGACAGAAAGACACCGTTCAAGTACGAGAACAACGCGATCATCAATCCCGGAAACGAGGATGAAGCCGAAGAGCCCAGAGCGGCGAATGAGGCTACCGGAAAAACCCACAACACGCTTCTACCCAATCGCAAGACCAAGATTACGGGGCCGGTGGATGGAGCGCGGCGTCCCTGGAGCGCGGCCCATGAGAAGGAGCTCAGGAGTTGTCTGCTCGAGTATAGGAACTGTCCGGCGGAGTGGAATGAAGATGGGCCTCGATTTGCACACGTCGGTAACCCACCTCTCCATCTTTCTATTATTGTTTGGAAATTCTTAAATGTTGAAATAGTTCGTTGAAGGATAGGGGGTCGGGGTGGGGGGGGCCGCAAGAAATGACGTTCGATATAATAGTATATGTACTAACCAGCGGGACCTCTCTCCAAATACAACTCAACATATATAGATGCTCAAACTCATGGAGCAAAAAGAAGCTCATGACGAATTTGCCAGACGCCGCTCCTTTCACGACATCAATGAAGGCTGGATGTACCGCAGCATCACGAGCCAACGGATCAAGGCCAGGAGGGCGATGCCAATGGGTTTCTACCATGCCATCAGTAGTGAAGTGGGTTTTATTAATTTCACATTGCCATTTACGATTCTATTACTTTTTGTTTGTTTTTAGCTAGGTTTACTTCGTTGGGTCTGGTTGGATTATGCGGAGTAGCCAGAAGTTAATTTGGGGATAGGCCGGATTCGAGAATGCAGCTGAAACCCCCAAGGACGAGGAAGGCTAGAGAGATGCAGGTGACGCATTCTTGGTACGTGCTGTGCTTCTTTTATCTCTCGTGGTTGTGGTTCCAATGTATCCTATCTGATGTTTGCCTAGTGGAACTCTTATGTTAAATGCTGGGAGACTATGGACCTTCTTAACACGCAGCTCGTGTATCTAGACTCTTACAATGTGTAGTCAGGGGTAGTTGGTTAAACATCGTAGCCAAAGTGCTTCTAAGTAAACTGTTGCCCGCGAACATTTCTGTTAACTATATTTCAGCCGAAAGTTCTATCAAAATATCATGGATACATTATAGTCTACTTAAGCCTGGTGAGATAAAAAACTGCAGGCATACCGTTAACAGAGAGTAGATAGATCTCTAGATACGACGATGGATTTTAAACATCCCCCTCTCTTAGCCCTTGAAGTCTAAATCAAAAGAAACGCCTTTCAGAGAGGTCGTCCGGAAGTATCACTTCATGATAAGTCCGTCACTCTCGCCCTACATTCACCAAACACTATATCCACCTATTGACATCTACCGATTCCCAGCACTGGAGTTTGATGATGTAGGACTGGCCGCTCTTCCTCCGGACGCAGTTAGATTAGTAGGACCAGCACCGACCGACTGTCCAAGGGTCGGTAGGTCAGCGCTAGGATAAACGGCCCAGGCAATAAATAGGAGTGGAATTGGGGCAGGGCGGCGCTGTAACCTCCGATGCCCTGTCAGAGTAATCAGACAGCGCAACGCCGGTGGGATCCAAAGTAGCGAAACGGGATTTCAAATTTGTGAAGTCCGGGTTGACAGGGGTGGGGGTGCCGCGACGGGAGAAGCCGTCGAGGGCTGAAGGGTTAGATGTATCGCCCTCGGGCACCTTGCCATAGGTGATTAGCCCGTAGTTATTCAACTCCTCTATCCACTCGTACACCAATGCGCCAGACCAGGTGCCTGTCATTTCCGGCCCAAGGATGGTATTGAGGTCGTCGAAATCTCGTGGTCGGACCGTGTTGCAGCCAGTTTCTGAAAAGAAAATCGGAACCGGGTATCCCGCTGCTTGGTTTTGCAGGTTGGCATAGCTGGAGATTTCAAATGTTGATTCACCGCACCATTCGTACGTGTTGAGGCAAAGGAGTCTAATCTTTCAGATTCATCTTCCCGGCAAACCAGGTAGTTCCGCAACATAGGACACAGCTCTGCTATATCCGCAGCGGAATAGCCGACCGGTATCCTCCGGTAATCCTTCGAGTCGCGATAGGCCCCGATATCTCGAGCCGCAGCTAGGAAATACGGGCTTGCAGCGGAGTCATTCGCTACGGTAAAAACCTCGCTGCCCACAAAAACTCCGGCCGTGTTTCCGTACTTCTGTAATTCGTCAAGGGTCAATTTGAACGCGTCGACCTGCTTCTGACTCCAAATAGGGGATTGCTAATTTGGCACAAGGGGTATTTAGATAATTTGTCAGCGCTTTTTGGTCTACCAAGTAAAGATCTCTTATGTACAACTTATTCCCTGGAATCTTGCTAGTTAATGGAATATACCTCTTCAATTTGGGTTGGAAAGTCATCCAAGTCCACAAACAAGTATATCCCTGCATCCGCCAACGCTTTCATGCACTCATCGGGATCTCCATTAGGGTCAACATGATAGACGCGTATAGCATTTGCACCCAGCTCCTTCATCAATGAAGAGTCCAGTTTGCACTGTTCGGGGTCCACAAGGGGATCGTGAAGAGTGAGCCGGTACGCAATTTCTATCAGTCAAAAAGCTAGCATCAGCTCATCAATGAGATAGTTGACGAAAAACTGCTGGCCCTCCTCATTGAAAAACTTTGAGCCTATAGCAGAGAGCTTCGATATTGCAGAGATATTATGTACCGGCAATAGTAGCCATAGGTATGCCCCCATCATAGCTCCGAAGGAAGAGCTACGGTTCCACATTGTGTTCGATTCTCGATAAGCTATAGAAGAAGCAATTGATGAGAATCCAGGGTATCGAAACTGATTAAGGAACGACTGAAATAGATGTATTCAACCACCCCCGGCTCAATTGTAGCTTCTTAGCAAACAGATCCCCAGGAATCCTTGTAGGAACATGCAATTCTGCTGAAGAACAGAAGATGAAACGAGCGCGCAGGGGGATAGATTGCAGAAATACAATCAAGAGAGAGGGATACATAATGGAAACGATGGACGATAAGGAGTTAAAATAAAAGAGCAAAGACAGTCAGCACGCGTAGAGACGGGACAGACACTGTTGTCATCCTGGGGAGCCTTGAATTTGATCTCATTACCGCAGAATCGTACCTCAATCATTCAGGTACACACACACACACACACAGGCCTCAGCCCTAGATCTTACATAGTCCATGACGTTGAGGACTCGCAGAGGCTTCGAAATATATATCCGAATAAACGCTCGCAATCGCAATCGCATTCCCCCCTATTTTTTTTTCCGGATGGCATCTCAGCCAACGAACAAAACGGCCAGCACTGGTAGTAGCCAGTCATGCAATATGCTCAGATATCGCCATTTCGCTTACCTTAACGCTGACGGAAAAAAATAACAATCGCTGAGACTTGGTTCGATAGTTAAAGACCGAGTAAGCCAAGTTTCTATTCAGCTGAAGACCAGGGGTATTGACTTCTTTTTAACTGGTCTTTTGTTCGAGGTATTAAAGTCATTTGCAATGTGTCATACCAACGCAAATAGTGTACATGTATGTAAAGCCATATAGGTTGCTGTACATGTACATACATAGATAGTTATATCAGAAATAGATTGCGATAAATAGTTTAAGGTTATAAAAATAAGGTTGATATGCTGGTTTTCACAATAGTTAAGTAAGTTATTTAGTTGAACTAACGAGTTTTGCGCCGGATTCGAGTCTTTGCCGCCATGGAACCAAACAAAGAGCTGTGAGAATGAAAAATAGGTGTGCAATCCGATTCTTTTCTTCTTACACACGGATATATAACTAACCTGTTATTTCTCCGACCCTGGCGATCTACGAGCTGACGAACTACCGAAATGTTGAAGCCGGGTACCATACCAACCTACCTACCTCTCTCTCTATTATAAGTGAAAGAGTTACATGGTCAATTTTTTGACGATGGGTGTGCTTTTTGTCCACTGAACTCCGTCTATACTTCCGTGATACCTATGCAGAAGGGCTCTATCTTCCTATTATTACAAACACATGACGACTCCAAGGTTGATATTCGTGTGGATTAACTTTACTCTTGCAGATGGATTAGTGAGAAAGCGCAGAATGAACCCAGTTTGTTATACATTTGATTAAAGCTGTGGTGATAAGAAATCAAGATCCGGGTGCGACGAACAGTGATGAAGACGAAACCCGCTTTTTGTCCTTTACGCCCCCTCCTGAAGAAGAATCTAGAACATTAACTATACACGCCAATGTTTATAGACTAGAGTACTTCAATCTTGTTTCCTCCCGTTCCATTCCCGCAGCGTTTCAGCCTGGATATGATAAACAAGGGCACCCACCCTCTTTTGTCACCCTGAAACAGTGCCCCGTCTATCTATACCGCGATACCTGTTTCCAATCACCATGTACAGTACAGTCAGTACATACATGGTTACTGACAGGATAATACATTCCTAGTCACGCTGTAGGAGAACGAGTGCACTAGGTCAACTAGCCAGATAGACCGATAGACCCGGCCATGGACTTTTCTACAACCTCTTCTCTGAGCTGGGTATTACGTGTGAGAGATAAAACTGCATGCTAGGGCGCCTGCTGAGCAGAAGGCTAGCTCCGATCAAAGCAAAGCCATGCAAGATGGAATGATAATGATATCCGTTCATCTATGAAAGAGCATCTGGGCCGGCCGCTAGGCCTCTCCGCGATCATCTCATCTTATCATATCCCCAACAACCCACACTTCAGAGAGAGTAAGTATGTACCATGCATGAGGATGGATGGGGGCTGCGATGTAGCTTAGTGGTGCATAAATTGCGTAGATACCAAGTTTTTTTCAGCCCCGCAGATGGTGGATTTTCAACTTTCAGGAATAGTTGCTGCGGTGGTAGGGGGGCGGGGAACCCCCGAATAATCCTGACTCTTTGGCTAGGTATCACACGGCCAAACATCCATAAGCTCAGCTCTTTAGATAGCATGTGTCGTTGGCTCAAAGTCGAGGGCACGACATGAACCTAATCAGTCGGCATTCTCGAAGCCAGACCAATCCCGATTGGTTCAAAAGGGCATTTCTGGCCTGAGAGGGAGGTTTATGGGAGTGGGAATGCATAGTTGGAATTTAGCTCATTTACATATCAAGGTGTATATGGCTCAGCTGTTATCTGTGATACTCCAGCGGATCTCCGTGGAAAGACCAGAACATTTTTCGAGGAGTTGAAGGTGTCTGCTAGACTACTCCGTATACGCAGTTTCAATGATAGTGTCTATCACGCGGGAAGAGGGGATAAAGGGTGCTCGTTCGCTCGCTCGCTGAGACCGACCAATATTGGATATGAGCTCGGCCGTCTATATCCTTTTCCATTGAAACCTCAAATGGCATTTTGCTCAAGCGTCAAGACTAAAAATAGTGATATAGATGATCTGCGGCGCATGTTTCCCAGCTTTGAACCGCTTTTTTAGTTTTATCTTGAGGTATGGATGTACAGTAGCTGACCCCTAGATTAATTTCTCTCTATTTCCTAATATTGAAACCCAGCCGTCAAAACCAATTTAGGTTCAAATTTTATGACGAAAGTGGAGGAGAAACGATGTGTTTTGATCGGGAAAGAAACAAGCGCATCTTCGGCTCATCGGAGGCTGAGGGCTGGCATTAATTGGTAGTTACTCAAGGTTCCCTGTGAACTAGATACAGCCTTGCGCGTCCCTTCCCCTCGCCCCTCGCCCTCCGATTTTGGTTGATGGAGTCGGCTCAATTACCCTGCATAAACGGTCAATAAAAATAAATAGAAAAAAGGGAAAAAAAAACGATAAACTGGAAAGGTGAGGGTGATGCGACGCCAATCTCGGTAAACGTTCTCCGCGCGGCGGCGCACATGCGTTGCGATCTGGATCCTGATCGACGGGACGACGGCTTTCCCCCACTTTCTCAACAATTGGACAATTTTACATGGTCGCTCCGGTTGGTCTGGTCTCTGTTCAGAGCGCGCTTCTTTTTTGGCATCGATGATGGTTGTAGCTGGACTCCTGGAGTTGATATTGCGACTCCATGTCGACCCAATAATCAAGCCATCTCCGGTGCACACGCGAAGCGCAGCCTAGCTATCAGTCCACACAGCCTAGCCTGTCCAAGGAACCAGCTGCCATGGATGATTTTCCAAAATCTTATTATCTAGCGAATCATGTGTGCATTTCCCCTCAGTTCCCAGAGTAGCGCACTTGTTTGGCTGGACAAAAATGAAATATCAAGTCCATTATTGGCTGGAGCGTTGGCCTTCGCGACCTGAAAAATGTTTTTGCGAACCATCACACCCAAAAAGAACTTGAAGCCCTGAAGCTGGCGACAGTGAGGATGCGCGGCAGAAGCTAAGTAATGGATCTTGAGCCATATACCCAGCCACATCGCTTTGTTCCTTGATGGAATTTTGTGTCACTCTATCCATCCATGGGGTTTGACACGGTATTTCAACTGTTCATTGTTACCGATTATTATTGTTTTTCTCATGAAGACGAACCCCGACGACCTCTTTGCGAGGGGCGTGTGTCCCGGGAAAAAGGCACCCTAGATTCTTGGCAGTACGATGGGTGGTCATGGTCGTTTCAAGTATGGTACTGTATGCCGCGCACCCCTGGATATGCTGAGGGCTTATCAGAAGCAAAGGTGGGCTTCCGAAATGCTGTACCCTCCTGGACCATATGGCCATATGGCTTTCCAGCGGTCTTCGACTGAAAGGGCGTGTCTTCAAACATGAACCAAATGCAAATCACCGGGTTCACCGCCGTGTCCGCAGCCACATCCACGGTGAAGCAAAAGCTGAATCCCAGCCATGGTAACATCGTCGCTTTGTGTGGTACGAGTTCAAACCTCTTTCCTCTTGTTCCTCCCGCTCCCCGGGCTCTTAGCAAATGGCGAGCTGAGCCAGATTGTAAGATCTGGTTGGTTACCTGCTCGTGCCTCATGCAGATGAGCTGGTCGTCGGTCGAGGTACACGACCGTAACCGTCCCGAGCATGCGGGCGGTTGATGCATGCTTGCGCTAGGTCTGGGTGCCACTGACATAATTTCTCAGCTAGGCTCCCACACACACACACACACACACACACATACACACACACATACACACACACATACACACAAACACAAAACACACCGTGCCGTGCGTCTATTTTCTCTATCAAGAACCGCCAAACAAGAGGTCCAGGAGGACGAGAGTTAAGTCCAGCGGATGAAGAGGGAGAAAAGGAAAAAGGAAACGAAGCAGCAGCGGAAGTAACCGAGAGTTGGCGGCGGCTGCAACAGGGATGAACCCATGTAACAAAAGGAGATCTGTGCGCTTGTTCGCTTCGTATCTGCCCTTTGGGCTTGACATGTTTGCTTTTTCCTTGTTGCATCAAAAATTCTCGTGAGCCGGGTGCCCGGGACAAAAAAAAGATATCTGCTGGGAATTACATGTATTTTGGCTGACTGCGTATTGCTGAGAGAACGATATCCCCGGATGCATCCGGGAGGTCGCAAGTGCAGATGAGCAATAGTGCGTCTGCTCGTTGAGAACGTTGCATGACAAGCTGGAAGAACGGCCATCTTCATCATCAAATAACAAGCAGGTATTTTTCGCCTGTCATAACTGACTGCTGCTCTCTCTCAAAGTGGATCAGAACTTCCTCTCGATGTAGAAGAGGAATTGAGCTTCCACCTGTGAAATCGACTTATTGAGCAGGTTATTCGCTCAGACCCTTCCATCTTTTATCACAGCGCAAGCTCTCATTTTCATCAGATGAGTGTTGCTTGAGCTTCGCTTCCAATTCAGGCGATGTTCCATTCAGCTAAACTTTGTTGTAATGTAAGTTACTTGATTGACAGTTCGCTTGAAATCCTCCTCTAGTGTGAGCTTTTCCGCTGCAGGCTAGGTATTATTGGGAGTACTTCCATCAATTTTTCTCCTCCTATTCCTTACTTCATCAGCATTCATGGAAAATCAAAAGTGATTACTGAAGTAAAAGGTCATATCTATTGAGGTAGTTTACAACACCTGCTAATTATGCATCTACCTGGTAGAGTAGAGTGGCCCTAAGACTAGATAATAAAAAAAAAAAAAAAAAAAAAAAAAAAAAAAAAAAAGAAGACCTTGAAAAATCCTCATTGGCCAGTTATTCTGCTTTCTTCTATCTAGAGACCTCTCAGCTGCTAGTTAATAAATAAATAACAATCTTTCATGTATTTAAAATCTCATCACTATTATTTCGCACATATCAACAAACCCTCACAAGCTTGGCTTCATCAAAGCAGTAGTTTGCAAAGGCTGGGTGAGTCATTCTTGGAAGATATATTCAATTGCCTTATCAAGGTTCGATTTGCGGCCAGAACCTCGCTTCCAACTTGACTCGAAAGAGAACTAACCTAACTCCATTTCAAAGCTTATTGAAGCTCGTGCCATTGCCAAGTTTTATCTTTTTATATCTATATATATTTTTTCTTTTATAAACTAGTTATTCTTATCTTATTTTACAAACCAATCCCACTCCCAGCTTCCTAGCTGGGTCGTTTCGTATCACATAATTCAGGTTTTTTTTATTTTTTTTTATTTTTTTATTTTTTATTTTTTATTTTTTATTTTATTTTTTATTTTTTTTGGAAGCCCCTTCTATGCTCCGTATGTGGTGGACGCGGGCTGGCCCTCCCTCCCAGACAATCCCGCCTGGCCATAGCTCATTCCCTGAAAACTTACATGGTCCCGTTGGGCCTATCCTGTTAATGCTTATTAAGAGTGGAGTGGAGTTGGCAATGGCAATGGCAATGGCAATGGCAGGCAGGGAGGCAAAATATCATATATGTTGAAATAGATACCCGCCCACAGGAACAGGGGAGAATCTGGGATTGATAATGGATGCATGGAGGGGCGGGGTGGGTCGGGACGACGATGACGACGACGAAACCGGCGTCTGCTGCTGCTGCGATTAGAGCTTGTCAATCATGAAAAGTTGCAAGGGAAAGTGGAAAGTGGGAAACTGTGAAGTTCCATGGGGGAGGGGAGGGGGACTTTATTTATTATTAACCCGCTGGATTTTGTAAGCATGTGAGTAATGTATGTAGCCTTGTATGTAGCGTGTAGTCAGGACAAAGAGCTCTCTGATTTGTTCAATTTGGTCAACTTGTTTCTGTTCAACTCCGGTCCTCATTCCTAATTTTGGAATTCCTGAGGGCAGTAATGTATGCTCTGTATGCTCTGAATGATGAATCCCAAAGGAAATTGGTAGGGAGTAGAATGGCCTGTGGGGGAGCAATAGGCGGTCTGAGAGAGGGCCGCATTAATATATATGTTCAAACTACTCTGTATACCACTGGAAGATATAATAAGAGGTGCCGGAAACACATCCATTATACATTTAACAGTTTGGAAGATTATGAGTAGAGGAATTGGAAATGCACTTTCAACTCCTGGTCACCTGCCTGATAGACTCATATTCTCATCTTGTTGCTCTGAATTGTATTTGCTTCTTGTCTTTTTCTAGGCATTGATATTTACACCGTGGTCTGATGATGATATACAGTACAATACAACCATCCACCTACTAACATTGACAGAGGAGAGAGGAGAGTAGAATATCTAATCTACTATTGTTCACTTTTCATCTGTTTGAGGCCGTGAAGCTGGGTATAAAGTTAGCCGACGCCACATTTATATAACTAACTACCTAGGAATTAACAAAGACACCGAGACTCTCGGACGGATGTTGATGTACATTACTATACGGAGTAGAGATTCTTCAAATGTCATCTGCCACGGCGTAAATTGTTAGAGAGCTTCTAGAGGCCATCATCGTGTCATAGATAAGTGATCTCCGGGTGCTACTGTTCTGCTATGTCATGAGAGGAATTGTGAGCATCATTGTACAGTAGTTACGTGTAGAAGCTCTCCTCCGAAAACACTGCCAAGTGTCATGTCGCCTCCTCCATACTTAGCTAGATAACTTATCTATCATGATGGGAAGGAAGGTTTTGAAAAGCAAAAAGTCTGGGAAAAGTATCTTCACGGCGTTTGGTTGCCGAGGGCAAAGATCCTTGTATAAACAGTAACTAACTAACTCTAGTTAACTAGTCCAATCAATTTTGACAGCAGTGCAAAGAGTACCAAGACATTGTTTTTGACAGATGTCAATGCTCCAGCCTTACCCATTCAATTATTATATCAAGGCATTTATCCCTGAAATAAAAGGAAGAAAAATAAAAATATAAAAAATAAATCAGGTATCCGTCCGGGGGGGGCAAAGAAAAAAGAAAAAGTTCAAAAATAACAATTGTGGAGCCCCGTCAGTGCGGTTAATAGTGTTAAATAAGCATATAACTAAAAAGCGGCGGGAGAGTTTAAAAGCTCTTTACTGCTTTTGCCTCCCGCGAAACGAAAAAAAAAAAGGGCTAGACGGGGAGATCCATGTTATATAGATGATAGAAGATGGAAGTTCATCCATGGATGTTGGATGTTTTTTGGCTGCCCACTTTCGACCGAAGATTACCCTTTCAATCTCCGGTTCCAGAGGTTTTGTTTCGGTTGGGTTGGGTTCCGGCTCAGTTCAAGTTGTTTTTTCTTCTTTTTTCTTCTTTTTTTCTTTTTTTCTTTTTTTTCTTTTTCTTTTCTTTTCTTTTTTTTTTCCCTTAGACTTTTGAGTGTATTTTATGTTAATTGAAAAATGTGGTGGCACCTGTGAACATGCTTTTTGAGACCAAAAGAAGGCATCGCTGCATATAAGCTACTTGGTGGCTGGCTTTTCTTTTGCTATTTTTTCTTTCTTTTTCTTTTTATGTTTTTTGTTCATAATTCTGTGCATTGCTTCATATCTACTCTGTACTCCGTACAGACTTAAACTGTCATACAGGAACATCAGAATAAATAAATAACAATAATTAAAATAGCTCCAGTCAGACCATGCAAAATTACACAGACACATAAAGATAAAATGAGCAGTGCACACAAACAACAACAGCAGCAGCAGCAGCAGCAGCTACCACAACAACCATAGCAATAATAATAATAATGAAAGCACATACAGATAACAAACAACCCTTTAATTTTGATGTCCCCACGGCGGAACCGGTGTCAGTTGCGGGTCTTCTGGGCGGGCGAAAATCTAGACTGGTCTGTCTCGACGGCTTGTTTCGGTAACTCTGCCTGGCCGCCAGAGCCAGCCGACCGGTCACGTAAACCGAATAATTACAGGCACAACGTTTCAACATTTCAGCTAGAGAGAGGGAGAGGGAGAGACAACAACATATTTCTCCACCCCTCGAATCATGCGAATAACTACGCTGTACGCTGTACAGAGTACAGAGTAAGTAAATAAGAATAATAGTAGCCTCTCCGGGCCCTTGCGGGTACAGCGTACGGAGTAGTCAAAAACAGCAGCCTAAGTCACCGCCACGATGATCCACCGGCGGAAGACCTCTCTGGGTTACTCTGTCGGGCCTAGGGGGATGCAGGGGCGGCTGGCGGCAACGAGGCTTATCCTGATAGTCGCAATAATAAGAATAATAATGTGCATGAAGAAATGCTAGCTCTTCCTTCTTCCAAGGGGGGAGGGGGGACTTACAACAACAAGACAGATTATTGTTATTCTTAGATTTTTATTAGCTGCAGCGGAATTTATGATTTGTACTCCCGTATCCAAATCGCAATGAACAGAGCGACGACCGGCGGCTGAGGAGGAACTAGTTAGTTAAACGTACGTTACTAGGAACTAACTACATACATAATACTCCATAGAGTAGACCGAACGACCGGGTTGTTGTGTTTCTGTTTCTGTTGCATACCAATAAGTTACCATTATTGATACCGTACCGTCCCGCTGATCTCCGCCTGTGCTGCCCGATTCTGCCGCCGCCGCTCGTGCCAGACTTTGCCAGACTTTTGCCAGACTTGCTCGCCAAGACTTGCTCGCTAGCCTCTTTTTTTGCCCTCTTTTTTGCCCTCTTTTTTGCCAGACTCCTTCTTGCCAGACTCCTTCTTGCCAGACTCCTTGTCAGAACTCTCGCCTAACTCTCGCCTAACTCTCGCCTAACTCTCGCGTGGCCCAGGTCCGGTCTGGGCCAGGCCAGGGCTCACCCCGTGCCTTTGGTTGTCGTGTCTGTCGCCTCTTCTACTTCTACTTGTTACATGTACTTCTTCCTCTCCTTACTTCTTCTTCTCGACAACCTCATCCTCTCCTCCATCCTCAGTCTGCATTTGTCTTCCCCAATTTCCTCTCCTTTGCTTCTCCTCCCTTCCCTTCACGCACGCCTGCTCCTAGCTATCTCTCCACCACTACTTGTGTCCATTCCTCGACCAGCTTGTTTTGACGGCTCATAGCTTCACCTCGCTAGTCCATTTCTCCCCCCCCCCTCCATTCCCTCTAGAAATCTCCATTTCCCTCCAGTTTCTCCGCCCTTCTGTCTCATCTGCGATATCTCTCCAGCTTCACAAGCGGGCCTCGAAAACATCCTTTCAAAACGTTTGGTGGTTCTAGACCGTTTCGTTTCCGTTTCACCGCGTTCACTTCGCATGCTATCGTGCTGTACGCCTCGAGCTTTGTGTGTTTCGACCAGCGGCCTGCGCGAATTGTCGTTCGAATTAGCTGCTTGATTAACTTCTCGGCTGTCTGCTACTGTCTACTGTCTACTGTCTACTGTCTACTTGTCTACTTGTCTACTTGTCTGGACCTCAAAGCAAACCCCCGTTCTTGTCAGCTGGTTCGCAGGAGTCCGCGAAATTCTCTCCGTCGCCCTCCCGCCCAGAATACATACCTTCCTTGTGTGAATGTTCCCAGAGAGTGATAATGAGTTGGCCCGTTTGAGAGTCATGAATCTATTGGGAAGTGTTGTCACCGGCGATGCCTCAGAGCCAATTCCGGCCTTTGGAAGCCCAAGCCCTCTAAACCAGTCCAATGATTCGTCCTCCATAGGAATACAAGACTCAACTACAGTACAACAACAACATCAGCGGTGTCCGTTGCCATATATCTCCCACTCCCACTCTCACCCGTCAAAGGCCCAGAACAATCGAATACAGATGGCTTCCATAACCCCCAGGCCGTCCTCCAGGTTTTCAAAACGTAGCTCGTCGTGCGAATCACTCCGCACAGAACAAGTGCCCATCATGCGATTTTTTTCAAGGCGAACCCCCAATCTGCAGCTGCCACCCTTTGAATCCTTAGGCATATCAAATTCTTCCAAACCATCCAATCCTCCGCCTTCCTCCCTTCAAAATTCAGAACGTCCCCCATTTACCGCTGGTGAACCCTCTACCGTCGCCATTCATCCACCCTCGTCCCCCTATACATTATCCGAAACGCCATCGGCGCTTCCTTACAGCCGCTCTATTTCGCTACCTCTCACACCCCCAGAGGAAACCCTATCTGTCAAATGGAATCCCGAGTCGGATAGCCCTATCTCTGATGTACATTCAAGCCCCAATCGGCATAAGCCATCACAATTGGACAGTCTCACGAATGGGGATTCACATTCTCCGAAGGAGAACAATGGTCAAGCTTCAGACTCGGCTTCGCAGGCGGTGACATCGAATGGGGCCATACAACCAAGCATGGAGCAAATTCCATTCACTAATGATGACCCGAAGTCATGGCTTAAAAATGGAATTGAACTTGCTGGTATGTCCCACGCATTCCCATAAAAAAACCTTTTTTCTATTGTGTTACCTGGCTGTCTCGATCTTATTACTGACTTAGAGCAATTTGCAGTGTCTTCACTTAAAATTTCGAAAACACCAGGCCAAGCTGTACAGATGGTGTCGCAAACGCTGCCATGCCCGCCTATCGACCAAACCCCAAGCTCCCTCCCAGTTTCCGCGTTTAGTAACATCGTCGAGGAAATCCAACGTCGACTCCAAGCTGACCAGTCTCCTTATATTAATATCATTCATGCAGTGCCCCCGAAATTCAGCCTAAATAATTTGCCAACGTCTCCGCCTAGTACTCCAAACCGAATGTCTCCGGACGATGACTACTTCAATTTGACCGTGTTTTCTAGTGGGGCTCCGGTTCCTGCATATGCATCTCATCGTGACTCCATATCAGATGATTCACCTGGATCCACACATACTCACACGGCTATTGTCCCTCCATATAGTGTGCACATCTCCATAGTTGAACGTTATCTTCCTCCACCCTCGTCTCAAGAATACCGAAATCTGTTCTCAGCCACTGGTCCCTCCGTTCTAGTCGATCGTCTGCGTGAACTATCCCCTCAAGGAGGCAACCTAGTGTTGATCTATCCAACCAAGCAAGGCGCCCGCACATTCAAAAATGAATATCTGGGCCCAATTCTTGACCCCCTCCTTCGCCAAATGGTTGTAGTCAACGAGTTGTCTGCAGATATCAGCAAAGCCCTAGGCTCTATGCCCGCGATAGCCGAAATGGACGATTTCGAAGCAATGCAGAACAACATCCTGCGGCTTTGCGAGAACTTAAGACAACGCGAGTCGTCATTGGCTGGCCCAGCACCGACTCGCAGCTCCCGTTTCACCCTGGTTTACGGCGGCAAGGGCGAAATCTGCATGGATCGCAAATCGTGGATCGAATGGTATATTCAACAGGAAACACCAAGGGCACGGGACATTCTAAATGGTTATTGGCGGGTCGGTTACCAGCTCCCAACCAGCCTTACGGCTTCGTCACAGGGAACTCGCCAGCAGGGGAATCGGGAAATATCAGGCCCGTCACTTCTGCAGGTGCTTTTCCAGGGGCTCCGGAATAGGGCGAGTATCGACATGTCGGCTGATCTCGGGAAAAGCATGGAGGTTGGCGTTTTTGTTATTCGCAGATCGCAGTAGCTGCTACTAACTGGAGCAGCGAGATAGGAAAAATGGCGAAACCGTTGACGTTGAAATTTAATGGGACTACCCGTTTTATTATTATTATTATTATTATTATTATTATTATTATTATTATTATTTTCCTTTCCCTTTTTGCAAAAAAACAAAATGAAGAAAGGGCGGGAAATATATGGGAAAAATGGAAAAATAACACTATTATTATTTATCTTAAGGGAAATTTTGCAATGGCTAGTGCAGCGAAAAACAAAATTTCCCTTGGCTTGAACAGCAGGTATTCATTTGGCGCGTTCCCTTCCTGTTTTTGAATGTTTGGTTTTTTTTGCTCCCCAGTTTTGGTTTGAGTATTTTGAAAGCATTGGAAACCTTACTTCATTTTTATTTAATTTTTTTTTCTTCCTCTTTCCTTCTCCATTATTTATACATATCTAATGTTATTTTTTTTTATTTTTTTTTATTTTTTTTATTTTTTTTTAGTTTCCTGTCAACTCTTTTTTTCTTTTTCCATCTTTTTAACTTTTCCCCTACTTTTTCACTTAGAGAGAGAGAGGATTGGAATAGAGATGAGATGAATATAAGAGAGAGAAATTTAGCATTTATTACTATTATTTTATTCTACTGTATCATAATCATTAACTAACTATATAATAATACTTAGTCACTGTTAGCAATCTGTTATATATATATATATTCAAAGAGGTTGTAGTGTATATAGCCTGTGAGGCTTTATTTATACATAGATGTAATTTCATGTGTAGCAACACAGCACACACACTAAGTGAATTCTCAAGAGGCAGAAGAAACAGAGTTAACTTCGCCCAATCCTAGCAACCGTGAGAGGAGTAATGGATGGCCTAGATAGGACTTTTTCGCAAATGGACTGTGTTAATTGATATTAAACTTATTTTATTTTATTTTCATTTTTCTTCCGTTACAGGGTGCAGGGTGGGTGGGGTAGGGTAGGGTAATGCGACTACTAGGCTACGGTATATATAGGGATTGAATTGAGGCACGAGTATATATCATAGATACCAGAAAAACCAACAGGAAGAAGAAGAAGAAGAAAGAGGTTAAAATAGTTAATATAGAAAAAGTGGCTGCCGACACGAGGAAAACTCAATTGCGCCTTACGGATAGAAATAGAAAGAAAAATAAAATTATATCCCCCGCTTTAAGCCCCATTGGGGGGGGGAAACATTGGTTGGATACATATAAAATAAACGCAAACCCAACCCTATCCAGTTTAATAACGCCAACTTCCTTGGAACGCGAGCGCGAGCGCGAGCTACAGACAGAAAAGAAGAGCAAGAAGTTCCTAGGACCAAGGGCAAAAAAAAAAAAAAAAAAAAAACGCCTCAATAGTGAGACGGACAGACGGACAGATTTATAGTTACGCGTAATCGGGCTCCCCCGCCGCTGGCGCTTGCAAACACAAAGAAGAACAAGGCTAGGACATAGAACATAGAATACCAATATCAAATAACCGTCCCCCATGTCCAAAGCGTTAGGACCAGGTGGGGTGGGGGGTGGTTTATTGTGATTTGTCACGATTCCTTGCGCGGATACAGTCGAACCAAATGCACGTCCATCTGCGCGGGGAAATCCGGATGCAGCGACCCAAAGCGCTCCGAACTCTCCAGGAAGATCCCATCCACCATCTCCTCGTGTGCATGCTCGTGTTCGTGCGTCGCGTCCACGAGCTCGCTGACAAGGCGCATGTCGATCCAGCCGCGCGGTTTGCTAGCGAGCCGTTCGATGCGCGCGAGATCGTCCTCGATCTCGTCCGGCATGAGCGGCGGCGGTGGCGGCGCTGAGCCGGACCCGTTTGGTCGTGCGTGGTAGTTTCCGAGGATGAAATAGGGTAGGTTGGGCCGGGTGGCGGTCTTGTCTGCCAGATCGCCGAGGAGGGTTAGCCCCGATGTGCCTGTGTTCCGTGTCGAGCGTGTGGCATGGTAGCCTTGGCTGGCTGTTCGTTCCATCTCGAGCGCGGCGCTGGCGTCCTCCTGCCCGCTGCCTCCGTCAGCGCCGGAGCCTGCTAGGTCGTCGCCGTCGGCGGCGTTCTGTCCGTTTGTGGCTGGGGTTGATGCTTGTTTTGCTTTTTTGGAGGCAGCGAGGAAGTGGAGGGCGGCGACGTGCGCGCTGTTGCTGTGCATTGCCAGCTCTTTTTCGGTAAAGAGGGACGATATGTGATAGCTTGCGGCGTTTTGATGCTGTGTCAGTCGCGATTTTGTTCGGTCTGCCGGCGTTGACATGCCACCGTCGCGCGCGGGAGAACCGAAGTCATCCTCCAGTGGGCCTTTTCGTTTCCGCTTATTGGTTGTTTCCGAGCCAATTCCATTTCCCATGTCATCCATATCAACCCTATGGCGCGTGTGGCGGGTTTTTCGGTTGCTCTGCAGCCCCCCAGGACTTGAAGGGTTTGCAATAGAAAATTGATTTGGATGCAAGAGGAGAGCGTTGGTGTCAGCAAGGTCGAGTTGTTCCTTTTCTTTCATTAGTCGGTTTTTCTTTTGTGAAATTGACATAACCAATCGTTCCCTGATTGTCTCCCCTAGTTTGGCGCATTCCTGGTGTGCGAACTGGATTTTGAAGTCATGTTCCCGCTTAATTCGTGAAAATTGGTCGCGATGACGATTCTACGAAATGATGGTTAGATCGAGTCTTCATGTGGAAGAAAAGCATAGAATTGTGAGGAAATAGGAGTGAGTGGGGCACATGCGCCTACCATGAGTACGGCGAGTTCTAAATCCCGCTGCTCTTTCGTTTGATTCATTTCCTGAACAAAGTTGGCATACCATTTGCCCGAAGGAATCGTGTCAGGCACGAGATGCCCAGCCGCGGAGAGCTGTTCAATGAGCTTCGAAATTGTTTCTGGTGAGTCGCTCAGAGGTTCCGTGTCATATAGCTGGGAGCTGGAAATAAGGGTCATTTCATTTTGCAAATCGTGAACTTGTTTGCGGAAATGGTAATCGCGTTCGTTGCTGAATGTTTCGGTGAGGTCATGGACCCTATCTTGTAGGGCACTCCGTCTTTTATCGCGCTTCGAGACAGGTTGAGGGTTGGAGGTGGGAGATCTCGAACGGTTTCGAGCGTTGGAGGTCATCATGTGCGACTGGGTTGCGCCCATCCCGTGAAACGGGCCGGCTGCGGTGTTTGGGGAAACTGGAGGCGGGGAATAAGCCATCGGCATGGTATGGCTCTGAATCCGAAGATTTATTTTACTTTAGTAGACTATGAGGCTCCGTTGGAGACGGTATAGGAGACAGTTTGAAGTGGTAATCGATATCGAGGTCACGGCGAGGATACTTAAATGGGATTTTTTTGGGAGTGATAACGAAGGACCACGCCAAGGCGAGATTCCAGCTGTACCGCAAGGCAATGGAGAATAGTGGTCGGCCAGAAAGTGAAAGCACACAGCTATTCGGATATGACTATCGAATACTGCAGGCACAGAATATCAAAGTAGAATCAAAAGCACCATAATACCGGGGTCAAAGGTAGGGACACTTTTCGACCGTGCTTGGCGATAGGATGTAGCGCATGGATCGATGGGAGTTTGACGGTGTGCCGTAGGAAGACCAAATAATCATAGAATATAAAAAAATCTATTGATGCAAAACTGTTAGGAGGTATATGCATGAAATGGAATAGGAAAAAGTAGTGACAAGGAAAAGAAGATATTGGGCGGATGAGGCAAGACAGGAAATCAATTTCTGGTGGAAGTTTATTTACAAGACAAACAAAACAAACCTGTGACAGTGGCAGAACCTCGGAGCCCTGGAGACCGCTTTTGCTGCGACAAGCCTCCAGTATGAGCCGTATGATACCAGGGAAGAATTGAAGGCGAGTGCAGCTGTGAGGGAGATGTAGGGGTCTTGTCGAGATACCACTGATACTGGATATGCTCGTGGGGCAGAGGTTGTTATGTTTCAACGGAGGCGGCAGCTTTGCGTATGTCTTTACGGAGGAGGTCTAGGAAGAGGTGAGATCGGATCAACGCTGGCGCTCTTCCAAGGGGTATAGAAATGATGTAGCGATTGTTAGCTAATTCGCTAATAGATATTAGATATTGAATGAAGGTTTATGGATTGCTGAGGCCTGTGGACGGAGACGGCAATTGGAGTGAGTAGCCCAAACAGAGCTGCGTTCGAGCGCCAAGCGATTCTGAGGACAGGTTTTCGGGGTCGAGGCCGGAGGGAAGCGAGGATAGAAGCAAAGTAATATTGGAAAGGAGTAGAGATCGGATACAGCAGGGATGTGTCCAAATCTAAGAGTGGTGGGATTGTTCAGGTCCAACGCATGTTGTGGCTGCTGCCCGCTGCCATACACGGAGTAGATGACCTCAGACGAACGGACAGGGAATTATATCACGTGATTATATGCCTGGCGATGCTCCCGAGGTCTTTTAGCCATAAGCGGTCTAGCGCCAAATACGCCATTAGTCAGCCGCATCCGGAGCTCGGATTTCGGCCGATCCGCGAGATATGAGACCACAGAGACATCGAAACATCAAAGCAACGCAACGCACAATGAGAGCGGAATAACACTCTAGGCTCGCAGGTTGTACTGCAACTCCTCCGATCTCTCCGGCGTTAATTCTAAAATCTGCTGAAAACGACACAACTGCTTGGTGCAGGTTGATAACCAACAGTTGAGAGCAAGGTTCACTGGCAGTACGTTTCTCGGCCTACTGCCTACTTTGTTGCTGTATCTCCAGAGCTCTATGCAAAGGCCTTCAAGAAGTTGCCAATAATAACCCATTGTGTGTGTAAGATGAGGGGCAATTAATTGCAAATCATCTATAGATGACGTGAAGTGTTCAATCTTCAACGACTCAGCGTGCACCAGACTGGTGATATGTATCCGACGAATGCATGATTTGCAATCGCATTCTTCATTCTCCCATTGCACCATTCAGGCGTTATCTTATACCATAGCAGGGTATTTACGAATAAAGAAACAGGTCTCCAAAGGTATGACGCTCCCCTGACTAACCGAAGATATCGGCCTTTTCCCCGCGGCACTTTTTGGGGGATTGCAGAGTAGCGACGTGATGGCTAGTTAGCGGTGCATGGCTTAGTAATGTTCCGGGAGGGAGGGGGTTGACGAGACCAATCCGTGAACACCTGAACAGATCTCCATCTACCGTCCATAAGAAACACTATTTTTGATTTCAAACCCAGGCCCATGATATACGAGCCGGGATGTGGATTTCGATAGCTCCCTCACGTGCCTCCTAGCATGTGGACCACTCAATATAAATACTTCGTCCTCCCATATCAAGGGAACAGGAATTTATATCGAAATCATCAAATCCTTCCGTCTATAGTTTCACTACCATAGCACTTGCCAACTGTAATAATCTCCAAACTACTATAACCTACCATCAATTGTGTATCTTACATCCTCCTGTCTCTCGATATTAATTCCTGTTTGTCAGAAAATGTCGTCGACAACAACAACTACTACCAGCCCTTCTTCAACCCACCTTTCTGGCTCCAACCAGGATGCTACCTACATCCCCCGCGGACCAGTGGAAGCTCAGATATACTATTTCAAGCCTCCTAGTGACGGAGCTCGTCCCTATCAATATGTCGAGCCTCCTCCAGGGGAACAAAACCGCAACTACAGTGACACGCCGCACTCAGTTACCATAACTGACATTCGAAACAACGAATCTCAATTCACTCTGGACCGCGACGCCTTCCAGACTATTGAAAACGTCCCCTCCGCAGCAGAGCCCTCTTTCACCGACGAAGAGAACATAAAGTCAGTCTACTACCCCGAAGTCGAGAAGCTGATTTTCGACAAGGTCCCAGGCGCAAAGCGCGTTTTTACCTTTGACCACACAATCCGCCGCTCCCACGCGGGTGCCAGCCGTGGACCAGTTTTGCTAGCACACGTAGACCAAACTCCCGCTTCGACAGCATCGCGCGTTAGGCACCACCTCCCAGACGAGGCCGAGCAGCTGCTCAAGGGCCGCTATCGGATCATCAATGTATGGCGCCCATTGAATGGCCCCGTGCAAGCATCTCCTCTCGCCTTTGCAGCGGCAACATCAGTGCGCGACGAGGATGTTGTGCCTGTTGAATTCCGGTATCCGCACCGCAATGGTGAAACTGCTGCCGTTCGGTATAACGAGGGCCAGAAATGGTATTATTGGTCGGGCATGACCAATGATGAGAGGCTGCTGCTGAAATGCGCGGATTCAGCCGATGTTGCGGGGAAGCGGGTGCCACATACTGCCTTTGTTGATTCTAGGACACCGGCTGGCGCGCCTGGGAGGGAAAGCATTGAAGTGAGGACTTTGGTGTTTGGATAGAATAAAAGGTGGGGGGAGGGGGAAGCAGAGTGAATTTATGATTTGATTTTATTGATTATGGAACGAAACTACGCTGGATATTTAGCTCTGTTGACTGGGTTTTATTATTATTATTGTTGTTTTAGTCATTACGCGCAAATGAGGCGCAAAACGAGTGTTTTACATCTCCGTACAATAATAATACATAACATTATGTTAATCATCGATTCTAGTCACTTTTCGTCTTCTTCCAGAGTCTCCTCATCTGGAGTTGCTAAACAAAAAAAATAAAAAATAAAAAAATAAAAATAAAAATAAACTCTTCGAGGGGAACCAAAGACATAGACCAGACAGATATGTTTTATGTATTATATAAAGAAAACCTTTTGTTATCTGGTCGGGAGAAGAAACCATTTTGAAAAGGACAATTGATGCCCGCATAGATGCAACTGGAAAGGAGAAAGAGAAAAGAAAAACAAGAAACCTATTTAACCATATGTATGTATAACAAAGAAAATATCCGATAAATAGTGAAGGAGCAAATGAGAGAGAGGAATAAAGATGGCAAATGACTTAGATAATGGGCGGGTTAGCTCTTTACTCTATCTATAACTACTGCAAAACGCACATAGCAATGGTGACGGCAGAAAGGATCCACAGGGTAGAGGGAATGGACAAGGAGAAAGCATCTCCAGTTCCGGTGTAAGGATTGAGAGTTTCACTGCCGGTTGGCGAGACCGGAAGAGTGGCGAGGGTTGAAGGCTGGTTGGCTGTCGGGTATGAGGATGGGCCGTATGTCGGAACCTCTGCAGGGAGTGCCGTGGTGCCTGGAACAAGCCCGACATTGACACCAGTGGTTGCACCAGATACAGTTTCCGTGACGAATTGTACCTGTGGGACAGTGACTATGGTGGTGCGGGTGGTAGGCTCCGATCCGGAGACTGTTATCACTTGAGAGACGGTAATTGTGGTGCATGGGGGCTGGGGTGGAGGGGTAACGATAGCTGGGCCGCCGGTTTGAGCTGCGGGGGGTGTTGGAGCAGGTGGTGGGGTTAGAGTAATTGTTGACGGGATCGCGGTGATGATCCCAGGGTTTTTCGGGACGTCTGCAGCGCAGATGCCAGTGAAATAGGAGAGAGCGGATTGGATTTCATCGTCAGAAGCACCCCAGGACTGGATACATGCGATTACCGCGGATGTGAATTCGGAGGAAGGACAGAAACAGCTAATATCACTGTTCGAGCTACACTTTGGAACCAAGTTGAGCCAGGTGTTTAGACACTGTGGGACGACTTTGGGGCATGGAGCTTCGATGGGAATAGCTGGTGGCAGAGCAGGAGTTGAAGGGCTAGGTGAATCTGTAACTGGGGCTGCTGACGAAGGGCGAGGTGTTACTGCTCCTGATGGAGCTGAGTATGTGATCGGAGGTGGCGGCTGTGAACCAGCTGGATAGGAAGTATCGGGTTGGCCCAGGTGTGTAGGAACTGGACATCCCGGACACACGGTACCGGTGGTGGTCACTGTAATAGTAGAAACTGTATTAGAAGTAATTGTTATTTCGGCGGTACCAGAGGTGATGGTTTCTGTGACTGGGCAAGTAGTAATGGTGGTATATGTACTAGAAGTATTGCATTGGTTAGCATCCCTGGTTCTAAATTTCCAGAGTATGAATACAGTGAAGCCAAGGCTATACTAACATTTCCGTGATAGCCGAGTCTGACGGAGGGGTTTGCGTGACTGCTGACCCATTGGAAGCAGGTGGTGTTGCCGTTGATTCGCCGATAGGAGGACTAGTTGAATCTGCAGGGCTCGTAGGAGTTGGATATGCTGGGGTTGGGCTGGTAGGGAATGAGCCTGTAATGACTGGATCGGGCGAAGTTGGCGTGATAGTTATTGGGAGTGTGGTTGAGATAGCGATTGTTGTAGTGATAACTTCAGTAGAATCGGTAGGACATGAACTGACTTCTGGAGCACAGCTAGTAACAAGCATGGATGTGGTAAAAAATGTTGAGGTGGAGTAAGATACAACCTCTGTTGGAGTTGGGGTTGTTCCCGGAGGAGTGACGACAGGAGGAGCAGTTCCAGGCGGATTCGCTTCTGAGGGAGTGCTTCTCGAAGGTGAGACTTCTGAAGGGCTCGTCCCCGGAGGTGTCGTTTCTGAAGGAGTTCCCGGAGTACTTCCCGGAGGATATGATTCTGACGGGTTCCCTGGAGTAACTCCCGGAGAGTATGTTTCAGATTGACTTGCCGGAGGAGTGCCCGAGGGATATGGCTCTGAGGGTTTTCCCGGGGTAGCTCCTGGAGGGTATGTTTCAGATGGCGTTCCCGGAGTCGTTCCCGGAGGATACGTTTCTGAAGGCGTTTGTGGCGGAGTTCCCGTAGGATACGATTCGGAAGGTATAGTTACAATATTTGATTCCGAAAGCTGGGAAGTCGGGGTCAAAGACATAGGATATGACTGGCTTTCCGACTCAGAGGCTGGCGGGGAACTAACTGGGTACGACGAAATTTCGTCTGTGGGAGTCACTACGGGCTTGCTGGGGATTTCCGGGGGTCCGCAGTCGAAGGTGATTTTGTGAATTGCGAAACCACAATCATCCAGCTCGCTGTACTTAGGGAGGCTGAATTTGACCGACACTGCGCCTCCGCATTGTGTGTTCGGCACCTCAGAGCCACCCTTTGAACAGAGGGTGGTATGTTTGCAGGTCGAGCCATCCGGCATGGTATACACGAAGCCGATGTCTGTGTCCTCATCGACTGTGATCTGGAACGAAGTGATTGAGAAACCGTTGGACTTCCGGTGGGAGATTTCCGGGCTGCCATCTGTGAGGCCCCTTAACAGTTTGCCTTCAATGCATTTGCTCTATAAATTGGTGTTAGAAGTAGGCTCAATATCGTCAACGTTGGCATGTTAGGAGTGGGAATGGTACCTGGAAGTTACTCTGAGGTGGCTTTCGCTCACCGCACGTGAATCCCGAGAAGTCAAAGTCACCGAATGAAGAGAAAGATCCAAGTCCAAGGCCCGTCCAGTCGAATCCGGACTTCTGGTTGTCTGAGCATTTGTTGTCACAGTTCGATGGGCTCGGGAAGTATTTATTTGTGCCCCAAAATAACTATGCATAGTTGTTAGCTGCTGATATAGGGAATGATTTAGTAGGTTAAAGGTAAATAAAGCCTACCGTTCCACTTGCTTGCTGAACTACCGCCGCAACAATCACCACTACACTCAGTGCAGTTCTCATGATGAAAGCGGTACCTTAAACCAAAAGAAAATGGAGTTTAATGCGATATTAAAAGAGAAAAGGCAAATGAAAACTATATATATCGTGACTAGCAGCGATTTTTTGAAGCGAAAGAGTCGAGGCCAGCGAGTGACAGGTCAATATAACAAAAGTATGACAGGTATCAACGAGATGCAGAAGCACATGAACGAGTGGTGCCAATGCTCCAAAGACAACCACCAAGCAAAGAGGGAAAAAAACTGTCAAAAGAAGAAGTGAATGTGGTAAAACAAAAAGAAAACAGGTCAGAGTTGAAAGGGCATTGCAAGTATTAATAAATACATGATCTTTCTCCTGTTTTGAAAAAAAAAAAAAAAAAAATCGGAACTCTGCTCTTCCGCTGATAACTAGGGACTAGGCGCTGGGCTTTAGACAAAATAATCTAAATAGAAACTGAAAGTTTCTCTTGGCTAGGCGATTAGCTTGAAGACAGCTGTTTGCTGTTTCATTATTTTAGTTCACTCATGCTGATTTTCCAGTCTTGCGGTGGCCAGGTCAAACCTCGCTGGCTCTTGGTTCCTTTGGGCGCGAAACTTCCCTTCTTCGGAAGCCTGAGAAAGAGAGATGAAACGAGAGGTAGAAAGTTAATCTACCAATAAAACATCCTTTTAGCCTGAAAACATATAGCTAGAGCTAGTTAGCGTTGCGAGAAACATCTCTCTTCCTCTTTTCCCCTCAGAGAGGAGTAGCATGTTGACAGTTCAAGATCGAAACGCCGGTAATTGACTGGTCAATGGACATTACGAAGCTGCCAGAGGTTGTCGGCAAGGATGCGCCGAGATCCTGTGCCTGACTTGACTGGTGCCTGGTGGAACCCGGAAACCCGCTGCGATCGCCAAGCTGTCTAGCTTGCTGGTAGAATCGGCACGTCGTCGCCGTATTTTCTCTGTGTTTGGCTGGAAGAGCTCCATTTCGAGGAGGCTTATTTTTGCGTGTTGCATCTGGCCCCTTCCAGAGTCACTGGACTCGCTGGCTTTCTCGCTTGCCCTCTCAAACGCCTAGGAAAACCTTAACCGCCTGCAGGTACGCGGCGTGAAGATTCGTGTCGCAACCTTGGCCATCTGCACGACATTAGCTAGTAGGCTGGTGGCTTGATCATAATAGAAGTATTATTAGAACGCCGGCGATCTTGTGGAAGTTCTTGTTGATTGATCTCCCATGGCGCTTAGCAGGATCAGGCATGGGCGTCATCTCTGAGCCCAGGAACGGGTTTCCCAGATGAGTTGTAATAGAGGCGTAGGAAAATCGAATACAAATCCTCCTATTTATGAAAAGCTCGTTAGCTGTAGGATCCTCCTTTACGAGTGCCTGATGAAACCGCGAAGCTCTAAATGTAGTTAGTTCATCGAGTGTTGTGCGGTGTGGAGACTGGTGATCGGGGCTGCAACTCAGACTGTTTGAGCCCCTCGTTGCGGGCGCCGACGAACCAGAACGGAGCATGAGAGTTTCTCGACTTGAAACAGCCACGCAGTCTAGAGCTGGATTTGCTGTCCTCACAGATGAGACTGGTCGCTGGGTTAGTTAAGCCATGCAAGCTGCTTTCGAAGGGGTAGTTAGTGGTGGAAGAACCTAGGATGGAGTTAAAACTGGGAAGCTGGCTAAAGCCTATCGTTACGCTGGCGAGTCTTTTGTTGGAATTAAGTTACCTAGAATAGCGCCAGTACAGATTCGTCCAAAAATGAGAATTTAAGTGGGAGAGACTATGGAGGTTCCTCATTCACAACTTTAAAGGCATTTATTCTTAGCAAGCAAGAATAACATCTAGCGGCAAATGTATGTGGTAGTTATGTGCAGCGAACGGTCAATCATGTTCCCACTATACACCTACAAGAATAGACACAGCAGTTTATAAACAATAATAAAATCCAACACTGAACCAAAAACCAAACAAAGCAGACTCAACAGGATATCAACAGAGTAAATCGAAAAAGTATTATCCATAAGATCATTAATGTTATTCCCCCAACTTACTTACATCTCCATCAACTTCCACCCCCACTGTGCCCTCAAATATGTCACATACCCAATAGTTCCCATCGCAGCTGTGGTGACTGTAGCCCCAGCCAAACCCAAGAAACCCAGCAGCTCGATACCAAAGTTTTGCTTTATACGCTCGACCTTCCCTCCCTGTTCCGTCGTCAGATCGTAACCGGGCACGTATTTGAAGTCGAACTTGGTTTCCTCGCCAAGTCCGATCTTCTCGTCGAGAATGATCTTCCAGAAATGGCGGCGCATTCTCTAGACATTTGTGTTTACCGAACATTAGTAATGGCGTGGGATTTGATGAAAATCTAGGTTTTGATTTGATTTTGTTTCGGGGTGTAATAGATAAAGTGAATCAGGGAAAGAAAGCAAAGATAAATGCAACGGGGCGGTACTTACGGCAATGTGTCTTCTATCCAAATAGAGGAAGGTCCTTTGGACATAGCACCACAAACTGACAAAAATACAATACCCAAGTACCAACCCATAGTAGTAGTATCCCGGTGTTCCAATACCAAGCCTATCAGAAAGCTCCTTACCATTTAGCCAGCGAGCAGTAGCTTCCAAGAACCCACGGCTTCCCCATGCAGGAGGTGTATTTTCCAGACTGGTGATGATATTGTTCGCCAAGATCTTACTCATCTCGGTCGGGTTGACTTCATACACAAGGATGGATTCCATCATTTTCCGTGCTTTTTCAGGTGACTCAAATGGCTTAGTTGGCGTACCAAGGTAGTAAGCCACCAGACGCCAAAGAGCAATATAATCGAGGATTTCTTGTTCGCGGAGGAAAATGCCCTGGCGCGGTAAGCTGAGCCAGACCAGGAGGGTGGAAAACGACCCGATCGTGCTGATGCAATCCAGGTCGTTGACTGGGACGCCGAACCTCTCCACACTATAATAATCTGGTCTTGTTTTGGCCAGGTTGAGGATGCGCGCTCGGACAGCTGCATGGAGCAACCGAACTCTTACTGCGGAAGCAAAGCCGTCTCCTCCTGGCTGGATATTCTTGAGGGACATGGTGACTTGGAAAACAAACTGAGTCGTCTCGAACATCCGGTGCCGGGCAATTTTTGCTGAAAACCCCCCCGTGCGAGCAAGGGTTTCAACGATGCGTCCAGCACCCCTGATCACATTTCAATGTTAGCAAAAAGGGACATTTATAAAGAGGCATTTAATAATTGATGCGCTGGCGAAGAGGAAACATACATTCCTCCTAGCAGACTCTCGAATCCAAGCTGAGATGAAAAGCAACGGACATTGTAAGCCTTTTTTCCTCCCATTGTTCATCACAGAGAGGATCTCTCCAACTTACCGCATTCAGAGCTGGGATACCATATCGGTAGAACACCTCCTGGCCCCTCTCGATCTGGTCCCAGTCCACCCAGTCGGGAACAGTATTCACTTGATTCCACAATTCTGCTAATTTATCGTCCTTATCCGCATTATCTCGTAGGAGCAGATAGAGATCTCTCTTTGGTTTCTCCTTTCCAGTCTTGCTGTTCTGGGCCCCTCTATCGGTCGTTCGAGGTAGGGCTTTTTGTGGGGGTGGCGAGATCTCATTTAGTCGCGTAAGACACTCATCGGCTAATCTGTCATAGGAATGCTTCATGGGCTCCATCTGCTCCCCCGACAAATGTTCGGGGGTCCATTGAAAACTGTAGCCCCATGCTGTTCTGGTGTTTTCGTCTGATCTCCGGAACAGGTTCGGTATAGCCATCTTTCGGAAAGGTATCTTTGCTAAAAGGGAAGAGAATGAAAATAATCGCAACTTATGTCCAAGAAATATGGTGTTGAAGATTTCAAAAAAAATGGAACAAGATGTATATGGCTCTGTTACTCATAAGGTATATATGTAGATGTTGTCCGATACCATGATTCCCAACTGTGGCTCCCCTATCCGAGGCTCCTGACTTTATATGCCAGGACAAGCCAACGCAATGTCAGCCAGCGGTAACAACTGGCGATCTGTTCTTCTCCGCAAATAAGGCAACCATCAAGCCAAAAAAAGAAAGGGAAAAAAAAAAAATCATACGATGCGATACATACCAGTTCCGCCATTGATCGTGTATAGGAAACCCCCCAAAATGCACAAAAATTGGATTGTTTTCACGGCGGGGTCGTAGGGGGAACGGATCCACTCCACACGCCGATACCAAGCCGAGGGCAGCGACGGCGCATATCCATGTCAACCTGCAGTTTTTATGTGTGGGTTTGAATCTGTCAGACAGATGTGGATCACGCATGTGCTACCGAGGAGAGCAACGGATAGAATATTGTTTTTTCCCCCATAATGACATCAAACAAAGTAACAAATGAAGCAACGAAGCAACGAAGGAATGACTTGGGATAAGTGAGAATATTGGTGTGAAGCGGGTTCTGGGTACCACTTCGAGCATGTGAGAGAAAACTCATGTAACTAGTGAATTATTGAGCAAAAATTTCTTTGCGTAATAATAATTATTTTGGGGCGTGGTTCTTCACTCAGGGCGAAAGATCCACAATTTCTTGGAAGCAAAGCCTCAGCCATAAAGCTCAGAAACAAAACACATCAAGAAAGTGGAGGATATCTTGAAGAGTAGAGCCAAGGTTTGCTGGCAACGGGCTTCGACGAATATATCAAATGTGCATCGGTGCAAATGTCGTGGACCAAAATCAGTATTATTGAGATGGAGGGGGGACGCAATGATGATATCAAAAAAGGCCCGTTGCATCAAAACAGCATCGCATATCCGTATATTCTGGGCGCATCTCCGCATGGGCAATGGCATCAAAAACCCAAGATTCAAAACTATCACTTATTTCTTACCATACCTAAGGGGAAAAGCTGAAGTTGCTTGTACACACATATACCCGTTATTCATTCTCGTTCCTCATGTCTTTCTCCCAATTCTCCGTCATTCACCTCACCTGTCTTGTTTAGTGCCTTCCGGCTTTGCCGCTCATCTTTCTTTCATGCATAGTATCTATAAAAAATTGAAAACAAAAGAAAACAAAAGGTAACAGATTTCTCAGCCAGATCTGAACAAACGGCACCCCAGCTCCCAAGACAAGAGACGAATTAAGCAAAGAGGATCAGGCTAACTAACCTCGAGCCCGCGATAGGTAGAGTCAAACCCAACTGACGTTGAATTTAGCATCAAATGGACGAACCTTAATATCACGTGATTTTCTTTCGCCGCGGTGGAATGGGCCCAGATCGCTTCTCCGGGCCGAGGGTATCCCGGATTAGTGCGGACCGGGATTCAAAACGGGCGTATATGAAGTCATGAGAGCCCTATGAGGAATCAGAAATAATGGAGAGTACATACATCCTTATCTCCGATTGATAACGGAGGATATCAAAGAATTCATATATAGAACTTGCTGGCTAAACCTATTTCCTCCCCTTATTTTCCCCCCTTATTTTCCCCCTTGGACTCGACCAGAGCCGCCTTCTAGAGCACTCATTTTATCGTACTTTTGAAGAAGGGCGGAGGGAGTCCAGGAGAGGACGGTAGGTAACTAACAGACACGAAAGAAAGAACAAGAACTCACATGAAGAAGAAAAATAATGCAGGAGCAGGTAAGAACAAATCGAAGGACGGAGTCAAATACAATATTTCCTAGGGAAATTAAAGAAGGGGGTTTGAGGGAAGTGCGTTTAAAGGCTAGGGGGGTGTCAAGACTCAAGACAAAAAGTCTCATCCTCCCACGGAAGCCAGAAGGCCCCAGTACAGTACGTTAAAATCCTAGAGAGGTATATAAAACCCATCCCTCATACAACACTTATACTTCTCACAAAGATGCGCTTCGCGTGCAACCTATGATTCATTCCAGGTTAGGCTTTTCAAAGGATACCTAGGTAGTTAAAGTTATTGGACTTTGTTTAATTCTGCTCCTTTCTCCCCTCTTCTCCTTAATTATATCTCATCGTGAATGGGTCGGAAATACTTTTGGTCTCCCCCTCTTGGTGCTAGTATATTAGAGGGCAATTGGGCTTTTGCTATTGAAGAGTGAAGAGAAGGTAGAAGGGGGAGGAGGGGGGGATGATAACGAAAAAAGAGGGAAACTTCTACACTATACTTTCACTTTTTAATAGACTCCATTTTATCCTTTCCATTTTTGTATTCAACTGTCATTATATTGGACACTAATAGGGTTAAGCAAATAGCTTCAGCTTCCTTACGTCATGGCACACAGAAAAGAATCCTTTTTGATAATCAAGATCAATCAAGAGAAAACAAAACTCATATAAAAAACTTAAGGGCGCTTCAGCTTTTGTGGCTAAATAAATCATCATTTATCTCGAAACAAGAGTTGAAGTAAATTTGCGCACTTTCAGCGACGGAGGGAAACAAAAAAGGAAAAAGAGAAAAGAAAACGAAAACGGGAAACGGGAAAGGAAAAACGTTATTTCATTTGGTAATTAGGTCATATAGAAAGTTGAGGGGGTGAAAGACATTTCCACACAAATATCCACAAACGGTATCAAGGCAGTAGATAATGTTAAGACGAGGCGAGACAAAAAAGAGTAGGTATGAAGTGAAAAGAGTTAGTCCCCCACCAAGAAAAATGAAGGTTACACAAATTAAGCTTTCGTTAGAGACGCAATCGGCTCGGAGGGGGGAGGGGGAAAGGAGGCAAGGTCCTTTCTTTAGAAAGAGATTGAATTGCTGCGGTGCGACTCAACTAGCTTACGACGAACCGCCTCGCCGCCAGTATATGTTACTCCCGTCCGCCTTCGCGTTGGAGTTTTGTTATCGATATATTTACTGCGTCTGAAGACGCTGGCGGGTCGGGAGGGTGAGTTGGCTGGTACGAACTCGCGGTGCTGGGGCAGTCGGATCAGAGCTTGGTAGCGAGAGTGGTTGCGGCGGAACGCAGTCACGATACCCCTGTCGAGGTGGTTTAAGAGGCGCTCTGCGCTATTGTTATTGACCGGAGAGACGAAGTCTGTTGTTGTCGTCATTGAAATATTGTTCATGGTTAATGACGGCGAGCCAGCTCCAACCGCTGAGGCGAGGTCCTCAGCGGCGTCGAAGGCTTTGTCCAGGTCTTCTTCGTCCGAAGAACCGTTTCCAAAGTCAATAAAGTCATTTACGTTGAGGACTCCTTCACTATCATCGTCTTCGTCTTCCTCGTCGAAGCTGAGCAGCCCGTTGGAGGGATAGAAGGCCTCAGGTGGACCGGTTATTTGACCAACGGAATCGCTGCCCAGAGCGGTGATCATGAGATTGGCGTTAGAGGAGAGCATTGGGCTTAGGTTGTTGGGCTGCATTGGCGACACTAGAGCGTCGGTGTCACTGTCATCAGCAAGAGTGGCAGCGGTTGGTCGGGGGCTATTGTTGGCGGTGTTGCATAGGCTCTGAGTAGCAGATTCAAGCCAGTCGTGTCTAGAAGTTGAATACGGGGGAATGAGGATTAACTGAGCGCCATTGGGGGCCACAACAGCTACTGGCTTATGGGGATCAGCAACGAAAGTGCCCCTAAGAGGTCCACGCCGTCGTAGTGGTTGTGAGCGCTGGGTAGATTCTTCCATAAAGGGAGGCAATGATGCGCTCGAGTCGCGACGTAAGATGGATCGAGGGTGTGTAATAGTTGCTGGGGGAGGTAAATCTTCGTCGGTCGTTTCACCACAATCCGCTGTAAATCATGGTTAGCTACCTTAAGGTATATTTTTCCGCAAGAAAATACATACACTCATAACCACTGGAACTTGCCACAGAGGACTCTGTTTCCACGTGATAGATATTGCCTGGAAGGTCATAGAAATCTTGTGAAACCAGGAACTCACTGGAGAGTGGACGACGAAGTGGTTCGGAATCATTCTCGATCATCCGTCGTAGGTCTGGATCTAGAGCATCTTGTTGCAGGAAATCGGACGTGAGCTCATCATCAGTGGTTTTATCAGAGTCCGACGAATCATCTGATTCTGCAAAATGAACGCGTCGCGCAGCTACATCGACTGTTGCGCTAGTCAATACATGATCATCGACAGCCTCAATATTGCCCGATTGTAAGAATAACTGGTCATCTTCAAAGAAGGAACCAGTAGAGTAAAGCGGACGGTTTTCAAGATCGTCCAACCCTAGCCATTCATCTGGAATTCCAGAGGGAAGTGCAGACGTGACCGTTTCCAAGTCACGCTCGTACTCCGAATCCAGGATTAACTCTTCTTCCATCAGCTCAATCTCCTGCTCTTCATCGTCTGCATCGCTAACATCATTTACAGCTTCGTATCCGTCATCTGAATCCAAGTCGATTGATTTAACCGAGCTGAGAGGACTAGCAGAACTGACGGAGCTATTTTCGGCGCAGCTCTCATAGTCAGAATGCTGGAGCTTCACCCGTTTTCGGTCCTTGAGGAGTGACAAACCACCCCGGCGCCCCGTCTTACGGTTTCTCCCTGGCTTCCGGCCATAAGACGGGGCATAAACTTCGGATTGTTCACTATCATCATCGACGGCATCTTCGTTATCTTCGTCTTCATCATCATCGTTATCGACATCGCTGTCTGAGAAGGAAACCTCACTCAGAGCAGCAGATGGCTTTCTCTTTCTATTGTTTCCATAGCCCGAATTGACGAATTTGTGTTTATTGAGACGGCGAATAGACGGTTTTTTCGGGATATTGGGCCCAAGAAGTGTCGGGATGGAGGCATATGAATCGCTATCGCTGAGTGAGGGCGCGCTGCGCTTTCCCACGAGATGCGAATTCCTTCCGGGCGAACGCCTCGACTTCGCAATGTTGGAAAGAGACATAGCAGCAGATGGGACTCCAATTGCAGTCTCAAATTAGTGGTGTTCTAGGGTAAAGGTAGATTATTTTAGAGAAATCGGAAGCGGGTTTATTAATTGCAAGTTAGGTGCGAATGGCCGGGTGGATAAAAACCGTAGGATATAGTAAAGATGTGAAAGAACTTTCACCCCGACAAAATATAATCCGTATATAGCATGTAACCGCAGAGGAGGAGAAGTAACAAGAGGTGGTCGTTCTTCTATTTTCGTAGGTAGGACGAGAGTGGCGGGGGGTGGGGGTGGGGGGAGAAAGGTAGAGAGAGGAGAGAGAGAGAGAGAGAGAGAGAAAGCAACAGCAGGCGGGTGGTAGTCTACAAAACACCTCCACCCTCGACGGACGTTGAAGTGTTTGCTCTAAGCTGGTACTGGGGGCAATTTCGACGTACGGAGTAACCGTCGAAAGAGTATCAAAATATCGTCAAGTCGATTGAAATGTACTCGTTGAGCTTCCTGGACTGGGAGAGCAATGGCGGGCGGGGCCATGCCTCCCAGTGAGGGATTTACAGCCCAGCGACAGCCATTTGGCTTGATTCCTCGACGATATTTGTAGTAAGAGTGATTGCCGGTATTCTTCTTTAAACTTAGGGGATGCAATGGGTGGTGTGGTTGGGGGGGGCAGAGGTGGTTGCGAAGAGAGGAAGAGGAAGAAAAGAAGAAGCGGGAGAGGAGAGAGGAAAAAGCAGAAAAAATGAGGCGGTCCCGTTGGTGCAGCCAGGAACTGCACGGGCCGGGGGTTGCTGCCACGGCGGTCGGAGGCGGAACTACATTAGTCCGCGCGCTGGGAACAACGCCGGCTTCTGGTGAGCCCGCCGCTGATTGGCTGGCCAGCTCACCGCTCACCGCATCTTCGGGTTGGCGCTGCAACTCCAGTCTGTGCCGGGGTAGGTAGGACGGACGGTTGTCACTCTGCACCCAATTTTGGAGGGGAAATACCTTCCAGCAGGGATCGTTACCTGCCCTTGCCACTTTGGAACATGCGAAGTAGAAAATACGCTGAATAGTTTGCACACATTCTAATAGCTACCTACCTACCTCAACCAGCGTCTCTTGGTTCTCCTTCTAGCTCCCAAAGCAATTCCTGGAATGAGTAATAACATGTTCTGGCCTTCCAGTCATAGAGAGATATGACTAACTTAATCGGTACGTGAAGAGTCACAGGAACTCCCGGGTCGTGTCATATCAAGGTGTCAACTCATGAGTCCCAAACACTAGTCTGGTGGCACTCGGACAGAAAGAGCAGCGCCAGAGTGATACCTTATGGTCCATCTGCTAATGTCTTGCATGCATGAAACTACTGCGGATGTCCTTCTCCCCTCTCTGACAACTATGAGGGATGCGCATACGTAGCCTCACCACCATACAGACCAGCAACCCCAGAGCAAAAACATCACACTACTACTTCTTTCTATACGGAGTAATTCCCTTAGCAACTAATAAATTACTAAATTCAACCATCCTAAACCGGAACTATCTAATTCTAGCCTCTTCCTCTGTTCCCGTCTACTCCATAAACGCGAAAAGGGAAAAAAAAAAGTCCAAAGCCAAAGCTCCGAGGTTCCGCTCCCAGAACAACCACGAAAATAGCTGCCCCGTCAGACCAATGAGACTCAGCCCGAACTCCAATCACTCCAATCATCGCCAACCCAGACCCAGCGAGTGGCTAACAGTCTCTCTCACAGCCAAAGCACCGGCTTGGAATGATTCATCAATTCATAGTACGGAGTACGGAGGTGTGGAACATATAAGTCCATGCACACGCTAGAAATTTATTTTGAAATTCCAATACTGGAGTCAAATTGTACCGGCCCGTGCTCTCAATAATAATGTTCAGGAGGTCAGGCCCCTATAATATTAAGCACTCAATAGTTGCCCATCAAGCTGAGAGATAGACATCACAGGCATCAGCAGGGCTCATAATCACCTCTAAACTGTTCACAAAAGGGATGGTAATCCTTTTACCACTTAAATTACTAGTGTCTGCAAGAACTTAAGTTCCACACCTCCGTTGTGACAGCCTGACAGGGAGGAACCCATCGGAATCCCTCGTTATCAGTCGCGATGCGCTCTCCCTTTCCTTCTAAAGTATTCTCAGAAATGCTTCAGTTTAACTTTTCTTTTTTTTTTTGCTTTTTTTTTATTCTCAAAGTTCTGTATGCTAGGACTGACTTGGTTCTTTTCCCTTTTGCCGTTTATTTCTTCCGGGCCGTTTCCTTTTCCGCCCATGCTATTGCTTTTCAGTAACTACTCCGTATACCTCTACAGAGGGCGCTATCAAAAGAATTGCACCGCTCAGATTCAATTTATACATCTAAGAAGCACCACCATGAGTAATTACATTTAAATCACCCCACATTCTATTTATATGAGATTGTGTGGCGGGCTGCGCCCGATCAATCATATAGACTATTCCATTACACTCCATAGATTCCGCCGAAAGCTCCGATTCTCGGTCGCTGATCCTCAGCTGAAAAACCCACAGAATTCCTATCCTTCCGCCCCAAAGCTCCACTGTGTACACATATAAATATCCACTTCAATCACTGATTCCCACACTTTCTCTTTTTTTTCTTCTCTAATGTTTTTCACTTTGTTATATAAGATCTATATATATTATACTGATCTATTCAGTGTAGGCCTCTTACACTTGAAAAACATTCATTATCTTCTTATTAGAAATGATTATTCATGTTCATTGTCTTCTTATTAGAAACAATTACTTATTGAGAAGATATCTGAATGTGTAACAACATGTAAGAAATAAGAGAAATGAATAATCAGTTAAGTGAACACTAAGTCTCAATCAGTTATTGTAGGCTACTGGGGCAAAAGAGCTCAATCACCACCAGCGCCTGCTGGTAGAAGGGCCGACCAACCGCGGGACCCCCAACACCCCCCCTCGGACCAGCTACCACAGAGTACAGTACTTCCTCTCAGTGGCTCCTCTCAGTGGCTCCTCTTAGTGGCTCCTCTCAGTGAACTCACTCCTAGGGCTCATTCTTTCAAGGGCTCACTCCTAGGGCACACTCCTAGGATGTCTCTTGGCACTGTTAAAATGTCCAGGGTATTTGTTAGGAATTTTTAAGTCCATTCTGGGATCAAACCCATGCATGTTGACCACAGCGGGGCTCACGCTCAACGGTCTCATAACCTGTAGGCTACTGGGGCAAAAGAGCTCAATCACCACCAGCGCCTGCTGGTAGAAGGGCCGACCAACCGCGGGACCCCCAACAGTTATATCCCGGCTGACTGTACGGGCGGTTAGCGCACAGTTGCATCACGTGATAACGTTTCACTGCCTAACACGATGAGAAGAGTAGCTTCTGAAGGCTAAATCATTTCTGACGACAACTGGTAGGAAAGGGATGACTACTAAAGTGTCTGATCAATCACACTTTCATCACAAAATATTATTGAACACTCAACACTGCTGGAAATGGCAGACTTTTCAGAGGACGATCACGTCGTTATTCTAAAATATCCGTTGAATGACTCACTTGATCGATTACAAAAGCTTCTTCAGGAGGCAGAGCATCATTACAACCATGTCACTATGGAAAGCAGTGAAGCCTGCCATGATGCAGTATCAAAACTCCTCACCACATTGATGGGTGAAAAGTCAGCTTTCCACCTGCGTTCGCCAGCGAGCGATAAAAATGTGGCATCAGAGCTATCAAGATTGTTCACCTACCTTCAGAATGATGACTTCAATTACGAACACTACCGCGCACTTATCCGACTTGTTATTGAAAAGGCGACCGATGTGGACATCTGGAAGGCCGTCCTCGACCTCATTGTTACCTCGCGATCGACCCCACCGACGACCATCCCCCCCTCCTTTGACGGCACCCCAGTCAAATCCACCTCATCATCGCAAAAAGGCTCTGAGCAGACACGTGAGTTGGTGAATCTGAGAATCTTTGAGGAGATACGTGGCTGCACATTTCGAGGCATTGAGGGCTTCTTTGACAAGTACTTTGAGGGGAAAGACTGGAGCAGCAAAGCAGATGCCATCTGTCAACGCGTGCTGGCCCCAGACAGTGATGGTAATTGGGCTCAGTTTCCTGATCCTCCGACACAGAACAATGTCCTTACCTGGTGGTTTCGTCTTCAAGAAGACCTTCTCTTGGAATCACGCGGCATCTACTACACCACAGCAAGCAAAGCAGATCTTATTGGTTCAAAGGCAGAGCGGCAAGTTGACCTTCTTTTGAGAGCTAGAAGCACAAGCCTCTCACAAGGCAAACACAACTGGAGAGACATCCTGGTAGTTGGTGAGCTCAAAAAATCCAAGGAGGAGATCAGGACCAAAGACACCCTGCTGCAGATGAGCTGCTATGTGCGTGATGTCTTTGCCGCCCAGCCCACCCGACGGTTCATCCACGCATTCGCTGTCTGTGGGACCAAGATGGAGGCATGGATGTTCGACCGCTCGGGCCCCTACAGCTCAGGTGTCATTGACATCTACAAGGACTCAAGACGGTTCTTTCAGATGCTTGTGGGTTACACCATGATGAGTGACGAGGAGCTGGGACTGGACACTTTTATTGCCAGGGATGAAGGCAGCAGCAAGTTGATAACTGTCAGAGGGCGGCCTGGGACTTCAGAGGAAACAGTGCTGCGGCTGGGTGAAATGCTTTCCTTTCAACATGCCATTGTGTGTCGCGGGACCACATGTTTTCTCGCAGATGATGGACAAGTGAAGGGTGTAGCCAAGTTCTCATGGGTATCAGACAAGCGGCGCCCAGAGGTGGAGCTCCTTGAGCTAGCAGGTCAAAAAAATGTCCAAGGGGTTGCAAGGATTATTGGCCACAGTACCATCACCAGCATCGCTGACATGCGCTGTGGCCTGACCTTTGACAACAAGCGCCACAACTTCAAAAGCACAACTCCAAGCACAGCCTCCTCATTTCATCAATCTCAGCCGCTCACCGAGCCCGATCACTTGGATATCCATCAAAAATCATCTTCCAGGAAACACAGATCTCCAGACAAGGGGATGCAGGCGTCCAAACAATCGCGTTCCATCAATCAGCTGTCAAGAGCCACTCAGCAGGATAATGAACTAGCTTTCTCTATTCAGTCAGTGCATGAGCCAAGCCTCTTCAACAGGAATGGAGAGGAACCCTATGACAACCGTGTCCTCCACTGTCTTGTGATATCACCCGCTGGCCGGCCGATCTACAAGTACAGATCACCCTTGGAGCTACTCATGGCACTTCGTGATGCTATAAAGGCGCACCGGTCTCTTTATCTGGATGGGAACATCCTTCATCGGGATATTTCTGAGAACAATATAATAATAATCAATCCAGATAAGGCGGATGGTCACTCAGGCATGCTAATTGATCTAGATCTTGCCAAAGAAGTTGGGAGCGCGCGAAGCGGCGCACGGCACCAGACAGGCACAATGGAGTTCATGGCAATTGAGGTGCTGCTTAATATTGACCATACCTATCGGCATGATCTTGAGTCATTCTTCTACGTGCTTATCTGGCAATGTGCCCATCACGGTTGGGAGTTAAAACCACCACAAACATCTCATCAACTTCAAGAAAAGTCCGGATTTAGTATGCTCAAGAAATGGTACACCGGCAACTACGAGGAAATTGCAACTTATAAACGAGGCAACATGGAAGCTGGCGGCTTTGAGCGCATCCTGATGAAAGAATTTCCTCCATGGTTTGACTGGGTCAAACCACTCTGCAGAAACATACGGCGCATACTATTTCCTCATGGAGTGGAAGGACTTATAGTTGGAACACCGCAAGACCCAAAAAGGCTATATGATCCTATTATCAAGGCGTATGATGATGCGATAGCTCTGATTGAAACCGAATATGAATAAGTATCATTTATATTAGTTAGCCCGCTGAATGCATACCAAATTAGTCTACATAACTAGGTTATTTTACAACTCAAGGCAACAATGATTTGAGCCCAGTTTTGTTGCAAACCTCAAATCATTCGAAAGTCGTGGTGGAGTATAGTATTGTGTAATGAAATCAGTCAATTTGGTATAGCCCAGAGGAGGGGGTTTATATAGTTCAGAAAGGGGCAATGTTGCGCTAAATCCGATCAGGATGGCGCTAAACCATGTAAGGTAATTCCCCATGGTATACCTAGGTACTATCGCATGCGGCACACGGATGGTAATTACGAGTGCCTTAATTACCTTTCAGCCCGGCTAAAAACCAATACTACTACTAATAAGACAATAATCCGAATGCAAAAGGTGGGATGGAAGAGGGCTAGAGCTGGTTTAAATTTAAACATTATTTTCAAAGGCAGCATATGCAGTAAGAAACAATCAGATAAAATAAAAAAGGGGGGGTACATGATATTTGGTATATTCGTAAAAAAGCCATGCCGTAACAAGTCGTAGAAGATAGAAATGGGATTATGGGAAAGAAAATGGGGGAATACTGAGAATATCCGCGAAGAATATGAAAAATAAAAGAAAACTCGCGGTGCCAGACCGCCTTTAGCAACCCACCTACATGTACTTACTCCCCACCCCGCCGCTCAACCCCAAACCCGCTTCACCTATAGAAAAACAATCATACATACCCCTCCCCAACATCAGCAGTTAATTACCATTATGGCTCTTGTTGGATTCCCGCTCTTTTCTCTGGTAGTATGCTTTCTTTTCTCCATCTGCTATCCCCAGGTCCCCACTCTCCGCTCTACCATTGTAGCCCGTCGGTGAAAGAGAACTACTGGCCCCCCTTCCAGCCCTCCTACGTGTCCATTCCAAAAAAAAAAAAAAAAAAAAAAAAAAAAAAAAAAAAAAAAAAAAAAAAAAAAAAAAAAGAAAAGAAATTGGGAAAAACAAAAAGAAGCCCCATCAGATGCAAAGCTAGCTCAACATCTTCCCCGTGACCACATTAGCAGGTCTAGGTCCCCGGATATGGCTGAACTACCTTCGGCAGGCGACGTGTCTGGTTCTCAGCTTCTGACGCCAGCGATGGTAATGATACGTTGTCAACAGTAGTGCTCGTCGTTGCCGTTGTCGTTGTCGTTATCGGTACCGTTGTCGGCACCGCTGGTTCTGGTGGTAGTAAGGCAGCTTGCCGTGCATCATCCTGCGTTCCCCTCACTCCAGCCCTGTCTTCTCCTTCGTCTGTATCTCTCCGCCCTTGCTTAGGTGCGCTTGTGGCTGCGGTAGTCGTGGTCTGTGCTTCTGATGTGTTGTTATCGTCCTTATCAGTCGTAGTGTCCTCATTGGTGATCGTGGCACTCTGTTCCTCTGCTTTGAGTTTTTCCTTTTCAAGACGCACTTCGCGGCCACGTTTATGGCAGTACCAGAGGACGAATAGGAGGACTATATCAGTAGTTAGTGTAAATGAACCATAAAGAATCAAAAAGGAAGGAAAGGCAGAAGAAAACAGAAAAATCGAATGAAACGGCATGCTTACTAAATAACGCCAACGACATCAAAACGTTCATCCCCATAAGCGCCGGGAACCGTGCCTGAAGGAAACCAACAATGGACCGTAACATCCCCGCAATCGCCGCTGGTTTCCCCACCAGCTCCTTCAAACTGGGGATCTTCAACCCCATCGACTTCGCCTTCTCCGCTGTCTTCGTAGCTTCTTCCAGGCTAATTCCACTCTTGCCGGCTTTCTCAGCAGCCATCGCCAGGAACTCCGGCGCAAATTTCTCAGTCACTTTATCCGGCAGCTGCTCGATGAGTTTCTGCAGGAATCCTGGTAGATGGTTGAAGGAATTTTGCAGTTGTCCATCTTCATTTGTTAGTAGGGATTCCAGATCATGGTATGCGGTCGGCACACCGTTGATCAGGTCTTTGAGGATAAAGTTGAATTTTTTGAGGATGACCTGCGTTTCGTCACTGATCGAGAATATGCGATTGTTGACTGCTGAGAGATTCAACCGCTCGAGGACTTTGGTCAAATCGTCTTGTTCCATTTTTACTTCGTCCGGGCTAAACTCCTCTGTCTTCGTGCGGGACGGCTTGATGTTTTCTGCGATGTTTGATAGGCCTGCGGCAGTATGTTCCTAATACCCGCAAAATGGTTGAGTTAACAACACCTATTAGCCCACTGTCTAGACATCCCCGATACTCGACGGGAGAAGCATCTTATAATAATAAAAAGGTAAAAACAAAAAACATATATATCCCACCTTCTTCCTCTTATCCATACCCTGAGCTATCCAACCCCACGGACTCTTCTTCTTCCCCTTCCCCTTTGACTCCTTGCTCAAACTCCTTTGCAAACCCCCGTCATCAGCCTCCGGGGAGCCCTTCGTCGTACTATCTTCCAGTGGCGACTGTGGAAGGGGGATATGCTGCGCGCCATCCATGAGTGCTATCTGCGGATCTTTCCCAACACCCTCCGCCTGAGAAGTAACTTGTTGTAAAAAGGCTTCGTCATCGGAGGTTAGGACGGGTTCTGGTGCTGGGGCCTTGGGAGCCTTGGAGAGGTGCGCTTTCGCCTTAATGTAATTAATATACTGCGCTGCCATCGCTTTGGGAGGGAAAATGTGGAGATGAAAAGGGGTTTTTTATATCCGAGACTCTTATGGTTTATCTGATATGATGGTGGGAAATTCTTTTCAAGGAAATGATGTTTCCGGAAGGCGTAGGGCCTCAGCTGCCCGGCTTTCTTCGCACCGGGGCGGGGTAGCAGAACAACAATTTCAAATTCTGTAAGGTATGAATAATGATGTGAAAAGAGCGATCTGGGGCTAAAATACTACAGGCTTTTTAAATGATAGAAGGGTATCTTATAATGATCAAAAATAAGAGATGGGGGGTGAAGATGAGCAGGCATCAATGGTGGGCATCCTCAAACACGCTCTTTCTCCCTATTCTAAAACGTCATAGCGCCAGATGGATAGCACGTGCCTGGCTTGAAACGTGGGTCTGGGCAAGGCGCTTATCGAGAAGCTTTGTTACTGCCCCGCGACCACCTAAATTCAGGATTTCTCAAGACGAAGTTTGAGGAACATAAAGTGGAAAAAACAACTGTTGGAACACTTCTCTTTCTTCACATTTCTCCTTAATGCTTTATTAGGGAACGCCCCACTCATTGCATTGTTCAATTCCCAGTCTCGTCCGAAGATCCAATGGTGTGGCTAGTGGCACGAACATACTTTACGCTAGGACCACAGCTTATCGTCGATTGGGTTTTAGTTCGCCAGGCACCCCAAACCATTAATCACATGATGCTAGCATGTTCACTCGCAAACATCACTTCCATAGCACATAGCTATCTAAGAATACGTGTTTAGTTTACATGACTATGCCTTCAAAAGGTTGTAATGAATTTTGTGTTAGTAAGAGCCGAGTCCTGTGGTAGTGGCTGCCCTCCTTCCTAGAATGAACACGAATCAAGCCCCCAGTCCGAAGAAGAGCGATTATATAGCTCGTGTGCGTAGCCTTCTTAAGGAACTACTTTTTTCTACAGCTAGTTTGTCTATGGTTTGGTGCTCTATTTCTCGTGGTTTGGACAACAGGAACAGTATTTCGTCGTGGAGCTTCTCAATTCATCATTGGCCATAGAAGTAGCCTTACTCTTGAATGGATATACCCATATGTATCTTGCAAGGTGTAAATAGACTTCGAGAATTGAGAACAGAAAAAGAGGAAAAAGTCATTTCAAAATAACACTGAGAAACCACGGTGTTAAAATCTACTGCGGAGACAAGAAGAAAAGAAGCGGGCTCGTGGCCTCGCAATCTGTCTTGGCCGGGAAATTGAAGCTAAGGCCGGGCAAATAATGTCTAAACACGGTTTCGGTATGGAAAGAGAACTGCCATATAAAGAGGGAAAATAAGAAGACCTAGGGCCCTTTAAGAGTTTACAAAGATAATAATGATTTGCACGCGGTTCGCATAACTTCTTCCAGGAACACTGCATGGGGATGGGAGCTGCCAATCATGGTAGCAATAAACAGACAAGCAGCGAATAAACGCAACGACGTGGTTCTTGTAGCTAATCGCGTGTGTTCTTTCAACGAGAACCATATGACTTGGAAGTTGCGAAGAAAGGCGAGGAAGGACAATGCCAGGTCTGCGGGCAAACGTATTGGGGGATTGTGTAAGATAGATGAGGCGGCTGGAGAATTGAAGCTTCATTTGACGAATAGCTCGGCTAAACGTCGCGATGTGTGGTCAAAGCAGGGGAATATTGGTGGGTGGGTGGGTGACGATGAAGATGATGATGATAGTTCGCAGTTCGGGTCCCGGTCTGTTCCTGACCCAGCCCCAGCCTTAACTGTTCTCCTCCTGCCAGGTGGCTATCCAGGTGTGGCTCTGCGAGTTTGTGGTCCAAATATGGTTCGGCCATTGCATTCCGATGAATGGGTCCGGGCGTGTCAAATCCACTCCCGAGCCACACAAGGCCCAGGAAGACGGACAAATCCCTGGCTTGAGTCACGCCAAGTACATGCTAAGTGGATTGGCCAATATCACGATGAACAATGGTCAATGCCCAGCGCTGACGGGACGCAACTGGCTGGTGGGATGCAGCCCCTTTCGTGGTTGAATGGTGATCCCCAGTGGCTGCCTTGCCCTAACTCCGCCCCAGCCCACGGTTTAGTGCCGTCCGGGGTATCACATGACCTGCTGCCAGCATATCAACGTCGTCGCTCGCATTCCCACTTCCTTTCTCTTTCTCCTCTCTTCCTCACGCTTCTCAGAGCTGACCGTTTCTCTCCCGCACACTGGTTTCAATTTGTGGAATCTTGTGCGAAAAGCCGCTTCGAGAACGCATTCTTCCTGTCGTCCTTTTCTCCCTCGGGAGTTGGGTGGTCAGAGGACTGAATTCTTGAATAAAGGCTTCCAAGGCTCCCATGCTACGTGCGTGATTCAAGCAGCGTCGTCTTCAATCCTGGCACAAAGCCCTCACGCTCATTATATAAAACCCTGGGTTCTTCCGCCGCTCTTTATTGTCCTTCGTTCTTCTTTCGTTTGATTTTCAGCCTTCGACAAGTTTTCATTTACGACTTCGACGCAACAATGTTCAAACGTTCTTTTACCACAAGGGATCGGGTGGGCAAGGCCGTCAAGCCGACCAAGAAGATCTATCGCGAGCGCACGAAGGTCAAGATGCAGGAGAAACTGGACAGTCCACCGGTTGGAAGGTTGGTGAATCACCGCTTCCTACTCTATGAAGATCCTCTCTGACTTTTCAACAAGCAAAATCACTAGCCCCATAATCACCATGATTGTGGGTCATGAACAGCGTCTTTTCGCTGCTCATGAGGATGTCCTGTCCGTTTCACCCTACTTTGTTACTGCCCTAAAAGGCCAAATTCTCGATGGTAGCCCCAAGCAAGTGGGCCTGCCTGACGAGTAAGTATACTAACGTTTACGGAGATGGAAAATGTCCAAATGCTTATTTCTTTCCAGAGAACCGGAGATACTGTCCTGTATTCTCGAGTACCTCTACAAGGGTGACTATTATCCTCGTCTGCTGCACAACAGACGTCGCAACTCTTGGGCACTCGAGGATGCCCAGGACCCCCAAAATAAAGGAGGCCGCGGATCATGCGAATCCACAATTTTCCACACTGGTGTCGGCGACTATATCCTCCGAGATACCGCCGTGTACTGCGCTGCTGAGAAGTACGGCTTGGAGGAGCTAAAGCGCCTTGCTCTTCGGAAACAAGGCCTTCAGACAGGAATCCCTGTCGACGTGATCCTTCGATCGGCTCGGTATGCGTATGACCATACACCAGACAACGAGTCGCGGCTCCGCGCTCATTTTCTTGCCCTGATCATCAGAAGTCGTAAGACTTTTAAGAGGAGTGGAACCATGCAGATGGAGATGGAGAGTGGCGGCAAATTGTTTTTCGATCTTTTCGTGGCAATGTGCAACCACATCGATGACATTGTCGAGATCAGGTAAGCTCCCCTTTCTTCTTACCTTGTTTGCTAATCTACTGTTTTGTTTGCCAATTCGCCAAGGAGCTTACGTCTTTGTGCCCGGCCCAACAGTAACAACCGATCTCCCAAGGTCATCTAAAAGATGAGATTGCACGGAGTTTTTACGGAATTAATCGAACGCCTCGGAGTTATCAAGTCGGATTTCAGGGAGCATCTAACCAGAATGTGCAGGATTAAAACCGAGAAAGATTCCGAGGTTGTTTTTCCTCTTTCTTCAAATAAAAAACTTCCCTTCTGTTCGAGGTTGGCCGCAAATTTTGGTTTAGAAGAAAAACCCCCTCTACTCTTTTTAATATCTCCTCCCCCTAATAACGTACACCAGCAATTTGCCTTCACGTCTTAAACTAATCCTCCGGAAGGAAAGCATTTAACAGCCAAGTCCCGCGACGTCTTTCGCAACGATTTTCCTTTTGCTATTTTGGTTTATTAATACCTTTTTCTTATTTACCCATCTACTGCGTCTGTCTATTTTGGACTTCTGCTATCAGCGCGCCTTGATGAGGAGGTGTGTGTTTTGTACTATACTTCCCGGCTGCGATGAACCTCGCATGATCAGGTTTTTGCAAGAATATGAGAGATTCGGCCACCTCAAAACCTTTCCTCTTTTTCCTCTTTGATATTTTCGTAAACAATTGTAGACAAGCTACTTAGTCCTGATTGATACACAATGGTCCCGTCTACTAAGAGCGATATTTCCCATGTATGAAGAAGCTATTCTTCATCCAACAACTTTTTTATCTGTCTCCTATTGTTTTCGTCTCATATGTTTCAGGTAAGATAATTGAGATTCATCATTCTCAACTACTCAAGCGCAGTTGAAACACGGCAAGCATCTTTTGTGTTGTTCGCGGGCGAAAGTCCCTTTCAGCCTTGGCTACCTAGCACAGTAGCAACGTATGCGGGCTAAAACGGGTCCGCTCAATTCAATGTGTTGGTATCCATTGAAGCTCTCTCCAGTGCCACTTTTAGAATTCTTTTTAAAAAAAAGGAAAAAGGAAAACAAAACCCCTATCCATCACACCAACGCTCCAGAACTGCACATGTACCATCCTCCAACAAAATTCAACACGCCGGCCACTCTAATAATTGAGCCTTTTCTCTTCCTTTGCACAATACACTCATTTTGTTCCATTCATATACCCAACCTCCCTAAACGGACAGAAAAACGAGCAGGTTGGGAACATGGATAAGGTCTCTCAGTTCTACCCAAAAATCCGGCCCATCAGGTCCCTCAATCCCGGTGAATGTTTTCTCGTTCAATATCGCGATAGAGAGAAGAAAGAGCTCTGGATTGGTGTCATCTGCTCTCGGGATATGATATCTGACGAAGTCTGGCGCCATCGTCGGATCGGTTCGCTCCCCAAAAACGGCCAGTGGAAGACTCAACTTGATCGTCGTCATTATCCTGTATACCTTCCGAAGAAGGGGAAAGTGTACGCATACCATATCCGATGGCTATTTAGAATAAATTTGCATCTGCATTTTGTGAGTTTGCGTGCGTTTAGGTTGAAAAGTAGCTAATAAATAGCCTTACGTTCAAGAATATGGGTACACTTCATTCATCTGTTCGAAATCCACCGCGCACGATACGATGAATTTGACGCTTCCCCTGATTACTCAGAGTTCTGCGAAGTTCTCAACTGGGTTTTGGAGGGCCAGGATATTACATTTTGGGAACGGATGGCGCCTGGGGAGTTTAAGGCGCGAAAAGAAATGACGCAGGGCAAACTGCAATCACTCGTGGCTGCTGCGGGTACTTTCACCAAGAGGATTCAGCAAATTAGCCCTCCAGCCCAGAGTAACAGAGATAATGATGGATATATTTTATCAGACGACAGCGTCGAAAAACCAGTTGCCCAGGTTGCGGAAGCCGCCCAGACCGCCAAAGTACCGGATTCTCAAGAAAGGGCTCGCTGGTAAGTTTAACATTGCATGTTCAGTTCTACTCTTTCTATCTGGATCCCTCCAATCACAAAGTACTGTACATCCCGTTTTCTAACAACACAACAGCAATGAGCCTCTCCAGTGCAGAGTAGATGTATACATTGGAACAGGAGCTAGCAGCAAAGTCTACAACATGCCACGCCAATGCCTCACTAAATCCGGCTTCCTGGAGAGATGCCTCATGACGCGAAACCAATCCACAATTGCCAGTGATCCAGTTCTCGACAGCACCTCCCACGCCGATTTCGCAGTGCTACTCTCCTTCCTAAAGATTGGGGAATATACCCCTCAACTCATCGCTTCATGGAGAAGACATCACCATCTCGAGAGGGAACCTCCTCCCACTGCCCCCAATCGCGGTATAACCTTCTACCTCGAAGGTCTTGTCACCCACGAAGAGCATGAGAAGGAAGTCCTGCGCTGCGGATACATCTATCTACTAGCGCAGAAATTTGAGATACCAGCATTGCAAGCGCTCGTTCTACGGAAACTCCGTCTCGGATTTCCCGTGATCAGTTACAAGACGATGTTGACGCTGGTTGCATATGTGTTTGCACGACTTGATGCCAATAATCACACCGTGGATCCAGGTAGTAGCCCCCTGCTAACGGGGACTCCAACAACTGGGGCTCCTCCGTCAAGTACACTGGCAGAACACCATGCGAAGGAAGAGCCGTTGAGGGCGTACCTGATTGAGTGGCTGGTTGTGCATATGACCGCTGCATCGAGGACTGAGGGGCGCTTGTACTGGGACACTGTCAGTAAATTCAAGGATTTGAAGAAAACTGTACTGATTAGAGCGGCAAAGATGGAAATCGATGGACCGGGCAAATGTGCAATGAGACATTTTCAGTCGACACTGGGGACTATGATAGTTTGAGGATTGTTTGGTGTGAAGATATGGTCTGTGCAGGAAAGGAGCGCAGGGAAGCACTTTCGTTCGTCGCATGACGATGTGACATGATGTAAATGTTCGACGAGACGAGGAGAAACTGATGAGTCAATACTTTATTGCCTGAGATTTGGTCTGTTAAAACAAACGCGGAATTAACAATGGGCTATGTTCGTATTTGGAACGGGTTTGATATCCATGGATTCTGTGTTTTTTGTTTTAATTTCAGGGAGTTATTCTGCAAACAGGTAGCAAGTTCAAGACAGGATGTCGTCGACAGACAAAATGCTTAATATCTCTGCTAGGGATAAATTTATTTGCGGCTAACATTTTATATCCTTTGTAGCGGTACAAGCTGCATGGCCATACCTATCCATGGATGTACAGTACAAAGACTGGTGAAACAAAAGGGGGGTTGAAGCTCCTATTAAATAGTTAGGGTTTTGATTGGCTGAAGAAATCTAAATTTGTGTCCAATCAGCACTGACCTCAGGAGCTGTTTGACTTACCTAGGTTAGAACTGACCAGATCTCAGCCGCGAGATGAGCACCATTCGGCACACAGGCATCTTTGAACTGTGCACAGCAGTTGCTATGAACAACTAGACAATAAACGAGCATATCGTGCTTCCAATTTGAATAGCTCCATATTGCTACAAGCTATGCTCAGCTAATTTCCACCCACTCCCTCGAAACAACCTCCATCCCGACACACGCTGGTGAAATACAATCCACTCCCGCAACTATAACCGCAACCACAACTACAACCGCAACCATGCTCTCCTCCTTATCCCCCTACATGGCGAACCCGCGCCAGACATTTACGCAGGTGCTCAACTTCGCCCTCGTTCTCTCCACCGCCTTCATGCTCTGGAAGGGCCTATCCGTCTACACCAACTCCGCCTCGCCCATCGTCGTCGTGCTGTCGGGAAGTATGGAGCCCGCCTTCCAGCGCGGGGATCTATTGTTTCTGTGGAACCGGAGCCCGCGCGTGGACGTTGGGGAGATCGTGGTGTATAATGTGCGCGGCAAGGATATTCCGATTGTGCATCGGGTCATGAGGACGTTTCCGGACGTACCTGGTAAGGATAAGACGAAGAAGGGTGGGAAGCAGGGTGTTGAGTACGTTGTTTTTCTTTTCTTCACCCTTTTCAAAAAATTATAAAAAAAATTATAAAAAAAATGGGGGAAGGGATTGTGTCGTTATGCCTAATATATATATATATTATATTTACTGTCTTCACAGGGCCTCGCCATCTTCCCTCGAGTCGCAAAAACTGCTCACAAAGGGCGATAACAACCTGTCAGACGACACTGAATTGTACGCTCGGGGCCAGGACTATCTAGACCGGAAAGAGGATATCGTGGGCAGTGTACGAGGCTACATACCAGCTGTTGGATACGTTACGATTATGCTCTCCGAACATCCGTGGCTGAAGAGCGTTTTATTAGGCTTCATGGGATTGATGGTTATCTTACAACGGGAATAGAATATTTTCTTCTGGGGTTAGATTATTTATAAAAATTTCTCCTGCTCGCTCGCGCTATCTATTTCTCCTTCTCCCTCTTTCTCAATCCTAGAAAAGAAGGATAATTTTGTATTCAAGAACGGATGGAGTTAGGTTTTCTCGTCTGGTTTTCGTTTGATTGAATCAGGTTTCTTTACACACCCGTGGTTTTCTCCGATGGCAGCGTTTTTTATTTTTATTTTATTTTTCACTTTTGTACTTGCTACGTTTGGCCTTTGGGAATGACAATGTTCATCGCATGGTCGTATTTGGAGAGCTTATCCGTCGTCATTATCATGAAAGTGGGATCAATGGGAATTGACCGAGGCCTGATACTACTCAAATATTTGCAAGCTTCAAGTCCATTCAGAGACATGCGAGTTCATCCTGTCAGCTCCCTACTAAGCCATGAGCTATAGGGCCATACCTCGGACTTCGATTTTCAGAGACGCAAAGCCCAAATCCCGCGTTTGCTGATAATTGGCTCCAGGCCTGTTAGTTCATCGACACTGGCGTTTAAAAATTACTTCAATGCAAATTAACTGGTCTGTAGAAGCAGCAGCGGAGTTGATATCTTGAGAATTAAAGTAAAAGTAGAGAGAGTAAAAAAAATAAAAATAAATAAATGAGTTTATCTAAACGTCACAACTTCTTCTCAATTCAGATACCGGGCATGGAAGGATTGGTATGTGGCCGGTTGACGCGCATCATAACTCCAAGCAAGTGGAGATATTTCTGTTGTTTCTAGGTATTGGAAAGTTTGGCAGCATAAGAGAATCAGCATGAAGCCAATCACGTCTGCACAAAGTAATTAATTTAATAAACCTTTGTTGCTGTTCTGGCTGTTGTTTTCTAGCAGCGAAAACTATGCTTAGCTTGCCCGCTCAGTCTCCACCTGCTCCCCGCCGCCTCGCCCAGTTACAACTTTCAAGGCAACAAGCAAGTTCAGAGTCATATCACACCCTCTTCGTTATCAACAACCACCACCACAATTCATTCTTCCCGACTCCCCATCCTTTTTAGACATACACATAGAAACGTGCAGACTCCTCACACAAGGCAATAATGGGGAGCCAAAAACGTATCGCTAAGGTAAGCAGATCTCTCAGCCAGCCCCTCCCCCGCATTTCTTTTTGCCCACGCGACGCAGAAGTTCCGGGATGCGGCGGTATGCTGATGGCGCCAAATCGTCGATATAGGAGTTCAATGAACTAATGGAGTCGCCGCCAACGGGCATCTCCGTCACTCTCGCAAATGGCTCAGACCTCTATAACTGGAAAGTCCACATGCAGGGTCCCGAATCCTCACCGTACAATGTACGTATTCCTCCCGAATAGTTCACGCAGAGGAGAAAAGAAAAAGACAAAGAAAAGAAAAAAGACACAAGACCAAAGATGTCCTTCCCACCCCCTCTTGTCTGTTCATATATATACAACTAGAATACAAATACACACAAAAACTCACTCACACGTGTCCCCACCCCACCAGGGCGGCAACTTCATCATAAACCTCTCCCTCCCAAACGACTACCCCTTCAAACCGCCCACAGTCTCCTTCGACACAAAAATCTACCACCCAAACGTTACCAACGATGACAAGGGGAGCATGTGTCTAGGGATGCTCAAGTCTGACGAGTGGAAGCCTTCGTCCCGGATTGCTGCGGTGCTGGAGTTCGCGAGACAGTTGCTTGTCGAGCCGATGCCGGATGATGCAGTCGAGGGCCGTATTGCGGAACAGTATCGCGATGATCGTAAGAGGTTCGATGAGATTGCTAGAGAGTGGACGAGGAAGTATGCATCGGGGAAATAGTTGAATTTGGGGGGAAGGGTGGCATAGAAATGTTATAGATAGATGCAGGTGGGGCTGTGGGTAGATTGCTGGGGGCTTATTTCCGATGAGAGAGGGGGCGGGCGGGGTGAAAAGGCTAGGTAGAGCGGGCGATTGGTTGTTGGATGGGTTTGATTTTTTTTTACGATTATCCCTCTGCTACATTTTTCATCTTTTCTTTCCCTGCATTACCATTTGGTTTTGTTCGCTTTATTGAGGGTTTGATGGTGGGCATCATGGTTCTTGTCCCTGGTCATATCCAATACTTTCGGTGGGCATGTTCTCTCCTTTTCTTTCTACATGTTAGGGTTCCTGGGCATATTCATGTGCATTCTCGCCAGCGTTGATGGGAAGAAAGTGTTGGGCAGAGGGGAGGTTATGCTTCGATTTTTGGTTCCTTTGCATGTTTTTTTCTTTCTGGCCTTGCATGCAGGTACTATCTGGCGTTTATTTTTCTGATCGTTTCCTTTATGAAGTCTTCGTAACTACGCTGTGGAGATGGATTTGTTAGAGAAAGAGAGAGATAGAGAGAGATAGGCTCGGGTAAATTGCCGATTCTAATATAGATATATAAACCACGAGATATTAATAACCAGTAGCTAGAGTCTGGATTGGACATTCCGCTGCAGTGTAAAGTGGTTTTGCTGATTAAATTGCATTTATCTGAGTTCACCATCAAGCAAAGGTAAAACTTCAGACATTATTTTTGTTCTCCCAGCGAAAATATGTATAAGTTAGAGCGAAACGAAGGAGTAAGAGTAAGGGTGTTTCTCGATGTGCTAATACTTATATATGGCTATCAAGGTTTTTTATAACTCTGCAATGTCACTGTTGGCGAATCTTGCTTTCGACGAGACAGAAGGGAAGGAACAATGAAAGTTTCAGAGCTTACCTGTAACATAAGTATAGTCAGCCATCTCAATGTTGATTGGGGAGATCCAGGATAGCAGCACTCCGTAGATAAATAAGATGGTTATCCTCACCACTGTGCTTGGGCACTATCATACATTGTACAGTACTCCGGCAATCTCACCCCGACGTTCCTAGTTCTGAACGCAGGCTACAAAGATGGCCTAACATCCCAGCTAGCCTTCCTAAAAGGAACTATCCATGGAGGCTAGAATAATAATAGAATTGACTGTCGGGGGTATAAAGACGAGGATTTGCTTATCTGAGTGCTCCTTCTCTCATTCGAAGGCCCACGATACAATCTCAAACAAAACCCGCCGAGGAAACACTTCTGTTTCGCGGGGCGGGCGAAGTCCGCGAAATTTCGGATTTCGGTGGAGTAGGCAACGGAGATGTAAAGGAAACTCATTTGCTCCGATGGATCCTTGCAATCACCAACGACTTTAGGGCTGATTGATATTTTGAGATGGAAGCGGCAAAACAAAGCAGCCCACAGCGTAGAGGAGGGGCCCATTAGGCCGTAGGATTCTCCTGGAATGGACGGGAGGTGTTTGGGTCCCTTGCTCGAGGACCGACCGGCACACCTCACCGGTTTCATTAAATAAGAGCTAATTAAATATCCCTCTCAATTAAAAATAGTTCAGCGATGCAGGCGCATTGTTTTAGTGGCACATTCTCAACTTGCATGCCCTAGGTTATAATTCCAGCAGAAATCCCAGGAATGAGTAAGAACGGAAGAGATGATATATAGTCGGCGCAGTTAACGCTTTGCAGCCCGACCGCCTGACTCGACGGTTTTTATGTCCTCGCTCTCGGACTGAGAACAGGAAATTGAAGATGTGATTTCACAGAGGATGCCTATGCAATTCAAAAAAAAAAAAAAGGCAACCTGCACGAAGCCGGCAAATTGCATGGTTCGTTAATTTGGCTTCAAACACAGCTTTTAGCGGATCCGCGTCGGGAAATCACTTCTGCGTGGGATGCGCCCATGGATAAGAGAGGTATTTGTTCTTGTTGCCGCCCTTTTTACAGTGGCTGCACTTTCGTCGCTCATAACCCGTCTGGTTCAAGTTTTGATCAAGCTTCCATGAAGTAGCACGTGTTGATGTTTGGAAAGGCGTGCAGCATGCATGGCTGCAAGTCAATTGTTGCTCAACAGGCTGTTTTGGCCACGAACATGTCAAAGGGAAAAAATCCGGAGAAAAATTGTGGCGCAAACCTGGCATATTTCATTTAGTGAGTATCAGCAAAACCTAAACTCACATTGATCATTGATGCAGGCGTACCCCCAAACAATAATAAGGATTCCTTGCCTATTGCTTTGTTGCTTTCATGCAGAACAAGATTTTTTTGTGGTTTTTGGGTTCTTTGCGGGCGGTTAGAGAAAATACCTCGTTCGAGGAGCATGGGTTGCATGGCGGGGTGTTGGCCTCCACTGTTCAGTTCCCCTTTTGTAATTGGTGGGCGAGCCAGGCAAGACTTGAACAGCGACAATCAATGTTCCTGAAAACGGTGCCAATGGAGTTCTCTGGCTCGTATCATTGGCGGTGTCTGCCTTGTTAGTGAACCTTGGACGCTTGGAAGTTGGTCGTGACTGCGCTGGGCCGGAGTAGAGTAGGAGGCTCAACTAGTCCGTCTTGGTAAGCGACAGACACAGAGCTCTGGTTTCGACTTCCCGCGGTTCCGCCGGGGCAAACTCGTATCTCAACCTTCCTTTGACGACCGCCCTCGAGCTGGCGTCTGTCGACTTCTTCAATTCCTCCCTTTTCTGTTATTCCCAGTTTGACGGGACGACATGCTTCACTGCAATTGACCTCTGGCTGGCTCCTGAGAAGCTCGCGGGCGTTGTAGTGCTGGAACCCTGGCCCGTTATCATTCTGTTCTTTGCACACCCGTTTGCCCTCCGGCTACTACCCGACACCAAACTACGCAGCTTCTCAGATCAACTCTCCTACATTCTTTACATCCTCTTTACCAGTTCATATTTTAGCATACCTCAATTGGCAATCTTTCAGTTGTTTTTGGTTTTCGTTGCGGCGACAGGCTAGCGGAAAAAGTCCATCGAACTCTCCAAACAAATGTCCAGAACGAATATTCTCTTCCTAGGTGGCAATGGTCACACAAAATGGAAATGCCAGGTATCATCCTCCCGATAGTAGAATCAATGTCAAGAGACCTCAGCACCGCCATGGAGCCTTTCCACACCCATTGACAAAAGTCGCGACATCCGCTCCACCCCAAAATGGCCCTCCCGTCAGTCCCGTCAGTCCCGTCAGTCCCTACCGCGCATTTCACCCCAGCAGATCTCCGACCTACCAACCTACAATTCCTGAAGCCTCCTCGAGTCAACCTAGTATAACCAATGCCCCTGCAACTTATCAATCACCTACAAGCCCTATCCCTCCAGCTTACCGATCACCAACTTTTCCGGCAGTCCCCGAATATGATGGCCAGTCATCATGGCTGTCCAGGAACGATACAGAAAGGACACGGCCACCGCCACAATATAGGAACCCTCGAATGGGTCTAAAATCTACCGCGTCAACTTCAAATATTCGCTCAAGGCAACGTTCGCCGTTCCGCCTTGATCAACTCCCGCCCGCTTTGAGTCCGGCTCAGCCACGGTTTGCACCCCACTATCCTCCGTCTGAGCTTCACATTGACAGTGAGGTACGGTCCAGCGCGCAATCTGCTTTGACGGCGTCGAGTATAGACCCAACGAGTGGTACGGAAAGAAGCAGTATTGCTACGAAAAACAGTTCTGTGACCGATTTATCGCCTGACGAATCTGATATAGATGGAGGAATTAGTGTTGAGGACGCCATATCACTGTATCTACATGGCTTTACGGATGACCCCCCTGAAAGTACTACCGGCTCGTCAAAATATGCGACTCCAATGGCTGAGGCACCGAAGAATGAAGCACCTGAGACTGAAACACCATTGACCGAGGTAACAGTCGTTGAGAGCCAAGTCACTGACCAGCAACGTTCTGTAGAACTCCAGGAGGCTATTAATAGTGACATGGCGCATCAAGCGACCCCTCCAGTGATCGAAAGAAAACCTGTTGGAACCTCCTCCCAGCGTAAACCCATGAGGTTGGTGATACCCCCCGCCCTTCCGGGTGTGGTGCCACCCCCGCGATCTCCTGCGACTGGTCTACGTGATCAATATGGTTTCCAAAGGTCGTCAAACCACATATCGCCCGGTGGGTACGACGCTTGGTTTCGTAACTATTCTACGTATCAGGAGTCCCGAAAACAGAAGTGGGAGGAGCTATTAAAGGAATATGGCCTGCCGACTGATAATCCCGTTACATTCCCACCAAAGTCTACCAAGGTCAAGCGCTATGTCAGGAAAGGAATACCCCCTGAATACCGTGGCGCAGCTTGGTTTTATTACGCCGGCGGATATGAGCGCTACCATAGATTCCGGGGTCATTATAACCAGCTTGTCGAACAGAGCATTAATGGGCCTTCAAATGACGATAAAGAGCATATTGAACGGGATCTCCATAGAACGTTTCCGGATAACATCCACTTCAAGCCAGATCCTCTACCTAATATGGGAGCCAACTCATCTCCAGAAAGCGGCAGCAGCAATCCAAAATATCTCTCTAAAACTCCGGAAGCTGAAATTATTCAGTCATTGCGTCGTGTATTGTATGCATTTGCAGCACATAATCCGAAAATCGGTTACACACAATCTCTCAATTTCATTGCCGGGATGCTTCTACTCTTTATGCCCGAAGAGAAAGCATTTTGGATGCTTGACATTATCACATCATCTTACCTACCTGGAACTCATGAAATCAGTCTTGAAGGCGCAAACATTGATCTTTGGATCCTCATGGTAGTCCTCAAAGATTCAATGCCTGCAGTATACACAAAGGTTGCTAGCACAACCCCAACCACTCCCAAGTCCAAACCTCCACCAATTAACACAAAAACCCGACTACCCGACATTACGCTTGGCCTAACAAGCTGGTTAATGTCTCTGTTCATCGGCAGCTTACCACTTGAAACTACACTGCGCATCTGGGATGTTTTCTTCTATGAGGGCTCAAGAACTTTTTTCAGAGTCGCTCTGGCGATTTTCAAGAGCAGTGAAAAAGAAATACTCAGCCTCAGCGATCCGATGGAGATCTTCCAGGTCGTGCAAGCAGCGCCAAAAAAACTTATCGATGCAAGCGCCCTGGCGGATGAGTGTTTCGCACGGCGATTCAGGCTGACACAAGCACGCGTCGAGGAGCTACGTGCTGCCCGTAGGGCCGCGATCAGGGAAGAAAAGGACCGCCTTTCAGTGTTGGCTGGTAGAGGCAATGGCCATTGTGGATCCAATGGCCCGCCTATTGCCCGAGCGACGACTCCGTTGCCTACATCATGGAGAAACCTGAAACACACGTTTAAATGAGATGATACCCGCCCCCCCCTCTTTTTCTCCTTATTATTATTATTGGACTCTTTACTCCCCTTTTTGAATCTTTCTCTTGGCTAGTGCTCGTCGCAGTCTTTTCTTGTCCTGTAAAATAGGCTGACGCCAACCCAAGTGAGAAAGAATAAAGAAGAAGAGATGTTCAGAACTGTTTTATATTAATTGCCTTGATGACTTCAGCCTTTGTTTACTTTTCGCCCGCCCTTACTTCTCTTTGCTCAAATGCGTATACTGCATCTTACGTGGCTGGCCGCAGGGCAAAACCACAATTTCAGCGAGTGATCATTCAGGATATCTGGAGAGAGAGAGAAACATTTGGATATGGCGCCACGCGGATACCAGACCGCTTTAATTTTTATATGCCAGGCCCCCTTTTTTTCATTGCTTTTTACCTCTGCCAGAGTGCTTCAGCAAGTTTTCTCGGAATGAGATGTCTCTCTCTCCTCTTCTTCTTCTTCCTTTCATTTCA